CATGAAGGAACAATATCCCAGGCGCCTGCAGCTGATAAAGAAACGTGTTTGACGTCACGTGTCCTTCAGACAGATTTATTTCAGTAAAAAGCCATAGGCCCAAAATACAGTCTTTACAGAATGTTTAACCTATGTGCGATGTAATAAAGTAGTATTAATCGTTTTCCTTAATCTTTGAACTTTCCCCAGATGATGACATACATTATAAGTAAAATCATTATTTGTTGATGTTGACATCAAATTTACAAAGTGTTGTACAGATTGGTGTCTTTCAAGATTTTAGTATTGTGAAATATGTCCAACAATAGAGCACCAAACATGGGTAACAATAACTTCGGTTTTGTTTAGATTAACTTGCATACCTGTTTCCTGACAAAATATTTTAAGGGCATTAATCTTTCTCTGCAACTGGTTGCAGGTATCAGAATGCTGATACATCATCTGCAAACAGTAAAGCAAAGACATAATAATAACAGGTGTAATGAATACTCCTTTGCCTCCTTTATTTTCCTGTGTGTTAATGGTTGATAATAATTATAAACATCTGAGGACTTATAATAGAGCCCTGACGGGTTCCAACATTACAGGAAAAACAACTTGACAGACCATGGGTGGTTCTCGCACAAAAGGTGTATGTGTTGATGTTAAGGGCCTTCCCAGATAGTCCTGCTTTCTCTCAGGAGTGTAAAAGTACATGATGTTAAGTAGTGTCAAATGCCCTGGGGACAATGACACTGAAGACAATGGCTTTTACCTCTCTTTTTACAAGAGTCTTTCTGGATAATAGCTTGCAGTGTGAAAATAGTATCTGTTGTAAAATCTGTTCTTAAATCTGTTGTTTTCCCTGAACCCAGCTTGAGCTTTACTGATGATACTGTTTGTTTCACACCAACCCTTTAGCCTTTTATTTAGACTGGAGGTGAATACCTTACGTAGGGAGTCAATATACGATATGCCTCTATAATTATTTGGGCCATTTCTGTTACCAGATTTTTACGATGGACATATAATACCTTTACCACAGCTAGAAGGACAACAACCGTTATCCTAGATTCTGTTGAAGAGAGTCACGAGAAGTGGAATAGTTAATTGTTTGGATGCCTTTTGGAACTCATTGGCAATACCACTTGGTCCAGGGCCTTATTATTGGGTAAAGAAGAGATGCAAGATAGAACTTCTTGCTGATAAATGGGTTGATTTATAGACTGAGTGTTCCCAGTAGTAGGTAAGATAGGCTGAATCTGTTCCTGAGTGTTATGCTGGCTCTCAGTTGAAAGGAGTTTTGTAAAGTGTTCTGTCCACTGCTTGCATGCTGTTGTGTTTACGAAATTGACTGGTGATCTGAATTCTTCTCCAAGAAGTCTTTTCCAAAATACCCTTGGGTCACATATACATACACATTGATTTCGACCATATCCCACCACTGCCTCTACTACAAAAAAAAGTAAAACTCGACTCACTTCTTATCTAACTGACAACAGAATTAGACATGTGGATGTTTCATTCTGTCGTAAGCCACACCCATTCGGCACATTTTCCACACGATATCCACATTGTTTGTGTTGCAGCAATCTACATGCAGGTGTAGGGTGCGCCTTACATCTTAAATAAATTAGTTTGACCTACTGAACTTCCTTTTCATATGACTTTCGTTTTGAGACATGAACAGTTACAGTGCATTCTGGAGACATGAACAGTTGCAGTGCATTCTGGAGAGACATGAACAGTTGCAATGCATTCTGGAGAGAGACATGGACAGTTGCAGTGCATTCTGGAGAGAGACATGAACAGTTGCAGTGCATTCTGGAGAGGCATGAACAGTTGCAGCGCATTCTGGAGAGACATGAACAGTTGCAGTGCATTCTGGAGAGACATGAACAGTTGCAGTGCATTCTGGAGAGAGACATGAACAGTTGCAGTGCATTCTGGAGAGAGACATGAACAGTTGCAGTGCATTCTGGAGAGAGACATGAACAGTTGCAGTGCATTCTGAGAGAGACATGAACAGTTGCAGTGCATTCTGGAGAGAGACATGAACAGTTGCAGTGCATTCTGAGAGAGACATGAACAGTTGCAGTGCATTCTGGAGAGACATGAACAGTTGCAGTGCATTCTGGAGAGAGACATGAACAGTTGCAGTGCATTCTGGAGAGACATGAACAGTTGCAGTGCATTCTGGAGAGAGACATGAACAGTTGCAGTGCATTCTGGAGAGAGACATGAACAGTTGCAGTGCATTCTGGAGAGAGACATGAACAGTTGCAGTGCATTCTGGAGAGAGACATGAACAGTTGCAGTGCATTCTGGAGAGACATGAACAGTTGCAGTGCATTCTGGAGAGAGACATGAACAGTTGCAGTGCATTCTGGAGAGAGACATGAACAGTTGCAGTGCATTCTGAGAGAGACATGAACAGTTGCAGTGCATTCAGTGCAGAGAGACATGAACAGTTGCAGTGCATTCTGGAGACATGAACATGCAGTGCACAGTTGACAGTTGCAGTGCATTCTGGAGAGAGACATGGACAGTTGCAGTGCATTCTGAGAGAGACATGGACAGTTGCAGTGCATTCTGGAGAGAGACATGGACAGTTGCAGTGCATTCTGGAGAGAGACATGGACAGTTGCAGTGCATTCTGGAGAGAGACATGGACAGTTGCAGTGCATTCTGGAGAGAGACATGGACAGTTGCAGTGCATTCTGGAGAGACATGGACAGTTGCAGTGCATTCTGGAGAGACATGGACAGTTGCAGTGCATTCTGGAGAGAGACATGGACAGTTGAAGTGCATTCTGGAGAGAGACATGGACAGTTGAAGTGCATTCTGGAGAGAGACATGAACAGTTGAAGTGCATTCTCCTTGTCTTATAAATAGATTGTGCAAGTGTACCTTCTGTGACAATAGCCAGTGTACCCAAATACGTCGTAAAGTATCACTGTATATTGACGGGCAATAATGAGCCAGGTAGTCTACATATGCAGATAGTCTACGGCCATACTAGAGCCAACAACTGTGTATTGTGTCCTAGATGTTGAAGGCCAAACTTTGGGCCCACATATCGTAATGAAACACTCATGTTAATGGCGTTTACGTTACACAATAACCGTCTCAAAGAAATATCCAGCACAAAGCACAATAGTTTATTGTTCCGATTTTAGCAAACAATTCAGGGCCGCCTCCATGGTCTTGTAGATAGTGATTGCCTGGAAAGCGCAAGGTCGGTGGTTCGAGCCCTGGTTCGAGCCCTGGTTGCGTCACACCAGAACTCTTTGTCATGAGAGATGATTGAGTATTGTTTTACGCCGCTTTTAGCAATATCCCAACCAAAATACCGACTGGGGACAGGTGATTCGAACGAAGGTATACGGTGGGATGAGCGAACACTTTACCAACTAGGCTATCCCAGGTTATTTAGGCGATCGGGTGGTCCTCGAAGATCCTGACTTTCTGGATGCTGGTCATCGTGTCTCCATGCCATCAATGGACAAACCGTATACTGGATGATTCGTCATACTAATATCAAGCATGTAAGACTAATGTTTGAGTCTAGCTCGTTATATCCGGGATTTCCTATAGTTTTAGGGGCTGTGTGTGGATGCATAGACAGACTGAGTGTCTTATCTGGATCGTCAACTTAGGTGAAGGCAGGAAAATGTATACGAGTTTGTTATTCTGCCCCAAGCCTTATTATTCATATTACTGAGTCAACTAAGGCACAAAATGATAAAACTTGTTGACCGTTGTACATTCTGCTTTGCCGAGACCAGATTGTTACCAAGCTCTGACGTATGAGTGTTTCACTGACGCAGGGGTGACTCTGCACGGAATATGTATGTTATCAAGCCTTGACGTATGAGCATTTGACTGACACAGGGGTGACACTGCACGGAATATGTATGTTATCAAGCCTTGACGTATGAGCATTTGACTGACACAGGGGTGACACTGCACAGAATATGTATGTTATCAAGCCTTGACGTATGAGCATTTGACTGACACAGGGGTGACACTGCACGGAATATGTATGTTATCAAGCCTTGACGTATGAGCATTTGACTGACACAGGGTGACACTGCACGGAATATGTATGTTATCAAGCCTTGACGTATGAGCATTTGACTGACACAAGGGTGACACTGCACGGAATATGTATGTTATCAAGCCTTGACGTATGAGCATTTGACTGACACAGGGGTGACACTGCACGGAATATGTATGTTATCAAGCCTTGACGTATGAATATTTGACTGACGCAGGGGTGACACTGCACGGAATATGTATGTTATCAAGCCTTGACGTATGAGCATTTGACTGACACAGCGGTGACACTGCTCGGAATATGTATGTTATCAAGCCTTGAGGTATAAGTATTTGACTGACACAGGGGTGACACTGCACGGAATATGTATGTTATCACGCCTTGACGTAATGAATATTTGACTGACGCAGGGATGAGACTGCAGAGAATATGTATGTTATCACGCCTTGACGTATGAGCATTTGACTGACACAGGGGTGACACTGCACGGAATATGTATGTTATCAAGCCTTGACGTATGAGCATTTGACTGACACTGCACGAAATATGTATGTTATCAAGCCTTGACGTAATGAATATTTGACTGACACGGTTGACACTGCGCGGAATATGTATGTTATCACGCCTTGACGTATGAGTATTTGACTGACACGGTTGACACTGCGCGGAATATGTAAGCTATCACGCCTTGACGTAATGAGTATTTGACTGACACAGGGGTGACACTGCGCGGAATATGTATGATCCCTTAAGGTGTGAGTTAGGAACCCATGCTTTTCGGAAGAGGCAAATATGAAGACGATACGGTCAGGCTGGATGACCCAAGGCTGGATATCCCAACCTGTTGATGCTCATGTCATTTAATTGATTACCACATCCAGACTCGATTATTGTAGACCGCCATATTGCTCAGTCTGGTGTTACATCATGCAAAGAAATAACAGGATGTGCTCGTTTCCAGGGAGACGAGAACCTTGAGCGGGGCAACTGGGGCAGCAAGGTCGACTTCTTCCTCTCATGCCTGGGATACGCCGTCGGCCTCGGCAATGTGTGGAGGTTCCCCTATCTGGCCTACCGGAATGGAGGAGGTGAGTGAATGAGAAACTTTCCAGATTCTGATACCTTTCGGTATGGACTTACAGATACGAATCATCAAAAATGCAAATTCAACTTATAAAATGGGAAAAATAACGCGATGGAAAAAACTCTAGTTTAGTTCAAACGATTCACTAAATTCACCCCAGCTTGGGGTGAAAAGTGGTTTCAACAGCTGGGCTGCGCTCATAGCGCATGCGCAGTGAATAGGTTCGCGCAGCTTGGACGAGGGATGTCCAGATTATAAGATCGTGAGCAGGTGTAGTCTAATCAAAACAAATAGTAAATAATCTACTCATTACATAAAAGAACCTTGTTAGGATCTAGATCTACTCAGCTATGTGTCAACCAGTGAGGTGTTCGAAATTTCAAGACGGAAAACCTTCGCTGGCGGTAAGTACTCGGTGAAGGCTTTCATGTGAGCTATTTTTCTAATGTTTTGTTGATATTTCACAGGCGCGAGCTTTATATATTTTATGACAGTATATTACCGATTTAACTGTTTATATAATTTCATTTGTCTATTTCACCACACGTTCTTCTTACCGAGTCAGTTTCTCAGTTCGTTACTTTAAAGCAATGTCATTAATTAGCATTGACAGAATTTCTAACTGTGATATAGATATGTCTTTGTCACAGAAACTTCAATGTCTGTTTTATTGACACCTATGTGTCTGCCTGTCTCCTAATGACAATATGCAATACACAACTTCGATCACTGACCGCATGCAATTTGAACTTGACACCTATCAGGCTATACACCATAAACCAAACGCATTGATTTATGGCTCGTGCACCCGAGTTCGGTCTCTGTCACATTATGTAATTACACAGACAGGCAGGTATGATACTTGTACACATGACATGTTATGATGTCTGTTGATTGCAAAATGTCATACACAAAAAATGAACATGTATTTACAAAACCTAACATCTCTATATACACACACACAATGAGCCGTGAGGGCATCTGCAAATGAACCAGCCACTTGACTGCACACCCACCCGCTCTGACTGGGTTCGGTATCCCAGGTGCTTCGTTTCGAAGGAAGTAAACAAAATATGGCACTTTTGATTTGCGATTGTACGCTTATAATTTGGTTTATATGTTTTTTCATAATCAGCAATGTATACTATGTCATGAATAAGTGATAATTGTGTTTTAATCATGTTTGACCTTTAAGTGTTAACGTGAAATCGGCAATATTTCAGCCATATAGTGACGAGATCACAGAGGCATGTCACGCTTAGAAACAGCGTTAAAAGACATATAGGTACATAGACCCTACACTAGTACTATATAAAAGGAAAGGGATGTAACGACGGAACCACCCCCTCCTCAATCAAAGTTAGATTTCAACACGTAAACTATTTTTAATAAACAAATTTAAAAGGTGAGTTTCCGCTGTCTTGGGTGATCCATGATTTTGGCTTGGAATTGCGGAGGTAGCTGTTTTCGGTGAGTCGTGGTGTATAACTTTTGAAATAATGATCCGATTGTGACCATTTATAGTTCATTTTGTAGGGAAATCATCTCGCTTTCGATCCGTAGGCCTCGACGGGGCCTTATAAATAGTTTACGTGGTGAAATCTAACTTTGATTAAGGAGGGGGTTGTTCCGTCGTTACATCCCTTTCCTTTTATATAGTACTAGGGTAGGGTCTATATACCTATGTCTTTTAACGCTGTTTCTAAGCGTGACACGCCCCTGTGGACGAGATCAAGTCTACAAATACTCAGGGCCATCATAAGCCCAAAGTCATATTCAAAATAATTTATTTATAAACACATTTTATCATTCCAATATTAAGGGAATTGAGTGACAACAGGTACAAGTATGTCCTGCCATATCTATTACATATAGGGAGAAAAGTGAAATGGGTGCGAGGGGAGTGTTTAGAGGTTGTCCGTTAACTCGGAAGATTACGTATACAATACGTATACAATAAACTGTGGTTATAACGAACTCAAAGGGACCAGTAATTGTAGTTCGTTACAACCGTAGTTCGTTATATCCGTAGTTCGTTATAACCGTAGTCGTTATTACCATAGTTCGTTATACACATTTCTACTACAACATTCAGCAACTGACCGGGACTTGAAACAGATGCGTTTTCGATATAAGCATAGTTTACTGTATGTTGTTCTGCGGGCATCCCGGTTTAGAACAGCTCCCTTGAGGCGCGACTTCCTGGTTCACGTCAAACCGAGACACAGTTGACTGCGTTTGTTAAGTAGCTGATAATATTTAACCTGCTTGACTAATAAGTTCTCGTCACATGCCATTGTCCCTATTGCGTTAAAAATTCACACAAGAAAAACACATCGAATTAATAATAAAAGCAGCTGAACTCGCCCTCTGACAGGTGTGTGAAATACCTAAAGTACATGTTGAGAATAGACGTCTACCAACGAGACAACAGCCTTGCGTATCACTGCATTGTATGTCAGTCATGTCACTGTGGGGAACAATGTATCGACTGGAAAAAGTTTGTTTCTCTCGGACGAAACCCATTGTCCACCTTCCTCACATTAGATCCACATGTATAGCATGTTATCTCCACGACAAGAAACAGTTTTATACATAGGTTGTTCACGCAATGCTGGGGTGCTTTTGGAAATATATTATGTAAGCATTAGCAAAGCTCTGATTTCTCTGGATGTCGGTAAGGCCGATTAAAAAGATGTAGTAGTTCCGATTAAACCTCTTTGAAATTTAGGGTAGGGAGGTAGGATTTAAAAAAAAACATTACATTTTTTTAGAGGTAAAGTACAAACAAATAACACATTTATCAATGTGTAATTGTTTATTCAATCAAGCTTGCGGCCATCATGTCGACTTTCGCTATCAGAACGACCATTCCGCCTAAAAAAGATGGGTCGGTCGGGGAATCGGAACCACAACATTTCTTTTCAGGTCTAAAGACTACAACTATGTGGTAGAAACTTAAGTGTGTTGTCGTTTATATATACGTTTGCAGAAATAGACTTAATAGCGAATATTAACTCGTACAGCATCTCTCAATAAAATCAAATTGCCATATGTAAGAAGAAAAAACGTAGTTGTTCCGCTACTTTAAAATTGTACAAAACGGGAGTTCTTGAACTTCGTTTGGGTTGTTTACAATACATGCTGAACTAACTGTATTAACAAACCTATTTCGAACAAAACTGATTTCGACATTGATTAACTGAACACGTTTAGTATGCAAAGCGTACTGTCACTTCTTTGCTTTGTACAAATGGTGTTGATCGATCTGAAGATCGAGAGGGAGATGGGGTAGCCTAGTGGTTAAAGCGTTCGCTCGTCACGCTGCAGACCCGGGTTCGATTCCCCACATGGGTACAATGTGTGAAGCCCATTTCTGGTGTCCCCCGCCGTTGTTATTGCTGGAATATTGCTAAAAGCGGCGTACAACCAAATTCTCTCACTCATGTCAATCACATGACGGTTTGGTTCAAACCTCAATATGTAGTAGATACAACGGAGCAAATTATTGTATGCATGTCCTTTCTTAATATCGTGTTATATTATATATAAATATGTTAAATGACACATTTCAGGTGCGTTCTTTATCCCCTATACAATCATGCTGGGGCTTGTGGGCATCCCAATCTTCTTCCTTGAACTCTCTCTGGGCCAGTTCACCAGTAGCGGACCCGCCACATGCTGGAAGTTTGCGCAGCTTTTCAGGGGTAGGTAACTCTTTCTGAAGTTCTATCGGACTTGTACATGTTAGACCGAGATTCACTGATTATTCTCCTTTACGTGACTGTCTCATTACATTGCACAATATGGTGGTGGTAACGGAATGACCCGAGGGGAGCCGAATGTATGCTTTAGATTCAAATGGGAACCAGTCTTGACCAGTGCCACAAGATTAATATAATATACCTGGATGTTATATACCACAGAACATCGGTTGTGTCTGGACCACGTGAGAAGTAATGAAAGTCCGTTTACAAGTCTGTTGCAAGTACTTCTATCAATAACAAAGACATCATTAAAATCACATCATTGTTTATCAATCTCCAAGTAATCGCTAATCGTGAATTTGACACCTTCATCTGAACCCATAATGATCCGCCTCCGTGGTGTCCGCCCGGAGAGCGGAAGGTCGCGTCATACCAAAAGACGTTAAAATATGGTACTTGTTGATCCCTGCCTGGCGCTCGGCATTAATGGGTACAACAAGGACTGGTCGACTCGGAGTCAGTATAATGTGTCTGAGTGGGGTATTCATGCTTCACTGCGGCATGGTATCTCAGTGAGCTAGCACTATAAAACCAGCTTAAGTCTGGGCTAGTACAAGCAGCTGCACATACACATACACACGCATGCACGTCGTCATATGAGCGAAATATTCTCAAGCACGACGTTAAACCCAATTTCACCTCACCTCACCCATAGCACGTTGGCACCATACACGTGGATAACATCAACAGGAAAGCTCCAAATATCAGCATCCATTCCGGCTTCCTCCCTTGCTGACAGTTGAGACTGATATTCTTTATAAAATGCATAAAATACAACTCAATCGATCTTCATGTCAATCAATGAAGTTTTTGAAGAATATACATTATTTATGAATGATTTGGTAGTGTTTGCTTACCTTCAGTGTGTGTGCGTCTTTCAGGAATTGGTCTGGGCATGGTGATCGTGTCTTCCCTCGTCGCCATCTACTACAACATGATCATCGGCTGGGCCTTCTACTACCTGTTTGCCTCCTTCACTTCCAAGCTTCCGTGGTCCGAGTGCGGGGATTGGAGCTCAATATGTAAGACTGTTGTTGTAGTGAAGAACACCCGACGTCCCAAGATCATACCACCAATGTTTAAATGTTGAACGGGGGCGGTGGGGTAGCCTTGTGGTTAAAGCGTTGGCTCGTAACGCCGAAGACCTGGGTTCGAATCCCCACATGGGTACAATGTGTGAAGCCCATTTCTGGTGTCCTCCGCCGTGATGTTGCTGGAATAGTGCTAAAGGCGGCGTAGAACCAAACTCAGTCAGTCAGTCAGTAAATGTTGAACGTTCTCAAAGTACTTCACGATTCCTTGACCACATTAGATTCTGTGTACGTCACATACGAATCACAGACGTTAACCGCATCATGTTCGTCTATCGTAAAATTTTCAAATTAGGATACCCATTGGCGGACATTAGGATACCCATTGGCGGACATTAGGATACCAATTCAACCACATTACAAGACCCTGTCACCTATATTCATGATACCTCGCGTCTTTCAAATGCCCAAACATTTCCACACCCGGTGACCAACTTCGATAAATGACAATGTTATTCATTTTTTATAGCGCTTATTTCCAATGTAGCACTGCCTACAGTCCGTTTGAGTCAGAAACGGACCGATGAATTGCAAATTTTATCATTGTACAAAATTGCCACATAAACATAAATAGTACACATGTTTATCATTTACTAATACCCAACAACTTTCTTATATTTGAAAATTTTCCGGACTCCACCAAAAAAGTTCTTTAAGAAACTATCATTAATTTTTTGACATAGTTCACTATTTGTTACGAGGGAGGAGTGCAGAGAAAGGGACAGCCAGGTGTTCGAGACAGGATGGAGACGGCACAGCACAGGCTAATGATTCAATAACTTGGTGGGCACTTGTGCACGTTCTTCTCTAACACCTGGCTGTCCCTTTCTCTGCACTCCTCCCTCGTAACAAATAGTGAACTGTGTCAAAATTTTGACGATAGTTTCTTAAAGAACTTTTTTTGGTGGAGTCCGGAAAATTTTCAAACATAAGAAAGCTGTTGGGTATTAGTAAATGATAAACATGTGTACTATTTATATTTATGTGGCAATTTTGTACAATGATAAATTTGCAATTCATCGGTCCGTTTCTGACCCAAACGGACTGTAGAAGCGCTGAATTATTACGCCGGATAACCCAAGATGCCTGTGAAGCGCAAGAAGGTTAATAGTCACTTGACCTATCCCACCGGGTACCCATTTTCTGCTGGGCGAACAGAGACACATTTGAACAAACTCGCTTGCCTAAGGTGAGACCACATGTGCTTCGTTGTGGGGCAGGACTAAAGTCCCAGGAAACTCTGAGGAGTCAAGCTGCCAAATACGGTCACCTATCCAATGACTCCCCGCGCTCAACGTTGCTTAACTTCAACTGATTCGTGACCTGAGCTCTATTCACAGGAACACACACCACCACTTCGAGATATCTTGCAACGGATATTACAGCGCCCTATTAGAAACATTCCGATATGGAAACACCAAGATTACTATAGCCTGTCGCCCACTTTAACATACATCGTCAAGTAGATGACATGTACCAATTATCGTCTTCGAGTTACATTGTCACCAACTCTAAGATAACCTGACCGCTTCCGTGGTGTAGTGGTTAGAGCGTCCGCCCGGAGAGCGGAAGGTCGCGGAAGGTCGCGGATTCGATCCCCGACCGCGTCATACCAAAAGACGTTAAAATATGGTACCTCTTGGTCCCTGCCTGGCGCTTGGCATTAATGGGTACAATAAGGACTGGTCGACTCGGAGTCAGTATAATGTGTCTGAGAAGGGTATTCATGCTTCACTGCGGCATGGTATCTCAGTGGGCTAGCACTATAAAACCAGTTTACGTCTGGGCTAGTGCAAGCAGCCGCACCTACGCATACACACGCATGCACGTCGTCATATGAGCAAAATATTCACCTCACCTCACCTCACCTCACCTCACCTAAGATTACCTGCTACTGTCATATGTCCTTCAGACTGCTTGGACCGCCTGCCAGTCATGAACAAGACCAGCTGCGAAATGAACTCGTGGGAGCAAACTATAAATGGCACTTGTTTAGACGTTAACGGAACTCTTATGGCCCTGCACAACGAAACCCAGTCCAAAGCAACCATGGGTATTAAAAGGAAACTACCAAGTGAAGAATACTTGAAGTAAGTACCGGGAGATTTGTAAAACCCTTTGATTTAGGAATTGAACATACTGCCTGTTCACTATAATAGGAGTATATGAAACAAACATATGTTTGGTTCAATTGGAGTAACTATACCAGCGGTGGTCTTAAGAGTAGCTTAAGTCCATGTAGGAACTGCGTAGGGCGTTCACACCCACCCTTAACTGAATCTACATGATATGTACGAACCCTGTTAAACACAGTCATTGACTCACGACTTGCAGCAACGTGGTCCTAGGATCTGGCTTTAGCGACGGGATTGGTGACCTCGGCCCTGTAAGGTGGCAGCTCGTCCTGTGTCTCCTCTTGGCCTGGATATTCGTGGCGGCCACTCTCAGCAAGGGTGTGAAATCATCCGGTAAGGTGAGTCATGCAGCAAAGAGAGTCATGACAGCGGCCAAGGTCAGTCAGGAAATCCCACAAGGTCAGTCATAGCAGCTAGCAAGTTTAGTCTTGCGATCCGGCAAGGTCAGTCTTGAGATCCTGACATAGGGCGTGACTCGCTTAGAAACAGACATGTAGGTATGTAGACCCTACCCTATTACTATATAGTAATAGGGTAGGGTCTATATACCTATTTGACCCGTGAAGGTCCGGGTTAGAATGTTGATCTTCAGTAACCCATGCTTGTCGTATGGGCGACTAACGGGATCGGGTGGTCAGGCCGGCTGACCTCTTTGGCACATGTCATCGGTTCCAAATTGCGCAAATCGATGCTCATGTTGTTGATCACTGGATTGTCTGGTCCAGACTCGATTGTGTACAGACATATAACTGGAATATTGGGGAGTGCGGCGTCAAACTCACTCACTCACTCTTTCTAACGCTGTTTCTAAGGGAGACACGCCCCTATGGTTCCAGAAAGGTCAGTCATGACAGCGGGCAATGTCGGTCAGGGACTCGTGGTTGCTCGATGTTGTTGCATCATGCATAGATGTTGCATCTTGTTTTCCTGCCTTATATCCGAAGTTAAGTATATAATATATGAGATCAGGTTCACGTGTTGCTTATCGACCATGGCTCGTTGATGTAAGCCGTGTTAAATACAGTTTCATGTTACTTCAGTTTTTCAGGTTGAAGTAAATGTCTTTTGTCCTACATTTCAGGTTGTTTACGTCACTGCAACCTTCCCCTACCTCGTGCTGGTTATTCTTCTCATCAGAGGAGTGCTGCTGGATGGTTACGAGAAAGGAATAGAGTTCTACATCACACCTAAACTCGACAGGCTATATGATGCTCGGGTACGACATTACAACGCTGTTCACAAATATTTGTAAGAGATTTTGATTCGGAACGATGGTGTCGGATGTTTACTACTCAAACAGCACAAAAACAACAAACAATAATCATCAGGGTTAATCTGGAATTTGGGGTCATGCTACATCTTCTCAACTCATTGTAAGGTGCTGTGGCCTCGTGCCATCGCTCAACTGCTGTGTGGGTCTTTCATGCAATCAATCAATCACTCGCGTCCTGGGAACGATTATCTATAGACATACATTGTGTAATAGCTCTTTTCGCCCAAGCTAAACGACGACGAAGGCGGCTGTCTGGGGACAATCTTTTATTCAGAGTATTGTGAGTGTTTTTTTCTGGTGATCCAGCATGGTACTGATAACTTAGTGCCCTGGAACATTTAGGCAATAATAAAGTTAACAATAACTTGACATTTCAACACACCATCTTAATTCATGACATACTTAACATATCAATCATTACACCATGTTGACATAACAGAAGTCATGTTCAGTACATTGAATTCAATACACCAGATTTAAATGGCAATAGATTTCATTTCATTACACTTCATTGAGTTCTAATACAAATGCCCATTTAAAATATTGCATAATTACATACACATTCTCACATTACATACAAAGAATAAAACCAAGAATGACACAGCCTAATACCATGTAACAAAATCCTTAATACACAAGCGGTCACTTACATATATATGGTATACAGCTTATCAAGTGCATGGCGGCGCCCTTCCAAGACCACATGGCATACTGCAGCATACGCGCTACCGTCTGTAGTACACACTCAGTACAACAATTCATTCATTCAGTCACAAATCACACTTTGGGAAATTATAATGAGTTAGGAATTAAATTATGACGTGGAATAATTTAATTTGGAAAGTAACTAACTTTGTAAAGATAATGTTTGAAATGCTTATTTAAACTATTTTAGAATTATTACTTTTAATTTATATTAACTACAAGAAATTACAATACAATTATAGTTAAAGATAAAATAAGCTCTTACTATAAATTGGATTATAACACTTATTTTACTTGTACCAACAAGCACTGTAAAAATGCCATGCCAAAACAAAAAGGCTCACCTGTCAATCTTTGTGTCCCAATGTGAAGTGAAGCTTAATTGCTCAGGTGCAACACGCAGAGCCAACTGTTTGCCAATCAACCAATCAGAAATCAGCATAACTGATCACATGATAAACAATTGCTAGTGTCATGACCTGACATGACACAACCTTGAACTATTATTTTATATTTTTTTATTTGCATTTTATGACTTATATTAAAATGACCTCAACCGCAACATAATGACATTGCTAAAAATACAACTGGGAAATTGATACATTTTAAGTTTAAATCAACCACATGAAATGTTAGAGGATCAAACCCTGAAATATCATCACTGCTACAATTATACAAATGCACATTGCTGACAAGGGCGTGTAACGCATACCATCCCCTACTAAACAGATGTTTTTATACACGCGCACGTAGTCAACAGCTGTTTTTATATACGCTCACCAAGTACACTGCTGTTTTTATAGACGCTTACCTAGTAAACAATTGGTTTTTTAATATACCCTCACCTTGTAAACAGCTGTTTTTATACACCTCGCAAAGTAAACAACTGTTTTTAATATACGATCACCTAGTAACAGCTGTTTTAATATACGCTCACCTTGTAAACAGCTGTTGTTTTATAAACACTCACCAAGTAAACAACTGTTTTTAATATACGACCACCTAGTAACAGCTGTTTTAATATACGCTCACCTTGTAAACAGCTGTTGTTTTATAAACACTCACCAAGTAAACAACTGTTTTTAATATACGATCACCTAGTAACAGCTGTTTTAATATACGCTCCCCTTGTAAACAGCTGTTGTTTTATAAACACTCACCAAGTAAACAACTGTTTTTAATATACGATCACCTAGTAACAGCTGTTTTAATATACGCTCCCCTTGTAAACAGCTGTTGTTTTATAAACACTCACCAAGTAAACAACTGTTTTTAATATACGATCACCTAGTAACAGCTGTTTTAATATACGCTCCCCTTGTAAACAGCTGTTGTTTTATAAACACTCACCAAGTAAACAACTGTTTTTATCTTCAGGTTTGGAAGGACGCTGCTGTACAAATCTTCTTCTCGCTATCGGCGTCGTGGGGAGGACTGATCGCCCTCTCCAGTTACAACAAGTTCCACAATGACGCTTTCAGGTGAGACAGCTGTGAAGGGTTATGTCCCTTGTGTCTACCAGTATGGTCGTATCAACATTATATCACTCTCACTGTTGCCCAGCTATCCAAGGTCCCTTTATTCGATGGGTCCCTATGGTGATCCAGAAACAGTGGGTTCGAATCCACGATTCACTTTGAATTTCTGGGTTTGTCAACACCATTCGTCATCTTTGGTTTTACCTAAGTGGAAACTTCCAAGACCTGTATGAATGTAGAGTTTTGTCTCCAGTTATCTGTCACGCTTCATATGACTGGAAGGGGCGGTGGGGTAGCCTAGTGGTTAAAGCGTTGGCTCGTCACGCCGACGACCCGGATTCGAATCCCCACATGGGTACAATATGTGAAGCACATTTCTGGTGTCCCCAGCCGTGACGTTGCTGGAATATTGCTAAAAGCGGCGTAAAACCAAACTCAGTGATATGACTGAAATACCCTTCAAAGCAGCGATTAACTAAACGTACTCGCTCATTCCCAAGATGCCATGCCAGGATATCGTTGAAACAATGTTCAATCCTTCGTTAAGCCAATTCACTCACCAGTCATTATTTCTACACTTGGAATGAAACGCAATACCTACCAGCGGGTCATCTTCCATTCCCTGTAACAGGGCCAGTAAGAGGGCCAGTAACATTAACAGTATTATCATGATTTCAGGGATGCACTTTTGGTTTCTCTTGGCAACTGCTTGACGAGTCTGTTTGCTGGTTTTGTCATTTTCTCGTATCTTGGTTTCCTGGCAACAGACCTCAACATGCCCATCGACGAGGTCGCCGAAAAAGGTATTTGCTTTCCCTGACTTCATTGGGATTAACTAATATCCATGACAATATAAAACACGTATTCCGAGATAAATCAATTATAAATGTACATGTTACGACAGGTCGATAATATCTTTATAACTATACTCCTAAAAAAAGATCAATAACACCTACCTGGTGTATCGTGTTCCACAATATTTAATCTGTCATGTATTGAAAAATAACGTAATAACTTAAACATTCCAGTGTTCTTTAACGTCTATTGTGTAGTATCTGTTATGACACGCTTGACATCTCCATAGGAGTGAATGCTGATAGATATTGTCTCATTATAAACTCTGTTCAGTGTGGTGAAACAACAAATGCAATTAGTTACCATAGGAATTGAGTTCGGAAAAGCTGTGAAGTGTATATCGTATCTTTGTTCAGGACCCACACTAACCTTTGTGGTGTATCCATTCGCTGTGACCAAGATGCCCATCTCGCCCCTATGGGCCATCTTGTTCTTCATCATGCTGGTCACTCTTGGCGTGGACAGCGAGGTGAGTTGGTGCGACAACAGCCTACACGTGCGTCAAACACATCTAACAATGGCTTTGACACTTCTGTGTTAAATCTCATCTACATTCATGCTGACAATTACAGATAAAAGAAATGCAAACAAATCTGGTAGTTGAAGTGGTGTTGTCTTGTTCACTTAGAATTTCAAACCATTTTATAGTTGATCTTGTTGCAACTGTTTCTTTGAAACTTTGATACAAACAGAAATTATTGGTCCTTGGCAAAACAAAACGTGTGTGCAATGTTCTAATGCTGCAACAGGCTGTTGCGGGTGTAAAGAACAAACATATATGAGGTGTGAATATTTTTTCCTGTTCAGTTTGTGCTGGTGGAGACGGTCACCACTTCCATCATGGACATGTTCCCCCAGACCAGGAAGTACAAGTCATTCACAGTGGTCTGTTGCTGTGCTGTCTTCTTCCTGCTCGGCCTGACTCTCACCACCAATGTAAGTCTGCTGTTGTTAATGTGTTGCGTGAATGTTGTGTTGTGTGTGAGTCTGTGTGTGTTTGGAATGGCGTGTGTATGCTGTGTCCGTGTGTGTGGGTGTCCGTGTGTGTGGGTGTGGGTGGGGGCGGGTGGATCTGCTGTAGTGAGGATTAGTGTTTTGTATCTATCCTGTGTACAAAAGAAAGTACACACCGGGTGTTTTGAGACTATTAAAACAACGTAAATATTTTGCTAGCAATGTTCCAATTGGGTACGATATCTATGGTGTTATTGCAACATGTACACAATGTTTGTGACTTGTGAGTCGCAATCGAAACACTTTTCTAAATATTACGCTGTTTTCAGGAAAACATTTTACCAAAGCATCAGGTGTGTACTTTCTTTTGAACGTCAGTTTATGTGGAAGCGCGTTGTGTGGTGTTGAAATTTGGTATTGTGGTGATGGATCATTTACGATATGAAAAGTTCCGTCCGCTCTACATGTGAGTGTTTCATGACAGTGTGTAAGTTTACTGTCGTAGTTCCATTGTAACAATCTTCAGTGTATATTGTAAGTGTAACCATACCCTTGTCTCCCCCAGGGTGGCCTGTATATGCTGGATCTGATGGACACCTACTCCGGGGGATGGAACGTTCTGGTCATCTCCTTGGTTGAATGTATCGCCATCAGCTACGTTTATGGTCAGTCTTATTGTATATCATTTTTCATTTTTCAAAACCCTATTGGATAGCAGGCCCCATGTTAATTGTGTACGGTCAGAGGGTGGATCCTATGGCCTACAGCGCTGTGTTTCTTTGAACTACCCTCCCAACCCATAACACACCATAACTACCATACAGTATGTTCACTATGAAGGATCAGCCTACGTCACTCATAACTGTCCTCCTGAGAGGGTACGTAAGTCCCAAAACTTTCAAATCAAAGTAAATTTACTTTACCTGATTTTTAAAACGTAGTATTTTTGTTCTTTTAAAGTTGGCTAAATATTTCCTACAATCGCCAGCGGCTGAAGGGATGGTGTAAATCCAACTAGGGTCCATGCAGGTAGCAAAGGTACTGTAAGTCCCCAAGGTCCCTAGTATGGTGATCTACATTCAGTTGTTGGCGATCTATAGCCTATTTTTATATTGTATTTTCCTCTATAGTTAAAATGTTTTAGACTTAATTACTAGTTTAACATTTATATCTGTGTTATTCTAGTTGTTTTACTGTCCTTTGTCGACAGCTATTTAAATTGATTACCTTGTTTTCATCGCTATATGGATGTAATATTGCCGATGCGATGTAAAATTTTAACTCACTCACTCACTCATAACTGTGCGCAAGTGTGTTGAATATTCTGTCACTTGGAGAATGACGATCATCTCTACGATAGTAGAGATCTTGTCATAAAAGGTCGTAAATGTCAACATTCGACAATCAAGGTCAGTATGGTTTGTTCCAGGTGTGAAGAGGTTCCTGAATGACATTGAATGCATGACTGGAGTGAAGGTGTGCGGTTTCATCCCGTGGGTGGTGGTCAAATACTGGTGGGCAGCCTGCTGGGTCTTCTTCACCCCCTTGGCTGTGACCGTGAGTAGCTTACGTACGTTGCCCGTCGATCCTTCTGTGCAGGACAGGGAGGCCTAATTAAGGGAACCACTGATGATGTGTATAATCTCGGCCATGTTAATAGCCTAGCCAGCACTCTACCTGTAGTCATGGGATTCACCCGAGTGGTAAATGTCTTAGACTAGCATCCAGTGTAGAACTCACCCGCCTGGTATACTTTGCAAGGCGGGTTTAGACTAAACTCAATGTCTTACAGCAGTGGGACAAATATTCTACCAATTCCCCAGTGAATCACTTCCCATCAATATCGTCAGTTTTGTTTGGGAAACTCATGGCGCTCATGGCATACGTTGTGAGGATGTGGCGATATGTGAAAAAAAATAAAAAATTATATTATTGGTGTTTTTATTCTTGTCGTTGAAGCTTGTAGTAGTAGAGGTTGTGGTATTGAATAGATGTTACTGCTTCTTGTTGTAGTGCGTCATGGTGTTCTCGTGGTATGACTACACCCGTCTGGATGGCTACCCAATGTGGGCTGACGCTCTAGGCTGGTTGATGACATTCGTCGTCATCCTTGGCATCTTTATTCCTGCCATCGTCTACCTCTGCATCACACCGGGATCTATTGGAGAAGTAAGTACATACACTACACGACCAGGATTCTGCTGATCTGGAGCTCTTTGTCTGATGTGTATGAGCTGGTTAGAGGGTTAGTCGCAGATTCGTGATCTTCAGTCCGTTGCCTTCATGGTGTTTTGCAAGTGGCAGACTCTCTTGCTTCTCCATTCAGCTGATGCGTGACAATAGGAGCTATTCCTGAAAGCAGCATTGATTTATGTATGGTTGATACACAAGTGGTAGCCTAGGAAACACGACCCTAGTTGAGTAACACTGTATGTTCGCTCCCATGATATATAATTCTGAAAGCACCTTGAGCCATTGAAACTGTTTTAGTTGAGACCATCTAAATCAATATTAATCAAAAGGGGCTTTGACCCAGAATGATTCCTGTTTCGCGCCAACAATCTAATCAGGACGTCCAGCCGCCAAATGTTCCCACAACCGTGACGGACACGGACTGGGCAACTGTCCACCTTGGCAGAATTTCTTCAACTTAAACAATAGGACAATAAGACCGGTTGGTTCCTGACAGATGCCGTTATTTGTAAATATCCCCGTTAGTTCTAGTCTTATTGTAATAAAGTATCCCAGCAGTGTTAGATTTTTCGGATTTTCTTATGTGTGGATGGTTTGATGACTCATCCAGTGTGATTTTATTTCTGTGGTATTTTCCTTGATATGTAATCATGTCATGTAACAACGTGATGTCTGTTTCCCTAGGATATTAAAACACACATTTAATTTTTTTAATCAGTAATATACGTCACATTGCCTTTGCTAGAAAAATCTAAAAATTTACTTAGGTAAATACGTATATACAGTTTTAAACGTTAGTACACAGCAAATGCATACATGTATTTTTATGCAGCAATGAAGTTCATATCCCCACATGTATTTTAGGGAAAAGAATTAATATAATACAGGGATTACTACTCTCTTGCTGTAACCCATAATTGGTGGTGAAAACCTACACCTGTTCATTTGTCATCGTTCACTTGATGGCCAGTTATTGAATTTACAAGAGGTGTAATTAGTGGTAACACCACTCAAATTACCCGACAAAAGGTTCACATTTAGCATTTCTCGTGTCTGGAGTAAATACTTAACATTAGTTATTGAGGTCTTCTGTGTCTAAAAAGTATTAAATGTTATGTAATATGTGCATGGGGTTACAAAAAACCACATTGATCAAAGGATTAACCGATAACACGTTGATTGGTCAATTACTTTAATCTTGCACAGCGGGTTTGTCAAAAGGCAGTGTTTATGTATGTATATATATATATATATATATATTGAATAGGGCCCGAAAGTAGGTCACGGCACTTCGCGAGACCTTAGTACTTCCGGTGACAAACAACGTTTCATACCTTTGCGAATGGTTTCTGGTTGTCAGTTGACGGTAATGGACTTATAATCCTTGCAGGAATAACAAATTTCCGATCTAACCATTCCCAAATCAGCAAACTATTACGACTGTCAACAGCTGTGACAGCCAAACATGGTTGTACACTTGGTCCGGTCTAGTAAAGTCATGTTTGGCGGTCCCGCAATTTGGAACCAGAACTGGTTCTTGACGCTTGTCACCGGAAATCTGGTAGCGGAAGTAAAGTGGGCCTCGTCTCGCACATTCGTAACTACTCGCCTCTCTCCGTGACCTACGCCATCCGGCTTGCCGGAATGACACGAATAGGTACGAATGCCGTCTCGCATATCGCAAGTTGGCGAACGCAAAGGGAGCCGGGAACCAGCTTAGTACCGGAAGTAGCGACTCGTAAGATTTACAGGCCCTTACACCAACATTATGTCGTAAAGACACAAGGTGTGCGAGTTGCAAGTGTGAAATGGAAGTTTCACTATACACGCCTATTGATTACCTGGCTGTTCTACCAGCAAGTGGTCTGCCCTCGTAAAAAATAGCGAAAAGTGACAGCAAAATAATCATTGTTTGTTAAACAACTTTTTCATTCGGGTGTCGAAAATTATGAGACAAATCATCAGAGTTCGTCTGTCGATTACATGTGACTGTTCAAAATTTGGTTTTGTTGCAGTTTGTGTTAGTGAGCAATTCATCGGTCTCAAATGAAAATCAAAGGGACTGTAGGTCGCACTTAAGGCCTGTGTGTGTGAAATATGATTTACGTAGGCAACCTATAAACTGTCTAGACATGACAGTCATTTTATAAATTCACTACAAACAGATCGTGTACTATATTATGAAGTTTCGTAGCGCATAAGCATATAATAAGAAATTAATTATGCTTGGATTATAAGGCAGGTATATAAAAATGTACATTGACTTTTCTTTCAATCCAATCCTAACACTTTTTACCACTGGCAGATGAAGTTTAACTTCCAAATGGTTTCATTTGTTATCACGATAATGAAGATGGAAATATATTGGGTACAAAGAGGACCACATTTTCCAATTAATTCCAAGACCATATTAAATTTCAACCTTTTAACGCCTTTATACTACCAATTGCGCTTGAGGGTGGCGCAGCAGAGATCGCTACTTAGTCAAGAATTATGGGATATCATCCGGGTAGTCTCGGGAGAAAAACACAATAACAAAAGCAACCTTCAGTCCTGGGGAATTTTTCTGGATCCATCACTGTCATTATTTTGCCGTGTCAATTTTTTTTCTACAGAGATTCCGGATTCTGACGAATCCCCGGGAGGATTGGGGCCCCGCGCTGGTGAAGCACCGTCAGCTTGTGGCTCGTTACGTCCCGAACTACGTGGTGGACCCCTGGGGAAAGGAGGACCAGAATGGCATCTCGCCATCAGATATATCCGTGGAGGTAAACGCTCTAACAACCGTCGGTTTTTGTTCAAGGTACCAGGTGGGGTAGCTCTGTGGTTAAAGCGTTAGCTTGTCATGCTGAAGACCCGTGTTCGATTCCCCACATGGGTACAATGTGTGAAGCCCATTTCTGGTGCCCCCCGCTGTGATGTCGCTGGAATACTGCCAAAAGCGTCGTAAAACTAAACTCACTCACTTTAGCAGTCACAATGACCGTACAGGAACCTTATCAACAGTAATCATATGGAGATTGCTTCGAGACTAAGAAAGCCAAGTAGAGTGCTTCCAGTCACTGGCATCTTTGATGCAGACTCTCTTTTTTTGATGACTGTGGAGATAAACATTGTATATGCTCGAGTATATTACTCAAACAAAATTGCAACCCATATGTTCAAATTTAAACAACTCGTAATGGCTGATAGGTGTTGCAGAACACAGAAAGTTGAATTCCTTAAGTTGTTTTGTCCGGGTGTTGCAATTCGTTATGCAGAACTGGGTGTCATAACCGAGCTTGAAACTCATGAGTTGCTTGGAACCCTTCTTCATCCTGTTTTCCTATAGGTTTGTCACCACAAACTCAGTCTGTTTCACTTCAGTCGTAAACGTCATAGACCTGCATCATGTATGCCTCGCACATCAAGATAACAAGCTGTGCTTCAAAATATTGCTTAGTCCGGTGAAGTCAACAAAGACTTTGGGAGCAGTTTGGTTCCATTCCCGTAAACGTCATACGAAAAAGCCTGACTAATAATACCTTTCGTTACCCTGCTTTATGTTGGGCAAACGACGAATGGTTGAACGCGAGATTGAATCATTGTTCATCTTCTCTCACTGATCCCAAATGTTATTTGTTCAGATGCAGAAACACGCACCTGGCTACACACCCAGTCCTGAATACTACGCCCAGAAAATGTGATATCTTCTGCGGCAACCCCCACAGCGGCAACTACAGCTTCTACACAGTCGCAGCAGGATCAACACAGACGACCACCACCCCGACTTCGTTAGTTAGCAATGAGGACCATCAGCGGCAACAGCCAGTTCATCGTGGTTGCCTATCCAAGGGAGACAAGGCTTCATAATAAACCCAATTTGTCGCACTTTCCCTTTTTACTAAACCAACGTTATATTTGCTTGCTAACCTTGGAGATAAGTATAATCGGTTTGGAAAACCCACGAATGTATTGTATATTTGCAAATATGTCACCTAACCGGTGTAATTGTAAATGTGTTGATCGTTATATGTATATATGTAGAGTTGATAGTATATACAGAAGTGCTTGAAAGTCAAGGTCATTTATCCATCTCCCGAATACTCGATTTTCTCTCATTACTTGCTGTCCGGATGGCACATCCATATCATTTGTACTCATGAAAAAAGGTTTTACGCTGTCTTCAAAATGTAAGGAAAATTTGTAAATGAAGGTAAACATACAAGTGTTTCTGAGTGACAAATACAAGAGTCATGTCCCTTCCCATATCAATCTAATCGGAGGTTTAATTCAGTACCGAATCTTGTAGCTTGGTAGCTAGATTGTAGGAATGAAGACTGTCATTACCCATACATATCTTACAGTAGTATTTTTATGTCAGATAATCCAAGAGCGAAACCGATTAACCTTGCATGCCAGCATTCATTTTTCAACATGATTTTATCCAAGGTATGTTTTGGTGCGTGAGAGGTCGGTGTACATCATTCGTGAACACATGTTAAATGTTGGTATCCGATCAATATTTGTACACGTGTATAATTGGAACTATGTGTTTTAGATAAAATTGTGAAAAAAATATTTTCTTTCCGTTGAGCAAAGATTTCACAACATATGTCTGTACAACTCTTTAAAGTATATTTAGAACACAATGTAGATTTTTCTATGTTACATTTTAACTTTTGTAATAAAAGATCATATACGTGTGTCAAAGGGCATTTTGTGGTATATTAGGAGTCACAATGCTGATTAAATGCATGGCCAGTAAACGTCGGCAAGTATGACGGTTCATCTGTGACGGTAACGATGACATTGGGAGACAATTGTCCCGAGCAACAGTGCCTCAGTTCTCGTGTAAAGATGGTGTAGACCAAGCAAGCTAACTGTTCATCTGAGACGAAAACTGTGACATTGGAACAATTAGTGTGCAGGCAACGGTGTGTCGGTTTTTGTCCGTCCAGGGACCGTGTTATTCCTTGTATAGGGACGGCATTGGCTTCAGCGTTGTATTGGCCTTCGTCTTAAGTCGCTGGAGAGATTTCTTTACCTAAGAGTAAAAGGGTCAGCATTTAATTATTTTATTTAGTTGAAATAAAAAAAAAAATGAAGAATTATCATTCCATCGTGATGTAAAATTAACGAAATTATTATGTTATTACTCACTTGTGTGCTGATGGTTGTTTGGTTTGAACTGCCCTTAGAAGTAGGGGAGAAGTAATGATCGAGCTGTTCATTTGTCATGATGGAAATGATGCTTGAGATACACATCATGCCAGCTTATATGTGTGGTAGGATATTTCAGTAGATGAACACATCTCACACAATGGTGATCACTTTTCAGTGACGCCCAAGACTTTAATCCCTTGAAACAACATATCACATCAAAGTATTTTCACCCTCAACCCCAGGAGTCGACTTCCAGGTAAGAATGCCAGGAAACTCTAAAACTTGGTATTTGAAACAAAACAGCTGCCTTGGGTTGACATATCTGTCTCTGCGTGGGGTATGCATTTTCAGTCTAAGTAAACTTAGGCTCAGTATTATCCGTTAAACTGCTCTACTGAGTCTAACAAAACCTAGTAGAAGGTCGCGTCAGCTAACCTATAATACTGAGCCTAAGTTTACTGAGACTGTAAAACGTAAGAACGTGAATCGGTTCATTTATTTATTGACGAGAAATGTCTCAACACTATATGGTGAAAGTTTCAACTGAGAAACATTTGATTATGTAAGTGTATCAATAACAGGTCCTTTTAAAAAGCCTTCTTTATATCCGCAAGCTTCACACCAGACTTGATAAAAGAAATAAAACTGAAAAGAAAAATTGATCCTCTAACCCTGCTGGGTCAGGGTACCCTGTGAACAGCTGCACAGAGTTGTCTTTCTTTGGCAGTCGAGGATCCCATGTGGGGTTTGTCAGCCCATAACCCATCTTGAGATATTCACAATGTTCTACGTTTACGACGTACTGCTTGCGATTTGTATTCACACACAGCTGATACTTCACTACTTGCAACTTGAAACAGAACCAGGAAGTATGGCCTTTAGTAATTGATAATGATTACGTGTCATTTCAACAATAAGGAATATTACTAAAGTACTGTCGGAAATGCTAGAAAAATGCTTTTTGACATATTTAAAATTCAGAGGTATTACAGTTACTTACATAACAAATATCACTTCAAGAAACATCTACCTAACCTACATCTAACCGAGGGAATAAATTTTGAGACATGCTCTAAACTGTGTTTTTACTGATGAAAATACCAAAAACTTAGAAAAATAAGGGGTAGTGGGACGTTATTTGAAACAAACATTAACTGCCTGTGTTACGTCATCAGCATGCACGCTATCGACAGGTGAAATTGACACCTGAGCACACGCTCGGGCGAGGGGTCATCTCAATAGATGTTTTCTGCAAAATGTTGAATATGTGTACGTATAGTATACGTATCAGTTATGTAAGGGATCATTTGTGCATGTGTGTTTGTTGTGAAATAAACATACGAATTACTGTACATTGGAAAGAATCCTATCACTTGTGTTATCTTATCGATTGATTGTAGAAATGTGCAACGTTTTAATAAATGTTTTGCATGTCAACAGTATATTTCAATGAAAAAATATGGATGTAATTCGGTCAGTTTAATCTAGTTGTGAACATTGGCCAACGATTTAACGAAGTCACTGGTGTAGCTTCTTTAGAATATATATATTTTTCTTCTCATAAATTTTGTAGACCGCCCGTCTAAGCACTCCCATGTCAAAGTTGTCAAGGATGGTTTTACGTCCCAGTTTTGCATTTGAGACGGTCCCTGTCTTGTCTGATTTGTTTACAATATTGTAAACTTGTTGGTAAGACATGCCAACAGCTCTACACGTTCTGTAATTAACCCTTTCTAAACTAATGAAAGGTTAACCTCTGTCTTTTTTAAGCAGAAAAAACCTATAAACCTTTGCAACAATCGACTGCAAATCGTTGGCCATAGTGGACGCTGTGATAAAGATGTGCATGCATGACGGGAAACTTATTTATCAAGACTTAACATTTATATTAATATTTCTTCAATAAAGAAAACGATAATTAAGTAAAGTAACACAAACATTCAACATTTATTTGTTTAGGAAAAACGTAAATTCATATTTTTACACCACCTGTATTATTAGCATAAATGTAAAGACTATTTCAGATTTCTGTTGTTGAACTCGGAAAAAATCTTAAGTTGCTGTTTTGGTACCAAATTCTCTCCTGTAAACTGCCCTTTAAATGCATCGGAATGTTAAATCGATTGAAATAAAAAGTAGGTAGACAATAGGCGAGTTGATATATTGACAACGTAGTATATTTATCACCTTTATAAAGATATTAAGGCTAAAAAGCATTTTTCTAGCATTTCCGACAGTACTTTAAGTAAGGATGACACTAACGACAATGCTGGCCCCAAACATTGAGTAATTCTAAGTAAACGTAGCAGTGTAACGAATAATACTGAGCCTAACAAACCCTAGTACAAGGTCGCGTCAGCTAACCTTTTGGACTGACCAATCAGCACACAGCTTAACAAATCGCGAAAGTCAACACTCTCACATACCGTTTGAACCTTTACCTCAAAAACTCGAACGATTCCGAATGCTATTTTCCGCACGATCCCTTCCGATGGATACACATGGAGGACGCAATGAGTAAACAGTTGCTGAACATAGCGTGTTTGTCAATATTCAAAATGTCTTCTTGCAGAAATAGAAGCTAATAGTAACGATGTCATTAGAAACCCCTAAGCGTATACTAGTATACTGCAGGTCAAATATCTGTGTTTTATGCGGGAGAAAGTCCCGCCGAACCCTAACAAGTAGTCGTTGTCTGATTGGTTAAATCCGTTCTGCCGTCTCGCGTTTGATTGGACGGTCATAGGTCGCTCAAAGGTTTGCTGACGCGACCTTCTACAAAAATACTAGGGTTTGTTAGACTCAGTATAGCAGTGTAACGAATAATACTGAGCCAAGGTTTACTTAGACTGAGTTTTCATCACAATCTGATAGTCATGTCAGCTGCACAGTACTTTTTGGAAGTGCTGCATTTTGAATAAAGCCCATGAAATACACCTGCTAATATGTTATGGTATTATAGTGAGTACTGTGTGTGTGAATCCAAGGTTATTTTAAAAATGCAACATTTCATCACATTTAAAATTTATCCCAAAATATTACCATGACCATATATTTCCACCTAATAATCCAACCAATGTCAAAATGATAACTCTGCTGTGGTCTTATTTCTGATTTCTCTGATAGTCCGATTGTAATTCACACCTTAGTTCAAAGACAAGTTAACATTACTAAGTGTAGGTGTACCCCTACATTGACCTTATTGGAGATCCACACACTGCTAACATAACTACTCTGACCATTCTCATCCTTATCGGGATTATACTCTGTTACTATCATGGACACCGGAATCTTTCTGGAATCATGGAGTACTGGTCTCTTGGTGCCACTGTATAAGAGCGGTGATTCTTCCAATCCTATCAATTATAGAGGCATTTCCCTTTTAAGTGTAATATCTTCTTTGATGGGCATTTTAGAAGTTGAGTTGATGAAGAATAATGACAATTATTATGGATATACAACTTCTTTTATTCTGTGGAGGCGACGTTTCGACATAGATTCTAATGTCGTTGTCAAGCAGTGACTTGCTTGACAACGACATTAGAATCTATGTCGAAACGTGACTTGCTTGACAACGACATTAGAATCTATGTCGAAACGTCGCCTCAACAGAATAAAAGAATTTGTATATCCATAATACTTGTCATTATTCTTTATTCTTGAAGTGTAATAGGTAAAGTTTTTACATCTATTTTAGAATGCAGACTGCGATAATTCGTTGAATTCAATAAACTGTTAAATGAAGGACAAGCAGGATTTCGTTATGTATATTCTACTGTTGATAATATCTTTACACTGACTGCTCTTGTACAAAAATACTTGAGAAAACCTAAACACCGCTTCTACGCGGCTTTTATGGATTAAGGAAAATGTTCCATCTTCTTTGGAAAAACGGTGTCCATGGTAAGACCTATAAGGTGTTGGAAAGTATGTATTCTAATGTGTTGTCCTTTATTCGATCAGGTCGATGCAGAGCAGTCGTTCAACACTTCCTCTGGAGTTATGCAGGGCTGTGTGCTCGGTCGTATGCTCAGTCCGCTTCTGTTTATCTTCTTTATAAATCAGCTTGTTGAAAGTAACAGTAATGGTATATTTGTAAATGATTGTATTGAGGTAATGAAATACTATTGTTTGCAGACTTGTAGTCCTGATAGCAGACTCGCCAACTAACTTACAGAGATATATTAGAGCCATTTTGTATAATGTGGGGTTTTGAGGGTAATCTAGAGAAGTATTGGATGTTGTAGTTTTTAGAAAAGGAGGGTACTTAAGATAAAAAAAATGATATTTTGGAGGAAAGGAAATAGTTGCTACAACATACTATAAATATCTCGGAGTCATTTTCTAATCCCGTTTAATCTGGTCTAGAAATTGTGAAAAATATAGCTTTACAAGCACAGCGTGCATGTTTTCCGAGTTATCATTTGTTACGTAACTACCCAAATATTGGGTTTACAACTATCATGGATATTTTTTTATACAAAAATAGCACCTATAGCCTTATGTGGCAGTGAAATGTGGGAAAACTGTTTCAGAGATTCACTAGAAAAGGTTCAAAATAACTTCATAAAGAAATATTTATCAATCGGTAAGAAATCTGCTACCATAGCTGTTTTGGGTGATACTGGCAGATACACACAGGTTCTAAGATGCTATTGCAATTGTATTAGAAATTTGTGTCGGTTCATCCGTTTACACCCGTCACGATATCCTCCAGCATGCTATCAAATGTTGAAGCAGCATGATGAAAATGGTAGCCAGAATTGGGTCTCCCATGTACGTACACTATAATTCACAACAGGTTTTTCACATGTCTGGATAAATCAAGAGTGTGGCGATATTTCCCTATTTATGTCTGCATTTAAAAAGCATTGTATTGAAATAAATGTTCAAGACTGGCATACAAGACTAAACAAGTCACATCATCTTTCCTTCTGTAAATCCTTTAAAACTGTCTTTGGGGTGAGGTGAAATTGGGTTTAACGTCGTGCTTGAGAATATTTCGCTCATATGACGACGTGCATGCGTGTGTATGTGTATGTACGGCTGCTTGTACTAGCCCAGACTGAAGCTGGTTTTATAGTGCTAGCCCACTGAGATACCATGCCGCAGTGAAGCATGAATACCCCACTCAGACACATTATACTGACTCCGAGCCGACCAGTCCTTGTTGTACCCATTAATGCCGAGCGACAGGCAGGGACCAACAAGTACCATATTTTAACGTCTTTTTGGTATGACGCGGTCGGGGATCGAACCCGCGACCTTCCCCTCTTCGGGTGGACGCTCTAACCACTACACCACGGAGGCGGTCAACTGTCTTTGAAGCTGAATGGTGTATTTCTTCAGATATTTTACCTAAAGATTTATCAAGTTTGTTTGTTAAATTAAGATGTCAGTCTCATAATCTCAAAGTCCAGAAGTATAGGCAATGTAACAATGGTAACGTAAATGATATAACCCGCACACATTGTTGTTTATGTGGCCAAGTCATGTTTTAATCATTATTAGTTTCATAGTTTATAAGTTTCAATTTTAAGTACTTGTATACAGTTATTTTATGTTGTATAGGTGTCATATTTTAGGTTTACAGATAAAATATAACAAACCCTCTCAGTTAAATGTATCCCTGCACTTATGCAATTACTCAATTAACAATGGCCACCCTACTGGGTCAGGCCAGGTTCTGACCCATACGCTTACACTCTGCACAAGCTTCTTTTGTCCCTCTGCCTCAGTTTCTCTGGTCAGCTTGCCACCTGTTGTCTGTTAGGTGGCAGTCACATAGATCTTTCTGGAGGATCAGATCACTACGATTTTGTGTTTTCGTGGAGCATTTCTGGATTGTAATGAGGATCTTATTATTCAGAATACTCCATGATGATTGATGATCCTTGACTGCTATGAGAGCTTGTTTACACTCATTGCCACACAGTGAGTAATTCAAACATTCCTCTGAATGGATAAATAAAATGGCTGTCATCTGTGACCACGAGTAGCGTTGTGTTGTGTGCGCTCCACCCACCCACCAACATTCACCCATATCCGCTACCACATTTACATGAGATACAAGATGAATATCACATTACTCTCATTTGTCCGTGTTATGAGTTTCTTAGAAAATTGTATGTACCTTCGTTTTATATCAATACTCCCACACGGATGAAATTCTGTAAGTTATTATCATGCAGAGACTTATCATTGATAAAAAATGTTCTTAAAGAGAACCCAAACATTTAAATGATCTCACTGTACAACCATACCATATTACGAGGCCTTAAAGTCTGAATAAAGTAGCTTGGTTAATATGTTGTGACTTTATTTCAAGCGGCAAGGAATGTGAAATAACCTCTGTGTGACGATGTTCCAAGAGACAAAAACACAAAGTAGAGTACCAGTATTTCACAATAACCCAAATTCATTTTAAATGTAAAGATTTTATTACAAGGATACAACAGAATAAATATACATTGTCCAACACAATCTGAATTCTGTATTCAAGATACCCTTTGAGGCCTTACAAGTCAGCCTCACATCTCAGCAGGGGACTTTCATAAATCCACAAAAGAGTGAAGTTTGTTAAGAACAGAAAAGAAATGACTTTAATGATTGCATGAATAAGTGTTTTCTACCGTGACTGTACACAAATACCCCCTTGTGTATCTTGTGCAACATTAATGGCTCATATAGAGCTTCACTCCATTAACATCTCTTCACAAAGGATGTATTTTGTTGTAATGGCTAGTGGCTGAAGATTATACACAGCTGAGATGATGGATGGTATTAACAAGCTTCTGCCCATGATTCGTTCCCTGCAATAATAATAATAATATTACATTTATAATATGCACATATCCACGCTTGTAAGCATGCTTTTGGCGCTACATTAAAATACATACATAAAAAGAAGCGAAAAGTCGTAAGACATTATTTTACAGCACAACCAGAAATTATTGAGAATTTAAAGATTGTGATTTTATATTTTTTTCACTCATTACGTATTAAATGTGAATATTAGCAGAACATAACTCCAGATTCAAAGACAGGTGAACAATTAGTATTTTCTCAAGTCACCATGGGTAGCAATGCAGGCTTCAATGCGGCGGGGCATACTACTGATCAAAGAAGTTACAAAGTCGTGGTCCATGCTGTCCCAATATCGGACCACCTCTACTTTCATTTCAGTAATATTTGTCAGATTTTTCTTATTGACACTTTCTTTCATAAGTCCAAAAACAGTTTCTATTGGATTTAGGTCAGGGCTATAGCTTGGCCAATCTAATAATGTCATATTTTCGGTCCGAAACCAGGCCTGTGAATGCATTGAACGATGTTTTGGGTCGTTGTCCTGCAGGAAAATCCAAACATTTCCACAGAACACGTGAGCAGAAGGAAGTAAATTACCCTCGAGAATATCTGTGTACTGCTCACTGTATCATATTCCCTTCAAATACACAGAGGGGCGTTGCCCCTAACACAGATATGCCAACCCACACGTTAAATTCCGGACTGTACTTTGGGCGCTGATACAAAGGTTTTTCAGTTTGTTTGGTCCAGAATTTAAGTGTATTAGGAAACAGCCACACACAACTTTCACCTGAGAAAATCACATTGTCCCAGTTAAAATTTCTATGCTGTAAGCACCAGTTCAACCTTCGCTCCTTTTGTTCAGGTTTCATGATCAGTGATGGAATTCCTAGACTTTTCTGCCAACCCATTGCATGCAGCTCAGTACAAATTGTCTCCTTACAGAGCGCCAGAGTTCCTCTATCAATCATATCCAGCCTTAAGTTTTCTAAACTCCTTCGTTTGTTTTAAGAAACAAGAATACCAAGCCGCCTCCTGTCACCGACAGTCAATTTTCTGGGCCTACCTGCGCCTCCCTGGTGCTCAGTGCCATATCCATTTGCAATATTTTTCAAAACACGTTAAACAGTGGACAAAGGGATGCCTGTTCTACTTGAAATCACTTTAGCTGATCTGATGTCCTTGTTATAATACTCTAAAATCAACTTCCTCTTCTCTAAATCATCCATACTGAGGATCACTGAAAATGTCGTCTGCTAGCAAGTAAACAAAGGGGGATAACTCTTCACAAACTAATGAAAAAGGATTACCGAAGTTGTCTCTCTTGAATGAAACCAAGCTGGTCAAGGTTGTTTATACTAGAAATCCAATTAAACATATTCCTAAAATTCTCAATAATTTCTGCTCATACTATATATCATCAATTCTCATAAACCAAACTGATAACTTGTTATAAAACACAATTATCACTTATTCATGACATATAATATACATTGCTGGTTATGAAAAAACATATAAACAAAATTATAAGCGTACAATCGCAAATCAAAAGTGCAATATTGTGTACTTGGGTTTACTTCCCAAGAAAAGAAGCAGCCGGGATACCGAACCCAGTCAGAGCGGGTGGGTGTGCACTCAAGTGTAACGGCTGGTTCATTTGCAGATGTCCTCACGGCTCATTGTGTGTGTATATATAGAGATGTTGGGTTTTGTAAATACATGCTCATTTTTTGTGTATAACATTTTGCAATCAACAGACATCATAACATGTCATGTGTACAAGTATCACACCTGCCTGTCTGTGTAATTACATAATGTGACAGAGACCGAACTCGTGCCATAAATCAATGCGTTTTGTTTATGGTGTATAGCCTGATTGGTGTTAAGTTCAAATTGCATGTGGTCAGTGATCGCAGTTGTGTATTGAATATTGTCATTAGCAGGCAGGCAGGCAGACAGACACACAGGTGTCAATAAAACAAGACATTGAGTTTTGTCTGTGACAACGACATATCTATATCACAATTAGAAATTCTGTCAACGCTAAATAATGACATTGCTTTTAAGTATCGAACTGAGAAAGTGAATCGGTAAGAAGAACATGTGGTGAAATAGACAAATGAAATTATATAAACAGTTTATTTACTGTCATAACATATAAAAAGCTTGCGCCTGTGAGATATCAACAAAACATTAGGAAAATAGCTCACACCAAAGCCTTCACCGAGTATTCACTGGACAGCCCGCTTCCAAGTTGTGCGAACCTATTTCACTGCGCGACGTGCTATGAGCGCCAGCCAAGCTGTTGAAACCTGTTGAAACCAGTGAATCGCTTGAACTCCAATTTCGCGCGGGTTTTTTCATCGCGTTATTTTTCAATTTTATAAGTTGAATTTGCATTTTTGATGATTTGTTTCGGTAAGTCCATACCGAAAGGTATCAGAATCTGCAAAGTTGTGTTTTACGTTGCATGTGACCTTTAAGTGGTATAAACTGTGTTCTAATATGACTCTGAACATTACAAACAAGTAGAAAATGATACTTATTTTCGATATTACAGCTATTTCAGAGTGTACAAACCCTTTCATTTCTAGGAATAAGTATCCTTATAAGACTGACCTGTATCTACATCACAAACTCATACTATTTGCTTCTCCCTCCCTTGACCCAAGATGCAATGAAAACATTCTGTGCTATGTTTCCTAAGAACACTGAACACAACACACCTGAACACACCCCACCACCAAACATGTGCACCAGCCTCCACATGACCAGCTTGTGACTGCACATACATGTATTGGTAGTTAATTTCAGCATTACTCTGAATGAACCATGGGACACATGACCGCAATGATGGCGGTATCATCTTTGTGCACACTGCTGAATAACTTGTAATTTGAACATTTTATCTGTCTGTCTGTCTGTCTGTCTATCTATCTATCTATCTATCTGCAACTGCAGGGTTGTATTTGGTTGAGATGCTCAGAAAGGCTGAAAACTTTGTTCCAGGTCATTTCCACTCCACCGTCAAAAGCAGAAGTGCATAAGATGAGATAGAATAGTTTTTATAATTTACAAATTCTGCATTATCCTCTTGTGTAAACAATGGGTTGATGCTGGGCATCTATTCTGCCTAGTTATAAACACAAGTCATTCTTACCTAAAGTAAGATGTCTTGATCAAGCCATGACAGATGGAGTGTAGTTGAGAGATATCCTGTCAAACTCATTCTCCTGAAACACACACATATAGGTCAGGAAAGACATATCTGGGAACATCAACATGATATCATATATAATAAACATGACATTCTAACATTTCATTACAATCCCTTTGAAATTATATGGGACAACTGAAAAACAAATTCATCCACCCTGAGACATGGATCAAACTAAACCTTCTACTTGTCAGCTCCTGATGTTGGGAGAGAGAGAGGTGCGTTTGGGTGGGAAGTATGGTGATTCCTGGCTACAGTTTGAATATAGTATGGTGGAAAGACTGGGGTGCTTATTTCTTTCTAATGGCAATTAATCAAAGATTGGCTTTGTCAACGAATGATGTAGTTTACAGCACAAGGAGAATATGCTTCTGCACTATGCTAATAATGTCCTGTACAAAGAGTGACCTACCTTAACGAGATAATCCCGAACAAATGGGTGGCTTCGATGGGAGTCCTTCAACTGGGACACATAGCGATTGCTCACCTGAAATAGTTACACATATTGTTTAATTACAATCATTTGTTTCTAATAAAATTCTATGTTTCTTGAGCATATTGAAAATTGCTTATCTGCACAAAAAACATTTGATGTCAGTTAACATCTCGTAGCAACGACTGATGTATAAAAAGTAAATAGTTCACACAAGGAATCATTTTACTCATCTCTATGGACTCTTTTACCTTCATATCACAAGATCAAGAAGACTTCACATTAGCTTCTAACCAGTATGATCAGCTCACACTAACTCAATAAACCCCCAACCATATTTTTAACAGTCACCAAACGATGAGCATACATTGTACCTCATACCAGGACCATCACTGTGACATGTTACGGGTTACACTCATATCAGAGGATCATGAGCTGAGATTCCGTAAACACTGAACCATTACATGGCCAACCAGAACCTTGAGACACAGCAGTATGTGGCTTACCTCGGGGTGCCTTCCCCATGTGCTGTGTGAGGACAATCATGTTCACCAGGGTTTCCGGGTTGTTGCTGTCCTGAAACACGACCCACTAGATGAGACACATTGTTTGAAACATCGTCATCCACTAATTCACTTGTCACGATAACAAGGTGTCCCTGACCCCAACCATGTCAATGAGTTTAGATTACAGCTGCTTTAGTTATGTCGTCTCAGTTATGTGGTGGCAGAGAAAGTGATGCAGGACACAGACATTTCCTAGTTTGGTGAAACCCTCGGGCTTGGAGCCGACAACCCTTGAATACGATCTTGACTAGGACTTGAACACACAACCACAGGTTTCAATCAAGATGTTGCAGAACTAAATAATATTTCAAACACTAAGTTCTTTGAAGTCGTTATTAGGAAGTTATCTACTATATTTGTTGTAATATTCACCCTGAGGCCAACCCAAATTTGTCCACTACCAATTGTTGTCTGAAAAATAAATTATCTTCTTCTAAGTGGTTTTATAAGCACCAGCTTTGTCAGTTTTCTAATGACCAAGGACACTTATTATGGTTATTGCTGTAATTTAATCATAACATTTCTGCTTTGATGATACCACTATGTGTTTGTGTTCCTCACCCTGTCCATCGCCTCTTGCAACACAGATTCAGCATCGTCAAACCTCCCCTGGGCCATGTAGCACACTGCCTGACCGTTGAGGAGCAATGGGGTGGAGGCATGCTTGTCACTCATCTCTTGAAAGATATAGTAGGCATCTTGGTACTTGTCTCCACCCTGAAACATTAACGAGAGAAGCATTAGAAAGATATTGGAACATTAGAGAAGTTAGAAACATTAATAGAAAGTGAAACTTAAAGAGGTTGGGTGAATATGAAAGACAAAAGAAACATCAGCTTGTTTGACATTTGATGCTGAACTTTGCAACATTCCACTAGTATCTTCATCAGCTCCACATGTCAGTTGTCTGCAAATGGTCAGTAAAAGCTTACCAAACTCGCCATCATGTGTAACCTTCACTATGAGGTTTCCATGCTTTATTCACTTCTTATGTCAAGCACCATAGTGCTGTGACTGTATTTTGAATCAAAGTCATTGAGTATCTGTGAGCCTCACAATACTTTATTCACAATGCTTTATTCATTAGCAGGGGTGGAAATAACCTATTGCCCGACGTCCAAGTCCAGTGTTTTTTTTCTGTCGGGCAAGATAATTTGTATATCACACTGTACCGGTGTCCAGTTGACTTTCCAACGTTAATTATGTTGATTATTTAAAAAAATCAACAAGAAAAAGGCCGGTATAGTGGAAAAATTATCAGGGCAAGTGATCTTACATGTGCCACTATTCCGGAGTACACTAGCAATTTGAAAGTTATTTCCACCCCTGATTAGTAGTAGAGTGGTGTGGACCTATATAAACTCCATGAGTATCTATGCGCCAGAGTACTTACAACAGAGATGTTGAACCAGGCCTGAGCCAGTTGGGTAAGGATGCTATCCTCATCAAGCTCCTGCATACGCTTCAGCTCCTTCCTGAAAAATGGATATAGCTTTCATATCTGCTCTGCACAATCAGCAAGCATTTTCGGGAGTGATGAGAAGTGCCCAGGGATTCTATTTGGAATAAATGGTACTCTCTTTACTTTGTTCTACACTGTAATATAACCAATATTTGGACAAGTGGATAAGTGGCTATGTTAAACGCTTTAACGGAACTTTTGATTCGTAATCCATTCAATGACCTCTCCCCACTCTTTCCCACCCCTTCCAGTTTGATGTACCTTGTACCTTGGCTTTAGGTTTTACCACTTTTATTTCTTGTCATTAAATGATTAAAGAAAACCCTGTAATTTCATGGACAATTACATGCTCATATTACCAACAATAGATTCAAAATACCAGACGCCAAATTTAAAAAATATGTTTGTCTCATATCTCTGTTGTACAGAGATGTTGTTGAAGGGGGACAACTCTAGGAGAACATGTCTTACTTTGCCAGGTCAACTCGGTCCAGTTTCAGCAAGATCTCCACAGTAAGAGCAATGCTGTAACAAACCATCTACAATGTCAGTGAGGTAACAAGACATACAGACCTCAATGTTGGTGACTGGTCATGGAGAATTGTTACAGGTTTTTGCAGCTGCTATGAACATCATGAAAAAATGCTGCATAACATGGGGGAAGGGTGGTCAGCAAAATGTGCTACAGTCCTAAAGACAAATCTCTTCACACACCCTTCGACAAATGACCAATCCCTTATAATAATTTGCATTATGAACATTGAATTTATTTAGAAACAGACTTTTATTCAACATCATTTTCATCAATCTTCAAGCACAACTACTACATTATCTTACCATTCCAGACTGTCCGACTGATGTAGTGTTCTAAGTGCGGAATCAAAGTTCTGAAATGAAGGCAAAAAAGATATTTAAATTAGTTAAATAGACAAATCTCATCCTTGCCATGTTTACCCATGCTTACTTTTATTACTTAGTTTGAAAAGCGCAGATGCAGCAAACCTCTGCATACTGTGCCCATTGTGAATCTTTCATAATGTAAAGCCCTACTTTATTGTAAACATGGTAAAGAAGCATCTTTAAAATGTGAACACAAGCTGTTCTAATCATTTTGCTCAAGGGTACTGGGGAGAAGAAGTCAGTGCAAAGGCTGTCAAATGGGAAATCTATGTTGGCGTAGCCAAAGACATTACAAGTGTCATACTTATAGTCATGTTGACTCAAAGTGAGCTCATAAGCAACATTGAAAATACTGTAGCAGTATTGGTTGTAATCATCATTATAGGAGCATGAGTTAGAAGGACCCACTGCATGTGGATCAGTGTCACCTGTTCCTGGTAGTATATGGATGATGCCATGAGAAGGAATGCACTGTCGGAAACATCAACACTCCCACTTATCTTGGAATCCAAGTCTCTGACTACAGCTTCTCTGAAATATACAACACCATTGACAAACTCAGACTCTGGAAGAATACAATCGAATCATCAACCACCATGACAAATATATATGCCCTATTAATTGTCCACTGAATTTAGACCTGTCTAAACAACATTATCAGTAGTGACATTGAGAGATGACAACACAGCTACATTAGCATGACTACACTCTTCTCCTGTCGTATATCTTGAATACTGTTGGCGTGGTATAAAACAATAGCAAAAATTACTGACTTGGTGAAATGTTTATCCATTCAGCTAGTGTATTTCCTCTCTGACTGACCGACTGAGTGAGTTTGGGCTTCACACATTGTGCCCATGTGGGGATTCGAACCCGGGTCTTCGGCCTGACGAGCCAACGCTTTAACCACTAGGCTACCCCACAGCCCCTTTCCTCTCTGACACAACACAAACATGTATATCTATTAACTCCCCCATCCACCCTTTGTTATCTTCCTCCCTAACGCATGCTTTAAGTGTTCAGTGTTTCCACCCATTGTTGCCTTATGGTCCAAGTGTTATTTTTGTCTTGTCTTTCTTACCGCCTGCTGTCACTGGACATGTAGTCAGCATACATTCGCACAGCTTGGAGTTCTGATGACTTCCCTGAGTTAATCTCATCCAGGACCACCCCATACTTCCTCTGTGCAATGTAGGAACGATACAGAATCACATCTCTCTGTAACTTCAGGTCAGGGTTAGACAACTGGAAACCAAGAAGAAAAAAATGAAGACAAAAGAGCAAAATGAAACTTTTCTACATTTTTCATCAAATTTGTTTTAAAAAGATGAGCTACCAGTATTCCCTGAAAAACAAAACACACTCATCCCAGCAATTGAGAAACATGTCATCAAGGGGACAACCATCACGGATTGTTGAAGGGCATACACCACCATGGGGAGATTAGATATATGCACTTCACAGTGAACATTCAGAACACTTCATGGACCCCAAGACACACAAGTACTATCGAGTCAATCAAGGACGCAAAATGGGAAGCCAGAAAACACTGAGGGACTCATACTTCAGTATGTTCAGGAAAAGTACCTAAGCAGGACACCAGTGCCTGGCATTACTGGATGCAGTGAAACAAGTGTGCGAACCCATCCTCAAGAGAGGGATAGAATGCCTGTGCGCAAACCACTGCATCTGATCGAAAACAGCTGGAAGCTTAGGAACAACCTTCCGACATGGTTTTGCCAATAAGAACCACACCAAATTAGACCAAAATATGTGTGCGGTTTACTTCTGGGAAACCAAGCTGGACTAAGCCTGGTGGGACGAAACATGTTTCAGTCCAATTAGATATATCGTGTATATTGAATTACTCTGACCAAAGATAAGACCCTAACCCTAAGTAATGTAGAGATACTTGAAGACTGGCACTGGAGGTCAATGGAGCATGAGTGGTATAGCATGACAGCAGTCAAACTATAGCGAGATAATTGCTCCACAGGATGTGGACTTCACCGACCAGGGCTGCATTCTAGCCAAGGTATATGACATGGTCTTAGATCTATTATTAACAATCAAGGGATCGGTAAATTAGCCAGGATTGGTATTTTCATTTGCTATTATCACACAGGACCAGTGGAAGAAAAAGACACCAAAACCACTGCACATAAAAAATCAACTCATAACAAAGTGAAAGGCAATTTCTAACTGTATATATAGTGTACAGAAATGGATTAGTGACGAGCCACCAGGGTGTAGCTACCATTATACAAAAAGCCCGGGCTTACACATGATTGTTGCTAAAAAGGTTGGGCAAGCCCTCAATACTATCAAAATATGAAGCTTTGCAACTTATCGGGCTTACACGAAAACATTGGCTTGCTACGTGCCTGAACCACATGACCTTCATCATATTCCTGAACCACATGACCTTCATCATATTCATGTACGCAATAGTGTACTTCCATATCGAGGTACACATCGTCTGCTACCACATTTACACTTGAAATAGGATCATTTCTACAAGGGACTGGCTTTTAATCACTAAAGGTAAGTAAATAACAGTAATTGACAGATAAATTGACAGTTTTATGAAAATTTGTTTTCTTCAGACTTTTAAACCTTTTTCTTCATTATTCATAATTGGATTTAATATGAAGCACTCTTCCTTACATTCATGAAGTGATTATTGAACATAATCTTGCCCTAATACGCTTCCATACTTCGGATCTCCGGCCGGATGTTATGGGCATCAGTTGCTGCGCAGATTTACCGGACAGCAAGCGATGTCGTCAGAACGCCGGTTAGGTCAACCGTATGGCATAATGCAACGTTAGAATCTTATAGTCGTCACGTAAACCACAAAATATAAGAGACGTTAGTTGCTGTGTTGCGATCAATGTGCTTAGGTGCGCGGAATCACCGGACGGCATTGTATACATTGTTAGGTGACGGGTGGAAATAACCCATTGCCCGACGCCCGAGTCCAGTGTTTTTTTCTGTCGGGCAAGCAAATTTGTATATCACTGAATGACTGAGTTTGGTTTTACGCCGCTTTTAGCAATATTCAAGCAATATCACGGCGGGGGACACCAGAAATGGGTTGTATATCACGCTGTACCGGTGTCCAGTTGACTTTCCAATGTTAATTGTGTTCTTTATGTAAAAAATCAACCAGAAAACAGCTGGTATAGTGGAAAAACTATCAGGGCAAGTGATTTTACATGTGCCACTGTACCGGAGTACACTAGCAATTTTAAAGTTATTTCCACCCCTGGGTGAGCTAGTCTAGAGAAGCGTGGAGGGTCAAGCATGACACACTCGAGCTAATACTCATACTACAAAATCTTTCCTATAATAAAGTGAACTCCGCCAAAACAACAACTGTATACGGTGAAAGAGTGTTGACATATTATGTGACTGTGAGCGAAAACTGGGGGACAAAATATATCCATATTCTCGCTCAGATGACAAACCATAATTCAATTATCATGTATAAAAACAATACCACACATTTTCATAGACTAACACTCACTTTCAGCTTTTGAGCTTCATTGATACAGTGCTGATAGTTTCCAATATACAAGGATGTCCTGATGTCAAATAATTCGTCTACGTCTTGGCCGGCCATCTTGACAATAATGACACGCATGCGTCGCCAACGTGTACAAGACTCAACTTCCGGGTAAAGGGAAATAACTCACTCCCACTTTCGTTGGATAGACTGGTTTGCCTGCCCAGGAGCGCCTGTGCTACCAGCGGGGAACCAGGTTGTCCTCCCCAGACTATCACCTTGGAATGAGAGTCCGGATCCATCCTTCATTGAAAGACAAGACATGAAATGAAACGAAAAACCCACGAAATTTTCAAGTGTCCGCAAACATGTGCCCCATAAGACATTATTTACACATCTATTTCCATGTATACAGAAGTCGGGACTGGAATATTCTTTTCAACGTTGTTTTTTTCTTGAAAACATCAGTAAATCAAAGTAAATTGTGAATCCGAATTCTAGTTCATATCTAAATATCTACTTTTACGCGTTAAAAAGAACATTTTGAAACGATGTGGAATTTTGGACAGCGTTGATAGACAATGTTTATTTTGAACAAAATTGTCACGATAAAAGCTATTTATTTTATTTACTAACAGAGATATGTTAAATATATGGACTCTGGTGTCAATCATTCAAATTAATAAAGCCACACTCTATACACTATTCAATTGAACATAAACAACAATAACATGTCATTGGGGGGGGGTTTTTTTTATGTTTTCTTATCAGTACAAATATGATAAGAATCTAATATATCGCACTCTTCAAATTTAATGTTTTCAAACAAAACTGAAATACGATAAACTGGCGGGCCGATGAGAGCATTCCTTATTTGTCAGTGTCACAATAACTTTTGATTCAGTAATAATTAGCAACAATCTAAAATAAATGTGATCATGGCAACTAGAAATATGACATGTCACCATCATGGTCTTAATGAGAACTACAAATGTAAGGAACGAATTTTCGTTGTCCACGTGGGTACTTTTATCCACTGTCCGCTGTACATTGAACAGAATTTTAAAAAGAAGAAGAAATGTTTGCTATATTAATCTGCGATAAATGACTTCATTGAGAGGCATTTAGAAGTTGGATCAATAAGGAAGGATGTCAATATATGGGTGAACAACTTCTTTATTACATTGAGAACGACGTGTCGGTGTAGGTTCTAACACCGTTATCAAGCAAGTGATTAGAACCAACACCGAAACGTCGCTCTCACTGTCATATGGTCAGCATTCCTTACGAAAGATAACCTTTTTAGTCTTTATGGCTCACGAAAAATCCATTTATGTTAAACCAAGGCAATTGCAAACCGTTTGAGGATGATGGTATGTATTTTGCTGTGTGTCACTGATCTAGCATTTAGACTAACGCTTAGTCTCTGGATATATAACATTTTGATTGTAAGACATAAACTCATGTAAATTGAAAAGGAGCCCCGGAGACCAAAGATTCAGAACCTGGGGAAATACAGACTTGCTACGTTTAGGGACCGTTCATAATTTATGGTTTTTGTTGTTGTTGTTGTTGTTTTTGTTTTGTTTTGTTTTTTTGTTGTTTGTTTGTTGTTGTTTTTTTTGGGGGGGATGATGATGATGTTTATGGAGAGGCATGTACAATGTGAATGACCCCCCTAAATATTATTAAATATTATGGACAAAGTAAGTGCCCCCTCCCCCTGCATGTCATGTACAAAGTCAATGCCCTCCCCTTCCATATGTTTAAAGCATAATTTTTAAATATTTATATGTAAAAAATTGCTGACCCCCTAGAAACGTGTACAAAATTGATGACCCCCCACCACCTCCCCAGAACAAAATGGGTGACAACACACCACACCCCCACACACCCCCTTAAAATCATCCTCATCCTTCTTTCTCTCTTCTTCCCCCCTGAAGAGGTGAGGTGCAAGTGAAGCATAAGGGAAATGAGTGTAGGAAATGTCCCCATCAGGACAATTCCCCACCAGGACAATTCCCCACATGACATTTCCCCATCTTGACATTTCCCCACACCTGTTTTGTAACCAGTAGGACAATTCCCCACATATCATATAATTGTAGTACAATAGATGCGATGGGATTAACTAATCTTGAGAGCATCTGCATCAGTGTTTGGTGCTCACGTTTCCCTGAAAGGATGTTTCTATATTATCTGATCCAGAACACTTGGAAAAAAAGTGCAGAATCTTGGGTTGTCTGAACTCTACAAAGCAGATGAGAACATTAGAACCTACTGTTTTATGTTGGATGCTCTTGCTTTCCTACCTGTAGATGACGTAGCCGCTGGTTTTGACTTCATAATCTGAGTGAGTGAGTGAGTTAAGTTTTACGCCACACTCAGCAATATTCCAGCCATATGGCGGCGGTCTGTAAATAATCGAGTCTGGACCAGACAATCCAGTGACCAACAGCCTGAGCATCGATCTGCGCAATTGGGAACCGATGACATGTGTCAACCAAGTCATCGAGTCTGACCACCCGATCCCGTTAGTCGCCTCTTAATGAACTGAGTGAACTGATTATATAATTATATATATATTACTTTTTAACTATATTAATACAATATACATATACAATCTCAGCTTGTGTTTGTTTATTATTTGTGATGGGTGTGGGGAATTGCCCTACTGGTTACAAAACAGGTGTGAGGGGAATGTCAAGATGGGGAAATGTCATGTGGGGAATTGTCCGTACACCAAGGGAAATCAGTCAATTACAAACTGGTGAAATCAATTCCATAATTTATGTAGGTACACATTACACAAATTAGAAAAAATAGCATTCTCAGAAAGTATTCATAATTGGCTGACAGGAACCAAAGTGTATGCGACTATGATGATAGAAATATATCAATAGCCATGGTAGACAACGTTAACACCAACAAAGGTTAGGAGCATTCGATGGCGTGATACATTTTCAGAGACTAAATCTTGGTTGAGCAACTGTCATTTCGTGATGAACCGATATTTTAGTGGTACACCACACACAAAACAGATTCCCTCCCGTTGCAAAGGGCAATAACTCGAGTATATCAAAATGGCGTCCGAAAAGAAACAATATAAGGAACTCACATTTTACGAACAATGTTCAGTGATCTCAGAGCAATCATGGGTGTGATTCAATGATGTTTATGGTCAAAAACAGATTTTTCTGAAAAATACGAAACCAAACCAAAGCGAATATAAAGTAGGCCTTTCTTCACAGCCCTCTAGAAATGGCTAACGTTTCACTGAAAGTAAACTTCGCTCAAATTTCTGTTGATTCGTCCAAAAAGGTTATTGACATATCGAGCAAATATACTTATGGAATCAATACATTCAAAAGGATTGTAGGGGCTGTCACTATAATCTTCACGGACAACGAAAGCAGCTTTGATGCGCCTTGTAATGGTATGTCCTTAAACCTACTTTATTGTGTTCTTCGGAAATCATAAATGTATTGTTGCCGGCACGGGTCCTACAGCTACACTACCCAACGTTTCTGTATACAGAAATGTTCTCTAGCCACAATATGAATAAAGAGTCGTTTGCCCATTGCGCACTGCCATTCACTGTCCCTTTGACTCTGAACATGGCGTAATGTTCTTCATTTTCTGCACTGAAACTGTCATGCTGTTATATGATATGCATTCCAGCATGCTAGATAAAACCAGCTGACACAGTGAAATACATATAGTGCTGTTATATTCTGAGATGCACAGTATTATCCCTCTTGCCCAGGCAAACCAGAACTACAACTTGAACAAATTTTGACTTGGGTTGAAGAATGTTGACCGTGAATGTACTGGATACTGTATTCTGGCAGATTTCTGTATACTAAAACACAACTGAAGTACATATCTGTAGTACCTGTGCTGACAACCCATTCAGCTGTGCTTAGTATATGATAATTTACAGGAGACTTGATCCTGATTTCTTGAAACAAACTTATTCTGAGGTTTTACTCAATTTTTAAGAAATCTCGGCAAAGTGCTTGTCCTGAAATAAACTGAAATCTGTATTAAAATCAAAATACTTACCATGCTTACTGTATTCTATGATTGCACTGATAGTAATTCATTGCACAATTTATCAGTATTGGTCAGCTAAGTACTGCCAGTCAACATTCTTTACTTTTGTGTACTTGTTGCAGAATCTGAAACACAACACCTGGATAAGACAACATGGAAGAATATTCCTGCTTCTTTGTCTGTGTTACCTACTCCTGCATACACACAGAGCATGGACGTGTCAAGAGGAGGTGTAGGTCTGAGTTCTCACAACAGCTTGCCTCACTGCTATGAAAACATCCAAGGCATGGAACAAACACATGCTGATAACATGGATGATTCCTTGGGAGACAACATCACTGCAGAGAAGAATCAAGAAACCTCAGCAGTATCATCCCATGCAAATATTACTTCTATTTGTTCTGAAGGAGAAACAATATATATCAAGAAAGAGCCAACTTCACCATTTCCAGAAGAGTTTGATGAAAGACTGGAAAAAAGTGTTGATGAACATCCATCCAATGTTGGACGGATAAGTGGGAGACAGTCGCAGCATTTAAATGGTAAACAGTCTGATGTTTATTTTGACAAGAAGCCTCCTCATGCTGGGCACAAACCCCAATCAAGTTGCTATGTTTGCTTTAGAGAAATTCAGAGCAAAAGAGAATTTATTTTTCATGCTAGGGCACATAAAAATGTTTTAGGTGGTGGAGAAAGCTGCCCTATATGCCTAAAATCATTCACAAGAAATGTCGGTTTAATGAGACATTCATCCCTGCATATTACAAGTGATCTGTACAACTGCCCTGTCTGTGGAATCAACATTGTACAGTTGGATGGCTTTAAGAGGCATTTCCACAAACGGCATCCTGGGTCTTTGTTCAAACTGAAGTGCTATCTTGCAAACCTCCGTCATCATACGGTGAACAGAATGGCATCGCAAGATTCAGCAAGAAATGGCCAAATGGTAAGCTCCGCATCAGAGAGGAGAGACTCTCAAGCTATGCAACAAATGGAAAGTGAACCGCATACAGCAATGACAAACAATGATTCAGAAGATTTTCAGAACAGACAAACGTCATATCATCCTTTGTCCCAGGGAAAATCCAGCAATCAGATGATGCAGCTTCAGGTGAATGCTGAGGGCGTACAAAGTGTGAATCTGCTTACTGAGCATCCACAGTGTCCAGATACCACATCAAGTGGATGCGACTCTGCTGCAGTAGAATTTGGGTCAGAAGAAGATGTTCATGTGCATAAAAATAAAACAAGTCCTCGATCATCAAGTAAATCTAATGGTAAAAAATCTGCCGTATGCTCCTTCTGTTGGTCAGGAATGACAAATATGGAAGACTTCTTGAATCATATGGAGGCTCATAAGAATATTATGAAGGTTCCTCACACCTGCCCAGTGTGTCTGCATGAGTTCAGTGACAAGATGAGAGTTAAAAGGCACGCATCCAAACATGTCCTAACTGCAATGTTTGCATGCCCATTTTGTCCAGTACAGATTGCTAGAATCGATAGTTTACGGAGACATGTAAGGAAAGTTCACCCAGCATATGCAGATAACTTCAGAGTAGAAACAAACTACGCTACGCCCCCATCAGGTCTGGTAACAGTCACAGAAGATCTCAGTGTTTCAGCTTCTTTGGATGCAAGTGCTTCCCAAAACCAAACAACAGAAATTGAAATTAAGAAGGAATGTACCACTTCATCATCACCGATTTCTGTACCTCGGAATGCAGCAAACTGCCCATATGAGACTGACCTTCCCTCTGAAGGGGCTACAGAAGGGCAGACATACTTCAACACACCTACTGGGTCTACTGCTGGTGCAGACCATCAGGATGGACAGGGTAACTGCTCAAAGAAAGAACCTGAGTTGTCATGGCAGGAGAATTCAGACCAGCAGCACACTCAGATAAATCCTTTCATACCACTGAATGCTGACAATTCATCATCACCAGTTTCAGTCTCATGGGGACATACAGCTAACGTAGTTTCTAGCTCAGGTAGATTACATACACCAAAAATCTTTAATTCTCCTAAGCGAGGGGGTTCTAGACCTCAAACAGACATGAGCAACGTTTCCATGGATATAAAGTGTGACCCAGCACAGTTTCACAGCCCAAATTCAGCAAAGAAGAAGGGTAAGAACAACAAACAGCTGACATCTACATGTTTCTTTTGCTCTTCAACACTAACAAACACTCAGGAATTTCTTGAACATGCACGACTGCATGCCAAGGATGACAAGATTACCTGCCCTGTTTGTGTCACTGACTATGCCAGGAAGCTCGGACTTGTCCGACACTCAGTAAACCATGTTCCAAGTGACGCTCATGTTTGCAGTGTCTGTGGTACATCATTTGCGCGGAGAGACGTGATGCTGAGGCATTACAGGAAAGTGCACAAAATGTGCCTCAACTACTTCCGGCATGCGACACGGAACCCAGACAGTGGGGCCACAGCAAACAGCCATGATCATGATGATTTACAGATACTCAGTTTTGATGCAATCACTGCCCCCAATATCCCCCCTCTGCCTGGTGATGGGGACATGTCCCCTGCAGTGATGGGTGTCGCAGATGATGATGACATGATGTACTCATGTGGGCTGTGTGGGGCACAATACCATGATGCTGTCAGTCTCCAGGAGCATGTGCAGAACCACCCACATGATATCTAAGTTAGGCTCTTCAGGATAAGGACTGAACTTCGGAATTAGAACTGCCAGACTCCTTGTTTTATGCAAGCATCTTTAGTTAAGAGTTCTTTCGTTATGGTTTAATGTACTTTTATTATCTAAATAATAGTGTTGAAAATGGTTCACAGTATGAAGAAAATTCTTTCTATAGCTGTCACTAGTGACAAAGAGTATATTTTTCAATGGCAGGGGTAGCACAAAGTTGTAAATTCAGGTTAGTCAAAACAACTGACAATTAGATTGTTTTAAGTTTGTTAACATGAGGCAATAATGTACGCAGTTGTACTGCACATGCAGTACATATGTGATGGTCATCATGAATGAAACACAAAGAATATGTTGCTTGTATTGTAGGTCAAATACCTCTTGTTGTCACATTTTGTTGACAGTAACCTGTGACATCATTGTTGCCACATTGTACCTGTGACATCATTGTTGCCACATTGTACCTGTGACATCATTGTTGACACATTGTACCTGTAACGTCAGTGTTGACACATTGTACCTGTAGCATCATTGTTGGCACATTGTACCTGTACAGGGCTACAGATAAGGGGCGTACAGGCGTAATGTACGCCTCAAAATCAATTAAGTACGACATAACATAAGATTTCAAGCGTATCGTGAACGCACATAAATACCTTTGTACTTCTTACATTTAATTTCCGTGCGTATCGTGCAAATGGAAATCTTTTTCGGATAAATACTTGTCAAGTTTCTTTTGCGAAACACGATTTGACACATGAGGAAACCCCGACAGTAGGAATCCCTTGCGTTGCCATGCAACGATATGCGTCACTATTTTTCGATTGGCTAAAAACTACACTGTTCCTATTTATATCCAGTCGGACCTGACATTTCGCGCATCACACGGTCTCTCAGTTATTTCTCAAGCGTCTTCAAATACAAATACATGGTTGGAAATAGTGATCGATGAATCGACCAGACAAACCACATCCCCAACTCGCTCACACAAAAACATGTCAGTACTCCTTCAAAATTCTCAGTACACCTCCACTTGCAATATGATGTGTAAGTACACTCAAACCCCCAAAAGTTATCTAGAGCCCTGCCTGTAGCATCATTGTTGGCACATTGTACCTGTGACATCACTGTTGACACTTTGTACCTGTGACATCATTGTTGGCAACATTGTACCTGTAACGTCATTTTTGACACATTGTAAATGTGACATCATTGTTGACACATTGTACCTGTGACATCATTGTTGACACATTGTATTTGTAACATCATTGTTGACACATTGTACCTGTACCATCATTGTTGACACATTGTACATGTGACATCATTGTTGACACATTGTATTTGTAACATCATTGTTGACACATTGTACCTGTACCATCATTGTTGACACATTGTATTAATGGCATAATTATATTTATGACATAATTGTTGTTATTTGCTCAGTACTTGGGACATTCTTGATTTCATGTATTTTCTCTACTGTCATGTGTTTTGTTGTTTTCATAGCTCATGGTCCAGTAATAGAAAACAATATTCTTGTCTATATGCAAGATAGCTTCCAATGTTTCTGATACTGATGTCAGATTGTGGAGATCCTGTCATTGGGAAATCTTCAAACAATACATTGTGTCTTATGTATTCTTGAATTGATGTACAGCATCCGAGAATCCCTTGCGTTGATCTGTGTTGTTCAAGCCTCAGGTGTATAGTATATTTTAGTAACACAGACTTGTATTTATTTGACAGCTTCAGCCCTGATAAGTGATATTTAGAATAACTCCATGATTGATCTCCACCATATCATGATAACCACTTCTAATTGGAACAGCTAATTTAGAACCTACATAAGTTCAGAAGCTCATATTTATAGAAAAGTATTGTTTTCCCGGTCATTATTGGTAGGCAATATAAAATAATAATGTGTATGTTACATGAAGAAAAATTGTGGTTATATACAAGATACCAAGTATGTGTGACAACAGATTTGGGGCTTAAACATTATAGAAGTTGAGTTTCAAATTTTGTGGACAACAGAGAGATTAAACTTAGACCTGATTCTATTTCGGACTGTTTCATCCTATTTTCTACTTCACAATTAACGGTAATTTTCAACATTGAAAACATACTATGTTTATCTCCTAATACACTGTTACTTTGTAATATCAATACAGTTTTAACAGATGACCTGATCAAATGAATACGTGTTCTTTCAAATTATTTCATAATAATGAAGTTACTGTTTATGTGAGTGTTACTTGTGTTGTTGCATATATATGTATATCTTACGCACTTATATTTGTGTATAGCAATTTTACAAACAGACAATGACCAAGTGATCAAAAGACAAGAAACTTCTTTTGAGAAGAAGATACTGACTGCGATTTTCAATGTTCAGCTGAGATATGACTTTATGAGAGTGGTTTCAGAACCCGATGGGGCTTACAGAATTTCAGGAACATTCTACTTTACATGTGCTGTATGTAATGTTAAGTTCAGATTTGAAGCCAAATATTCAATTGTCTGTGTCCTACTAACAGTTCATATGTATGTAAATCTATTTACAGATAAAGTATGTGTACATGGTGAAAACAAACAGTTGGAGAAATCAAAACAGTAAGAGGAAGTAATGTGATCACCATTATGCAATGTTATTAAGTTTATGCATCAGGAAGGAAGCCTAGCAGTTCAACTGACTGTTCATGTCAAGTACAGTTCATCATCTTTATTATGAACAAATGTCCTCCTTGTTTCATAGATTTCTTTACAGTGTTAGTATATAGCTGTATCAGGCACAACTTGTTTTAAATGTATTTTCATCCATGATGTTTGTTTTGTGAAGATTGTGGCCAATTTGCCACAGTGTATGTAGATGATGGGCAGTACACTGGCACATGTCCCAGACGAGCAGTCACCAGGGTTTATTGGCAGTCCTGCAAATTGTAGTTTTGATATTATTGTAAAGCAAGTATGGGTGTTTGTTCATGCTATCCATCACTTGTTTTTCTGGCCCTGGTGGATGTACGACTTAATATCCTTGACTGAAATGAGGAACCTTTGGTTGTTCATATTAATGAACTTTTACAGGGCGTTATTTCCACAATAGGTTGGTTCTCATATTGAGAGACCCAGTTAACACTATGTATAGGAAATGTTCCATTGTGTCTTTAACTTTGACACTCTTCATCCAAAATACATTCAGACTCCGCACAGAGCTTCATTGTGTCTCCTACTTCTGCTCATGTCATCCAGCAATAGGTTCCCACAACATATTGTTTGTCTGGGAGTAGCATCACGTGAGCAGAGAGAATGACGTCATGGACACTGCCCGTCTCAAGTGTCACGCCCAACAAGTAGTGTATATATGCTTCAAATGTTGGTACACTGTACATTACAATTTACATGTAATTGTAGCATATTGTTAGATTCTCAGTGCAGCAATCTGAAGTTCAGTATGGAGTGGGGCCAGTTGTACAAAGCGATCTTAACGTTATGACCGTTGTAACTGCCATAGTTCAACATCGACTTATGACAGTGTTATCCCTACGACTGCTTCTGAAATGTGTCTGCGTTATATGTGTTGTGTGTGCTGGGACAGCCCTGTACAAGTTACATGTATTACAACTATACAATTGTTGGTAATTCGTGTTTTATATGGTATGTAATTATGTAGTGAAAAATAAAATGATATTTTTTATCTTCAAAGCATTTTGTTGACCATTTTACTTCACAACTAACAGTCAAGTGTTCCTTGGGCTAAGTCTGTTATGGGGTTGTGGAGTAGCAGAGTTGTTAAAGTGTTGTTTCTTCATAATTAAAGGAGGCTTACGTCGCATTGAAAATTATAGCTACCCACTGGATCACTGGTCATCCATAGTACGGCCCAGAGTCACATCAGTGGTAGAAGTTAGATGGGCAACCTTCGAGACTGCAATCTTGTTGCACAACATGCATGTGTGGAGTTATGAGGGGTAGTTTGGGATGTATCGACCCTATATACTAAATGTTTATGGTAGAGCAGGGGAAAACGTGGGTATTTTTAACTACCTTTTAGTGATTCTGCTATTTATTCAAAGTATGCTTTTTGAGCATGGTTTGATGGACAAAGTAGATTAAGTGACATCGTATCCGGCGATGTGTATCGTTGCTCATGATATCTATCACTGGTATGTTGCCAAGTGCTGCATTCAACAACAAACGGGTCACTAGTTCTGTTTTTGTAGCTCACCCAACTGAAACTGTCCTGAGCCTAATAGCCTATGTCACGGCCTTTTTCCCATTGCGAGTCGGGAGTCGTCCAATGGGCCTAACGTTGTCTCCTTGGAAATCACTGAGCCAATGAAGCTGGAACTTCATATACATGTTCCCACCACGATGACGTCATGATTTGCATAAAAACCAAATTACAGGTCTTTCAAAGCCGACCGTCTCCGTGGAGTAGTAGACAGTGGAAGGTCTGTGGTTCCATCCCCACTCTGGTCATTCCAGAATGTGTTAAAACAGTTAGTTGTGTGCCTATCTGAGGCTCTGCATTATAGTTTATTGCGGGAATAAATACGGAGTGGTCGGCTGAACATAAATATACTGTGAGTGATGATTGTGTATCCATTTTGGTATTTCAGTCGGTACAAAGTCGGCACTAGTCCAGACATTAAAACAAACATGCATGCCCGCACGCACACACAAACACAATGTCACTATGTATGAAATTGCAGTAAATTGCAGTTATCTTGACCACATCAATTTTTTTACCTCACTTTACCTCTTTCTACCTGCGATATTAACAATGTTGGGCTACTTTCGCTATGAAAACTACACAAATACAGCCATAAATCAGAGGGAATGTCAGTACACTTGGTTACAAAACAAGTTTAATTGGAAATACAGCAGTGGCTTGCTTTACTGTTCATGTTGTTGTGCCTCTAGTTCAGTTAAAGTAATTATAAATGGTACACTTAATTGGTGACAAGGTCATAGATGATAAACTTAATGAGTGAAGTGACATACACTTTATTTGTGTTAACAAACGTTTAAGGTCTTTATACCAGGAAATTAAACATTTCCTAATCCCAATTTTGTCGTCAATTTATGTCTAAGAACATGGTGTCACTTGAACGCATCCAGTCTGAAAAATGCTAGGAAACAATTCCATCTGAAACATGAGGCTTTTGACTGAAGGAAACGTACATAATGGTGAATAACCCAGTTTCGACAGTATCGTATTTAGGTAGACATGGGAGCCACAGTAACTCTGAATCTGTAAGGTTGTATAATCGAGTATAGATTGGCCATTGTTGTTAGAAAAAAGTTCTTTGAATGCCAGAAAGGCAACCCAAATTCACTGTAGCGAGTTTAACCGATGGTGCCTAAGTAATTCAAAAATGTACATAACCAGCAATAGGTTCATGATTATCTCAACAACAGAGACTCAGTATCGCAATATTTCACACATGTCAATACATGTATAACTATATCGTCCAGACCAAGAGGCAATTAATGAGCTTCAGACCGCAAGGCATAATGTCTCAGTATTATCGGTTCTATAGGATATGCATAAAGATTGTGAATTTCGTGGACCGTCACTATCGAACCACTTGAGTCGACAGACAGTAGCAAGAAGACTGAGTGCTGCTGGTATCAGAGCCTATAGACATTCCAGAAGGACATTGTAAACACTACGGGTGGTTTTCTACTGCCATGTATGACTTATCGGTTTTCTACAGTATCCTTGCTGCTAGTGTTGAAGAACCTTTACTAATGATTCATTAAACAATAGCAAGTGGGATTGGTTTTATACAAATAATATTTCCACACGTATACATTTTCGTTTGACCGTGAGTATAAAACTGAATAAAAGCCATTTTTATTTCCAGCTTTCTGTAGTCCCTATAACTAAACATGCACTCTGCATCGGGTTTTCTGCTCAAATTGTATCTACACACATAGTTACAGTAAAACTGTGAATTAAAACATAGATGATTTTACTAGGAGATCTATGCAAAGATGTATATACGTGAATCTACGTCTTTGATCTATGTGATTTTACAAATTGTGTGTCAGATTGGTCAACGGCCGTCTGAGAAAACTACAATAGTCGAATGACTTCAACAATCATCAGCTATGACGATGCTCCTAGTGTTTCATGATTTCAACTTTACGGCACAATTAGAATCGAATGACGTCATTGATGCCGTCAGAGAGACGTATAGACAACATTCGTGAGAGTGAACTCTGATATATCTCACCGTATGGTAATAATTCCACTTATTGAAGATATCACTGTTTAATAAATATTCAATGTTATAACACATTGTGTGATAAGATCGCGTGGTGCCGCACGTATGACGTCATAATGGTTTACAGTTATGAAGTCACAATGCTGATACCTCTGTCACAATGGTATACAGACCTTGCTTGACTTGCGGAAAGCTGAGATTCATCACACTGTAGGCAGTTTCTATCAATTTATGTTGAAGAGTAATAAATACTAAACCAGCTTCTGCGAAATGCCATTTTTATCAAACTCGTGAAAGATTTAGTATCATTAACTCTCTTAATAAAAATGGCATTACACGGAACGTCGTTTAGTATCCTCTATTTATTATATTAATTGTTTTTAATTCTTTTTTTTAAATAAAACATAAATTAGCTTAAAACGTAACGTAACATTACTTATGCGTCGTAAAGCAATATTCACTCACTCAATCGCTGATGAAGGCGTGAGGGGTTCTCCTTTTGAAAGAGGCTCACCAAGACAACAGCCTGGTTCCCTGGGTCTGTTGCGCCTGCGCTAACGCTCCGACACTGAGCGTTAGCGCAGGCGCAACAGACCCAGGGAACCAGGCTGACCAAGACAAGTGCCCGGTAGAGACAAGTATGTTAGAGTTATGCCCCTTGATATATTCTGAGATGCGGAAACAAATTTGACGACAAGCAGGAGTCGATGTGTCATGTATTCGTGATGATCCAGTTTTGTTACAAGATATAACCATATACCAGGTACGTGGCAATACATGAAAATAAGAGTTGTTTGTACTGTATCAGTGCCGACATCGTAACATGCACCCCGCCTGACGCTAGCAGACTATGCAAGATGAACAGTTGAGCTGCAACAGCAACACTTGAACACAGAACTGATGTCGGTGATAATGGGCACTGTGCGCTTCTCTGATCAGTATCTGTCAGGATTAGTGTGAAAAATATGTATATATAATACATCGGCTCATTTTCTTGGTACTGACGTTTTAATATTTTTTTCTGCAGATAATAAAATTGAAAAAAATAACCCTACTTATTTTGGTGCTTCCTTTTTTTCATTAGGCCTTCAGTACAGGGTTTCAGATCAGTTTTCTAGAATATGGCCTAAGCCTATTCGACTCATTGTGGTTCAAAATAGCTCCATGATGATTTTGCAAAATTGGTGCAGATACCAAAAATAAAGGAAAAGAAAGAAGAAAATACCCAACACACAGTTTCACACTCTGAAACATGACCCTTGAAGATCTGGTCTTCCAGCAACCCATGCTTGTCATAAAAGGCGACTAACGGGATCAGGTGGTCAGGATCGTATCCCAATTTTGTAGATCGATGCTTATGCTGTTGATCACTGGATTGTCTGGATCAGACTCACTGCCCGGTATTATTTGCAGATCCCCGCCATATAGCAGCAATATTGCTGCATGCGGCATTAAACAAGGAACAAACAAACAAACAAAACCTGCAACATTTAAGTTGGAATCTATCTACAGGGGTGGAAATAACTTTAAAATTGCTAGTGTACTCTGGTACAGTGGAACATGTAAAATCATTTGCCCTGATAAGTTTTCCACTATACCGGCCGTTTTCTTGTTGATTTTTTAAATATACAACATTATTAATATTGGAAAGTCAAGTGGACACCGGGTAAGCGTGATATATAAATTTGCTTTCCCAACAGAAAAAAACACTGGACTCGGATGTCGGGCAATGGGTTATTTCCACCCCTGATCTATATATAAACTTAAAATACTCTACAGCTTACTACAGTACTATAAATACTGCATTTGTTCAGATGTTTTCAATACAAAGGAAACTGTGCAAAACAAAATCATGACAACTAAATTGTTTTGCTGATTACTGGCAACGGAATGCTTGTCCCTTTTATGAAAAGCTTTCTGTGTGCTTGCAGCATAGTCCCAAATGTATTGAAGCTGTGTGTTTTGGTGAAAGTTTGTTCACAACAACTTATGTTCTGTCTTGGTTCAAAGGAAAACTTTCTTGACAGAAGTTTGCTTGTTTAGCACATTCAGACTGAAACTGATCATTCGGAAAATTGCACTAAAGATTTGTACTGATGCAAAGTCATTCACTCTCTGTCAGATGTATCATGGTCTATTATGCATTGTCTTGAGATTTGATTCTTATCATTTTTAAAGAGAGCTGTAGTGAACTTTTTGTGGCTGGGGAGGCAAAAGTTTCGTAGCAACTGCAGTGAGGTTGCAAAGTGAATGAGTCTACTGACCGATACAATTGTGTACATGAAAAGCTCTGAGAACCCAGTTCCTGCCATGTCAGGATAAAAATGAGTATCGCAATGTCATAGAAATAATGCTGAAGATTTTGTTCTTGTTTCTTGTAGGCAGGTAGTGCACTCATGTGTGTGTGTGTGTGTGTGTGTGTTGTTTTCATTATAATTGGCTATCATAAGTTAAATAATAAATTTAAAGTTAAGGTTTGAAATTTTTAAAATTGTACAAAAAAGTTGAAAATGATGGAGGATAATTACTGAAAACACACTCATTCTATTTTTTGACAATCCCAAATGGATTTGGTATTATCTCACAAAAAATATTTAAAAAAATGTAATTTAAGAATGGGTCTGGGTAACATTACAGACAGTGTGTAAATATTCTCGTTCTAAATGTCAGGACTGTTGTGAGACATCTTTATAATTTTGTGAAACAATCCATATATCAGACTGAAAGACATTTCAGTCTGCAGTTATACCCATTTTCTTGGACTTGGATGTGTCAAATCCTGGTGACATCAAACTGACAGTCCAACCACAGCCAACACATGCTATAGTCATTACTGACTGCTGCCATACAGTTGGAATATTGCTGAGTGTGGCGTAAAACTAAACTCACTCACTCACTCACTCCTGATTGTCTGGAAATTGGTTTTTAATCACATGAGTTCCAAACAAATTGAGACTTACTCAGCGACAAGCATGTTGTCATACTCGGTCGCTTTGAAAAATACAACACAGCACAGGTTAGAATTTGTATCAAGTGTAATCACCGAAAAGCTTGTATAATGCTGTGAAACATGAACGATAGAAACAAGTATTGATTGGCCTGACTTGACACAGACACAATTACAGTTCAGACTGTCACTAATTTATAGTCACATTTTCACCGAGGGAAGCAGTGATGTCTGTATGCCTTCGAGACACAACACCCGTTATTATCCTATGATCTTCTCTCATGTGTGTGATGTATCATCACGTGATTGAACTGTGGTTACAATTTGCGAAATGTCTGTCTTACTATAAAATTATTATTGACATTTGTGTTGTGTTGCCTGATGGCTGGATGAGATAGTGATGTAGTTGAGCAGGATATGTTGACCAAGGGTATTTCTGACCCCAAGCAGTTCCATTATATACCGGTATGCTATGTCAGTTTGCAAACCTGAAAAAAAGTTGGACTGTTTCATAGAACAACATCGAAAAATAAAGCCAAGGTCCTTCTTCGTAACCTAATGTAAAAAATGAAATGATTTGGTCCCTAGATTTAAAATAAAACAGCTGCAATCCTCAAGGTCACCAGTGGGTGAGTGAGTGAATTTAGTTTTACACCACACTCAGCATTATTCCAGTTATATGGCAGCAGTCTGAAAATAATCGAGTCTGGACCAGACAATCCAATGATCAACAGCATGAGCATCGATCTACTCAAAGACACCAGGAACCACTCTATGAAGGACAGAATGTGTGAGCAGTACATACTCCACATTTCTTGTCATATTATGCCATTATTATGCCTTGTACACATATCATGCACTCTGTACTTACTCTAATATCTGCTCAGTTTCTTAATTAAAACTATACACAAAATATATCTGTTTCAGCGTGGGAGCAGTTATAACAAACTTAGAACAAGTATGTGAAATAAAACAAAATTGATAATAGATACTAAATACAGCCGGGTTATGTTATTAAAATAAATCTGTAATATACACAAGGAAGTATTTCTATTTTTGGTCTAAAGAGTGCTGTACAGATTACTTACAGATTGGTCTAGATGTTGTCAAGGGGTGCTGACTGTCACATTCAGTTCATTGAAGCATACTCTCCTTAACATCATAACTGTAAGCTTTCTTTGACTTTTAAGCTGAAATATATCTGGTCTTTAGTTTAAAGGTCTTCATGTCAAAGTCTATGTGTTAATGCTCCAATGGATCATTAATGAGATATTTGTATGCCTGTAATTAACAGTCATATAAACAATATTAATCCATTTTGATTTCAGATACAAAGGAAAACACCAGACCCTACAATAATGCTGGCCCAGTCAAGTAGTGCAGAGGTATTTTTTGATAAAATTCGTCAGGAACTAAGAGTGACCAGTGTTCATCACTGTAACAGCCTCAAGTCCCTGGGTAAAATCATTGGAGCAGTGACTGTGGCATTTCTGGAGGAAGAAGCTAAATATGACACTGGTGAGATGTTGTTTGACTTTTTGAATGTCTACTCGTATATTGTATTATTCTCTTCCCACAGAGGTTACTGAAGTCATATCTTTCTACGTACCTCTGTTCTAATACGTCCATATTTCCCGGTTCTCGTAAAATCCCCTAGTGGCAAAATATCGTAACACGAATTATCTCCCTTCTTTCTATCCAATCAGAACACGTGTTACATCAACTTAGATCCAATAGGGCGGCCTCCATGGAGTTAGTTCATCAACAAGCGAAAGATAGATTGGGTATTTCATGTTTAACTGAAAATCAGAAACGAGCAATAGAGAGTTCCGGAATCAATTGACAAGATGTTTTGTTGATGTGACAAGCGAGACATTTAATGGCTTACTTGTCTGTTTACAACGAGGGAAATAGAGACGCCATTGATCCACCATTACACGACTGAATTCTGTCTTGAAGAAACGTTTGCGCATCATGCAGGGGAAGAGGTTCTAGTTTTCCCGACGCCTACAGATATTACCGATGCTTTGTGAAAGGTCACTTTTAAAACAAGGTCGCTGATTGCACAACTAAATCTGATTGCAACCAATCTCGAAGCCTGAACACTCGCACCATGAAAGGGCCGTATTAGAACAGATGTACGAGGGAAGATATGACTTGACTAACCTCTGTGGGAAGAGAAAGATATTGTATGGGTTATAATTTAGCTGTTGAAATTGTGAATGTACTGAATGAAAACAAACCAGTAGCAACATCAACATCTTTAAGCAGTTTCTATTGATATAAATCAGTACAAAACCTAGACTGCACAGCATCACTTGTTTAAAGGTTGAGCTGTGTATCGTGGCCTAAGTGGCGAGATGATATATCCCGATACCAGTTTAATGAGGCGAGACGATATATCATGAAAGTATTGGCAAGGAACCTGCAGCGAGATGATTATCATCAAGATACAATGGTAGCGATACGATACGTATCCCAATACTTTACAATTTCTAATAACAGAACAGATATGATAGATAAAATGACTGAAACTTTATTTGTTATACAGCAGAACTTGCGTTCCATTCACACACACTTAAAAAGCTGTTCATCTAATAAAGTTTCAGCATTTAATGCTTAAGAAAGTCAAACATATTCAGTATACCTTGATCTAATATATATAAATCTGAAAGTGAAGTTTCCCTTGGGAAGTTGTGTTTCTACACCAATGCTTTCACAAACAACTCAATGTAATTTATATCAGCATTCAGAATCACTTAAGTCTGCTTTCTAAATTTTATATTCTCTTTGTTCTCTTTATTAACAACGCTAAGACATTGTTCATAGTTGTAAATAAAAAGTGTTATTTGTCAAACAACTAAAACATATCTGCATATTTCAATTACTTGATGACAATTATTCTCAGTTCACACTCTGTGACTTATACACCAACTCCTTTGTTCATGTAGCAGAGATAACAGATGCAAACAAAATCCTTTAAAGTTCAATTAGTTTTTAAAAATCAGAAGAATTTCAAAGAGACTCCTTTCCCATTCCTAATGCAATATTCCTTACAACTTAAAGTAGTATTTAAGTTGTATTGGGATATATCGTCTCTTGTGGCGATACATCGATGTATCATGGACCCTCGCGATATAAATATCCTGATATATTGCCTAAATGTGTTTTGTATCGATGCACTCGTATCGCGTAGCGGACGATGTAAACATTGATACTATCGATGAATCGTTACACCACTATTTCTCAAACAGTCCAGGTAAGAGATGTCCTTGTGTGTTGCAGATAATGCTGATGAGGTGCAGAGCTCGGATCAGGTGTCTCAGTTCCTGCTGGACCGAAGCAAGGTGTGGGGCGGTATCCCAGCCTCCCTCTCCCTAATCCCCATGCCAACCTCTTCCAAATACGGAGATGCCACCCCACAGCAACTCAGTTCTGTTTCCCAGACAGAAAATGAGGTGGAAAGTATTCCACAGGTGTCTCCCAGGGTGAAATCAGAGTCAGGCAGCTGTAGCAGACATGCTCCTGGGATTGTGTCAAGTGCCGATGAGCTTTGTGAGTCGTCTGTTCATGAAAAGAAGAGTGAGCGAGATAGTGCACAGCCATTGGCAACTGAAAGTAGGAAGCCTTCTTTAAAAGACATGTCTAGTTTTCCAAGAAAAGCGGTTGGTGGACCCTGCTGTGACAGGTACCACGAACACTGTAGGTCAGTTGAGGCATCTACATCTCATCTCAGTAACCATGGAAACATTGAAAAAGATTATAAGAAACTGTCAGGTCCACCGGTGTCAAATAGTGGTTTCTCTCACAGAAAAACTTTAGGTGGTAAGGATGACTTGACTTTCTATGACTCTGTTCCAAAAGAACTGACTCTTTGTCATTCTAGTAATAATGAACATTCACAGAATGCTGCTTCTAAACAATTTGGTCACATTTTGACAACTCCTCAATCATTTATGACTCATGATGAGCATATTGAGTTACGATCCCCTCACAAGACTATCAGACAGTGTAACTACATCCCGGAGGAGTCTCAAGGCCAGGACAGTCTAGATTGCAGGCATGTAGAGGATGTGCTGATTAAGGCTGAAGTGTTTGATGATTTGTGCAACTCTGGGGGTGACATGGAGGACTCAACTACAGGAGACAACAGAGATGATGACAGTGATGATCATGATGAGGATATGGAGGACTGTGATGTCAGCATCCAGGGAAACAGTGCCCCATTCAGGCAGATAGATCTATCTACTTATGGTGTTGGAGAGATGGATTCCCCCTTCATCCAGCCTTATCCCACTTCTGTCCATGGTGAAACAACATTCCCTGGGGTCCCTTCAGCAGGGTCTGTGCTGAGATGGAAGAACTTTGTAGCACATGGAGAGCCTGTGCACCATATTGACTCTTCATCCTTGCATGGGCAGACGTCAACTTTCCTGCCTCAGTACCAGTCATCATTGTCCAGCTTGCATTCAAAACCCCACAGAAAGAAAAGCCCAAGCTTTCCAACATGTGCATTGTGTAATGCTGAGATTAGAGACAAGAATGACTTTGCAGCCCATGCCTCCTTACACAGTGTTGACTACCAGCAAAACTGTCCAGTCTGCCTTAAGGTCTTCTCGAACAGGGCCAACTTGTTGAGACACGCTTCCTTGCATATCTTGGGTGCGTTGTACCAGTGCCCAATTTGCTGTAAGATGATCAAAAGGGGAGATAACTTCCAAGTGCATATGAGGAAGCAGCACCCTGGTCAGACAGTCAAGATGGGCAGGAGTCTGTCAGGATTTGAACCATGGAGCTCCAAAATATTATACTCTGGCACCCCCAGCTCAGCAGCATCCGAAGCTACCACCAGCTTGTGTATTGACAGGTCCAGTGGCAGCATGGGAGTCCGACCAAGGTATCTGTCAGAGGGCGATGTCAGCAGAAACAGAGTGCAAGCAGACTCCAGCTGTAGTGCACATACTGAAGCTCCTGATTTCACTGATCAACCCACAAGGGATTATTTGTGTATTATTTGTGCCAGTAGATTCATGTCTTCCAATTCCCTTGCTATACACATGCAGGATGTACATGAGAAGATCTCCCTACAAAGTAGACCTCGACTGAGTGTGCGGTCCCTGTCCTCAGAACACCCTGCTGACCCTGCGCAGCCACCTTGGTCAGCCAGTACCAAATCCTCAGTGGTGGACGAAGGTCCACAAATAGATCTGACTGATTAGCACAACAGCTTTTGTTGGCAACATGTTACGAATAGAAATCTCATACTTCCATGGGCACATGGTAGTGCCAAAAGCAGCTGGTCCACCACATTGGTGCAGGTTTTGATTCCAAGGAACATCCTGTGTGTAGTGTTGGTGTGTCCATGATCTGGCCCTAGTCTTGTTGTCAATCTTTATGTGAACATTCACTGAGTGAAAATATGTCAGAATATTTGACAATGCAGAGATCAAGATTACTTGTATTAAGTGTCAGTGGTCTGATTAAAACATGATTGAATTTAAGTTCCTTTTGTCTTAAGAGCACATTGAAAAGTCACATCTTGTTTAATAAATATGACTTGTTGGTCTGAACATGCTTTGTATTAATGTCTAGCCAGAGATGAATGTACTTATTGAAAATGCTCGACATATTAAGCTAAATGACCATAACTTCAAAGCCCGTTGGTTTTTTCAGTGGAAAGAATTCTTCTGGTTCCAACCTCTCCACTGTTGTAGTAATGGAATTTCCTGAGTGTTCACTATTGTGGTGACAGTAATTGTTACCTGGTACATTTGTAGTATTGTCATTTCTTACCTGCACATTTTTGCAGCAGTGGTATTCACTGCCTGTCCACTATTTTAGTGGTGGTATTTCCTGCCTGTCCAGGACTGTAATAGTGGCATTTCTTACCTGTCCACTATTCTAGTAGTAGTATTTACTGCCTGAATACTATGGTAGTAGTGATTCAATGTGTGTCCACAGTTAGTGGTGGTATTTCCTGCCTGTCCACTATTGTAGTAATAGTATTTCCTGCCTGTCCACTATTGTAGTAATGGTATTCAGTGCCTGTCTACTTTTGTAGTAGTGGTATTCAATGCCTGTCCACTATTGTAGTAATGGTATTTCCTGCCTGTCCACTATTGTAGTAGTGGTATTCAATGCCTGTCCACTATTGTTGTAATGGTATTTCCTGCCTGTCCACTATTGTAGTAATGGTATTTCCTGCCTGTCCACTATTGTAGTAGTGGTATTCAATGCCTGTCCACTATTGTAGTAATGGTATTCAGTGCCTGTCTACTATTGTAGTAGTGGTATTTCCTGCCTGTCCACTATTGTAGTAGTGGTATTCAATGCCTGTCCACTATTGTAGTAGTGGTATTCAATGCCTGTCCACTATTGTAGTAATGGTATTTCCTGCCTGTCCACTATTGTAGTAGTGGTGTTCAAAGCCTGTCCACTATTGTAGTAGTGGTATTCAATGCCTGTCCACTATTGTAGTAGTGGTATTGAGTGCATGTCTACTATTGTAGTAATGGTATTCAGTGCCTGTCCACTATTGTAGTAGTGGTATTCAATGCCTGTCCACTATTGTAGTAATGGTATTTCCTGCCTGTGTGCTATTGTAGTAATGGTATTTCCTGCCTGTCCACTATTGTAGTAGTGGTATTCAATGCCTGTCCACTATTGTAGTAATGGTATTTCCTGCCTGTCCACTATTTTAGTAGTGGTGTTCAAAGCCTGTCTACTATTGTAGTAATGGTATTTCCTGCCTGTCCACTATTGTAGTAGTGGTATTCAATGCCTGTCCACTATTGTAGTAATGGTATTTCCTGCCTGTCCACTATTGTAGTAGTGGTATTGAGTGCATGTCTACTATTGTAGTAATGGTATTCAGTGCCGGTCTACTATTGTAGTAGTGGTATTCAATGCCTGTCCACTATTGTAGTAATGGTATTTCCTGCCTGTGTACTATTGTAGTAGTGGTATTTCCTGCCTGTCCACTATTGTAGCAGTGGTATTCAATGTTTGTCCACTATTGTAGTAGTGGTATTCAATGCCTGTCCACTATTGTAGTAATGGTATTTCCTGCCTGTCCACTATTGTAGTAGTGGTGTTCAAAGCCTGTCTACTATTGTAGTAATGGTATTTCCTGCCTGTCCACTATTGTAGTAGTGGTATTCAATGCCTGTCCACTATTGTAGTAATGGTATTTCCTGCCTGTCCACTATTGTAGTAGTGGTATTGAGTGCATGTCTACTATTGTAGTAATGGTATTCAGTGCCTGTCTACTATTGTAGTAGTGGTATTCAATGCCTGTCCACTATTGTAGTAATGGTCCAATTGTATTGTAGTAATGGTATTTCCTGTCCCTGTGGTACTATTGTAGTAGTGGTATTTCCTGCCTGTCCACTATTGTAGCAGTGGTATTCAGTGTTTGTCCACTATTGTAGTAGTGGTATTCAAAGCCTGTCCACTATTGTAGTAGTGGTATTGAGTGCTTGTACACTATTTTAGTAGTGGTATTCAGTGCATGTCCACTATTGTAGTAGTGGTATTCAATGCCTGTCCACTATTGTAGTAGTGGTATTCAATGCCTGTCCACTATTGTAGTAGTGGTATTCAGTGTGGTATTCAATGCCTGTCCACTATTGTAGTAGTGGTATTCAGTGCCTGTCCACTATTGTAGTAGTGGTATTCAATGCCTGTCCACTATTGTAGTAGTGGTATATTGTAGTAGTGGTATTTCCCTGTCCACTATTGTAGTAGTGGTATTCAATGCCTGTCCACTATTGTAGTAGTGGTATTTCCTGCCTGTCCACTATTGTAGTAGTGGTATTCAATGCCTGTCCATAATTGTAGTAGTGGTATTTCCTGCCTGTACTATTTTAGTAATGGTATTCAGTGCCGTCTACTATTGTAAAGTATGACCAGAAATTATTGACAATTTTAGGAATATGTTTAAAATTGGATTTCTTGTATAAACAACCGTGACCAGCTATCAAGTGCTTGGTTTCATTCAGGAGAGACAACTTCGTTAATCCTTTTTCATTAGTTTGTGAAGAGTTATCCCCCTTTGTTTACTTGCTAGCAGACAACATTTTCAGTGATCCTCAGTATGGATGATTTAGAGAAGAGGAAGTTGATTTTAGAGTATTATAACAACTACATCAGATCAACTAAAGTGATTTCAAGTAGAACAGGCATCCCTTTGTCCACTGTTTATCGTGTTTTGAAAAATATTGCAAATGGATATGGCAATGAGCACCAGGGAGGTGCAGGTAGGCCCAGAAAATTGACTGTCGGTGACAGAAGGCGGCTTGGTATTCTTGTTTCTAAAAACAAACGAAGGAGTTTAGAAAACTTAAGGCTGGATATGATTGATAGAGGAACTTTGGCTGTCTGTAAGGAGATAATTAGAACTGAGCTGCATGCAATGGGTTGGCAGAAAGGTCGAGGAATTCCATGAACAAAAGGATCGAAGGTTGAACTGGTGCTTACAGCGTAGATATTTTAACTGGGACAATGTGATTTTCTCAGATGAAAGTTCTGTGTGGCTGTTTCCTAATACACTTAAATTCTGGACTAAACAAACTGAAAAACCTTTGTATCAGCGCCCAAAGTAGTCTGAAATTTAACGTGTGGAGTGGCATCTCAGTGTTAGGGGCAATGCCCCTCTGTGTATTTGAAGGGAATATGAACAGTGAGCAGTACACAGATATTCTCGAGGGACATTTACTTCCATCTGCTCACGTGTTGTATGGAAATTTTTTGATTTTCCAGCAGGACAACGACCCAAAACATCGTTCAAAGCATTCACAGGCCTGGTTTTGGACCGAAAATATGACATTATTAGATTGGCCAAGCTATAGCCCTGACCTAAATCCAATAGAAACTGTTTGGGGACTTATGAAAGAAAGTGTCAATAAGAAAAATCTGACAAATATTGCTGAAATGAAAGAAGAGGTGGTCCGATATAGGGACAGCATGGACCACGACTTTCTAACTTCTTTGATCAGTAGTATGCCCCGCCACATTGAAGCCTGCATTGCTGCCCATGGTGACTTGAGAAAATACTAACTGTTCACCTGTCTTTGAATCTGGAGTTATGTTCTGCTAATATTCACATTTAATATGTGAGTATTGAGTGAAACAAATAAAAAAATTACAATCTTTAAATTCTCAATAATTTCTGGTTGTACTGTAGTAGTGGTATTCGATGTCTGTCCTCTATTTTAGTAGTGGTATTCAGTGCCTGTCTACTATTTTAGTAATGGTATTCAATGCATGTCTACTATTGTAGTAGTGGTATTCAATGCCTGTCCACTATTTTAGTAATGGTATTCAATGCATGTCCACTTTTGTAGTAGTGGTATTCAATGCATGTCTACTATTGTAGTAATGGTATTCAATGCATGTCTACTATTGTAGTAGTGGTATTCAATGCCTGTCCACTATTTTAGTAGTGGTATTCAATGCATGTCCACTTTTGTAGTAGTGGTATTCAATGCCTGTCCACTATTTTAGTAATGGTATTCAATGCCTGTCCACTATTGTAGTAATGGTATTCAATGCATGTCCACTTTTGTGGTAGTGGTATTTTAATGCCTGTCTATTATTGTTGTACAGGTATTCAATGTGTGTCCACCGTTTTAGTGGTAGTATTATTTTCCTGCCTGTCCACTACAGATGTAATAAATAACAAAACACTGAATCAACCACATATGCAAACTGTCGTCATGAAACAGCAGGCTGGTTTATTACATCACCAGACTGAAGTAAGGCAATTTAAACTGGAACATCATTGGCAACTGCTGTGAGCACTGATTATTGTTGAAGGATTGACCATAGTACTTTGAGGATAAGTAGGATAATGTAAAAATAATAGAAAAGACTGCTGTTTCACATATACCTTCATTTAAATATTTGTCATTTGCAACTTCATACCCTTCAAACAATCATTGTTACACACAGATCGGAAACCTTCATCCTACTGCCTCCTAAGATACAACCTTATGATTGTCTTACAACACAAAGTTAAGATATCTGGAAAAATAAAACAAATTCCCACTTAACCATCAATAAGTGGAACTAAGTTATGGAGCAAGTGCAGCACTCTTCTAGATTACTCTCCCCTATCACAGTATAACAGTGTGACCAGTGATCAGGTTTACCGGACAGGGACATTTGTATTTTCTGGATGCAGTCTGCAGATTGTTCATGTTTAATGTAGATACTCAGCAAGGTTCTACAATATTTTCTACACCTGCACTGATAAGCAGAACAGTGGATATTATCACTTGGGCATTATGTAGCATTGCAACTTGAGCATTATGGCGCATTATCCACTGAGACATTATGAAGCTTTACACTTGGGGTATCATGAAGCATTAGATCTTAACTATGATGGGAAATGAACTATTGAAGGTTATGAAGCAATACAGCTCGAGCGGTTTTAAACATTGTCTACCTGAGCATTATGAGGCACTACTCTACTCCTGGGGCATTATGGGGCACTATAACTGAAGGATTTCAGGGCATTACACATGGAGCATTATGGGGCACTAAACCTGGAGCATTATGGGGCACTATTCCTGGAGCATTTACGGGGCACTATACCTGAAGCATTATGGGGCACTATACCTGGAGCATTATGGGGCACTGCACCTGGAGCATTATTGGGCACTGTACCTGAAGCATTATGGGGCACTATACCTGGTGCTTTATGGGGCGCTATATCAGGGGCATTATGGTGCACTACGCCTGGAGCATTATGGGCACTATACCTGGGGCAATATGAGGCACTATACCTGGGGCATTATGGGCACTACACCTGGAGCATTATGGGGCATTATTGGGCACTACATCTGGAGCATTATGGGGCACTACACCTAGAGCATTATGAGGCACTATACCTGGTGCATTATTACAGCTGGAGACTTGACACTTTAGGGTACATTATTTTCTTGATGGGGTCATGGACATACATGGTAAACTGTCAGATGACATTACCTAGCTTTGCTCATATCTTATTGGTTGTCACAGATATTAGTTATACAAACATGACGGGTGTTACATTAAGGCACCATCTTCCCTCTGTACTGGCGTCTACTGATGTAACAGATGATGACAACTACATTATTGTCAGGATACATTGTCAGAAGCATTATCGGGGATGGATATATGGGCAGTTGTGTGGATTGATACAGGGGCATTATTGGAGTTTATATTGAAAATTGATACATGGCATTATTGAGGTGTGATAAACAACCATTCTCAGTTAAAATGTACAATTGCCAGTGGAAACTCGCGGGAAAAAAATGTTTCATGTTCGGTAAATTGCATTACTTTTCATGAATTACAAGCATTAGAGAATCTGTTACTGATCAGTTGACATTTGTGTGAAAGCAATATTGTGTTCGGCATAGAATACAACTCATTTTACTTGTTAAACTTGTTTATATGTAGTAAATGTTATGTACATCAGTTACCATAACGTAAATTACGTTACTTCTACCTACAAAATTAAAAAAAATATTGTCTGTTTGTTTCTTTCTCATCCTTGATTTTTATGTTCTTAAATATAAAAGCACACTTTGAAATTTCATTATGCTGGTTTATTACGTTGACTTGTAAGTAATAAGTATTATCTAGAAGAGAATCATTGGCGGCAATATGTTTGCCGACAGCAAGAAAATCATGACCAACTGTAAAGGAACAGTCAGTTTCGAATATTTTAGTTGACCAAAAACTTCTATTACATTTGACTATTGAAACTGTCGATTTCATATGAAAAATGGTTTCACGTTAAGGATAGCGGGGCCTGCAACCAGTCCGACAGCATTTGTACAACTTAACTGAGAATGACTGAAAAGGTCATTATGGATGACTGATAAAGGGTCACTGTCAAGCCTTCATACAGGAGCATAAAGGAACATTGAGACACGGACATTACTGAGGACTGATTCAGGAGCATTATTTGGTGATTCTTACAGGAGCATTATTTGGGGATTCTTACAGGAGCATTATTTGGGGATTCATATGGGGCATTATGACGGATTGGCACAGGGCGGGTTCAGGGGAACCGATGGGCGAGCATTACAAAGGACTGATATACTGGGCACCAGGGAGAGTTGCTACTTGGAGCATGGCGCGCTGGAACTATTGAGAAGGGAGCCTTATGTAGCATAACAAAGTATGTATTGAACATTACAACTGGGCATTGTTGAGCATTGCAACTGGAATGCACGGAACATTATGGCTTGGGTGTCTTAGAGCATTTGAAATATTGAGGGACATTGGAAATATATGAAGTATTAAATTCTGAACAACTAGAAACATCTCTAGAAACAGTTGACTGCAAGGGTAAGTTCCCCACGGGAATAACAAGAAATAGAAAACACGATACACATCTTTGTAGAAAAAACACTTGAACACGGATAAAAACAGCAATGTCAAAATTCAACGGTAACAAACGAGTTCTGTTACAATAAATGAAGATCGTTCACGAAGTGTACATATATACAGAGGGCTGTCGACGCTCATCTAAAACATGACTTAAAAATTCACTCAACAAAGGTAAGATATATGATCCTGTTGGTAAAAACCATACACTACACATACTCTGACAAATGTCAGTATCTTTGTTTACAGATTTTGGAAACAAGATGAAACACGCCTAGATAACGGGTATATCACAATCCAGATCTCCCTGCACAGAGGTAGAAGCAAGCACTCCTGAAGGCCAGTACACGTTGTAGCCACTCTCGCGCATCCACAACGCCATCACTCAAAACGCCATCATGCTGACCGCCATAACGCTGAACGTCATTACGCTGATCGACGTTTTCAGCACATACCAGATGTTATTGGTTACCAGTACAGATTGGGATACCATAGCATATTTTACAGGATCACAAGTAGGGTTGAAACATACGGGAGTTACAGGGTTATGTTTAGGGTATACGAGCACTATACCAGCAGTTTACATTATGTCACTTCAATAACAGAACATTGTAAGCATTTAAAAGGGAGTCACATATTTGTACCGGAAGTTACTTCAATGGCAGACATCAAGAGTTACTAAGCTATTGAAACGATAGTCAAAAAATGAACTGTGTTTGTTTTGTGCACTGAAAGACAGAAGTATGTGACCCGAACGTCATTTGGTCAGTTACTGTTACTGTCTTCATATAATCGGGACATAAGATACAGTTGATATGTAATGCCGTTCCCTGTGTTGTATCAGGATTACCTTTCAAAATATCGATGGAAACAAACCACACGTTAATACCTTTAGAATAACTATCATGTAAGTAAAAGCGATGATTTTAGTCCATACGCTGCCTACGTAGGCTGAACGGACGTATTCCCGTTACGTTTTACGTGTGATGGATTAGGAGAGTGTGTTGCGTGAGAGGAAGGAGGGGCAGCACCACGGGAGTGCCAATTAGGGAGAAACCAGGGACCGTTAAGGGGAGTTCCAGCGTATTTGGTGTTGATCATCAAACCACTGACTCAACCATAGGCATTTATAAACCACGTAATGACCTTCACCATTGTAGACAGGGACCCACATAATTACACAATTACGAAAGTAGTACCACCATCCTCGTTAATCTCCAGGGTATACGTTCCGATAAAATCTCCACTAGTACCCTGGATGTATCTGGATGGCTCGTCCAGACAATTTTTTTACCTCCCTTTGCTGGCTCCGCATTCTCACAGTAGCCAATCAGCTAAGCCGCCGTTACAACGGAGCTTGCCAGTGTCAACAAAGATAGCGGTCGCAGCCGCGAATCAGATTTGGGGGCGGGATCTCATACAGACAAATTGACAGGTCTGAAACCTTAAAAAACATATGCAAGAACTCTTTCTACCTCTTTCAGAGTACCTCTGCAACAATTATATTGCCGAGCTTAATCGATTAGATAAAAGAAGCGAAAAGTTGTGGTTAGTACGCTCAACTTCCCAGCGTAGACACCTGAATGGATTAAAAGCCAGCCAAGGGAGGTAATAAAATCATGGGGCCGAGCCGTAGATGCATCCAGGATATAGTGGAGATTTATCGTAACGTATACCCTGGAGATTATCGAGGATGGTGGTTCTCATGATGTAATTAGAAATCGCGTATGAGGAATGATCAATTTGTGAGGTACGTGGACGTTTCAGGAGCTCCTGCTGTAATGGAGCTTGTCCAACCACATCCGGTGTACACTGGCAATGTTTGTAATGAGGTGGAACATACCACGAAGTAGTATATGTATATCAGATAAGGCAACCTACGTTATACGGAATCGCCGCTATAGCACAGACAGTCCTGAATATTATCTCTCACTCCTCGGAATAACAAATATCACACCATTTCGTTCGTATGCCACGACAAGGTCTCACTGCAACTGCGTCTCCCAAGCAGGACAAGAAGACTGAAACCACCCAAGTCGAACATCAGCAGATTGTGCGTTATACCGAGGAGATACAGTCATTAGCTGCTCATAGATGTGTTCTTTCCTTGGTGTTCCTCATCCACCATGGGCTTGGTTTCGGTGGGACCATACTGGAACATCTTCAGTTCACAGTGTCGCAGACTCCTGAGAATTTAACACACATCCACACATCAAGACGCATCCCTGTCTCATGCAGCGTTGACAAGAAGCGACATGCTTTGGTTATATGTCCAGTCTATACCTGGAGGAGCTGCTAAGATATTTCACAAAACGTTGGCGAACATTGTTTCTGAGCTTGTAAGTTGGCTTTTCTTCGTATGGACTCTGTGGAGAAGAAGACAGAAGATAACCAGGTTTACAGATACCCTTCATTGGCATGTATCAGTCACAGAGGTAACGCACCACGGTAAAGCACCTTACTGTAATAGTTGATGGCGATTGTTTAACGTGTAGACTTTGTGCCATGAGGAATGGTATGTGTCAATCTTGTTATGAGAAATGGTTAGTGTAGATTATGTGCCATGAAGAATTGTTAGTGTTGATATTGAAACATGAAGAATATATGGATAATGGTGCGGGCAGACTTTTTATCATAGATAATGCTATGTGTAGATTTTGTAATGGTCGACAGTGGTTGATGCCTCACCGGCTAATTGTCTCTTGTCTACACTGACTAGGGCTTCAAACAGCAGTTTGAGAACATTCTCATCCTTTCTAACTCCATGCAGCCAGATCATCAGCAGCCTATAGCCGTGCTCCTTGTAACTGTTGGGACCTGCACAGATAAAGTTTAGGCCATGTTGTGGTCACTCGTAAAATTGCTTTAGAACACGATATTCTAGGAAGAGACACCCTTTTGCCGATGTTCCAGGAAGACTCACCACGTACTGATGTTCTAGAAAGACCCATCCGTATACCTACTTCATAGGAAGACCCACCCGCGTACTAATGTTGTAGGAAGACCCACTCAAGTACAGAGATTCACAGAAGACCCACTCACGTACTGATGTTCTTGGAAGGCCCGCCCATGTACGGATGTTCCTGGAAGTCCACCCAAGTACTGATGTTCCAGGAAGACCCATCCGTATACCTACGTTCTAAGAAGACCCACCCACGTATCGCTGTTCTACCCGAAGACCCACCCGTGTATCAGTGTTCTATGTCGACCCACCTGTATACTGGTGTTCTATAGATCGGATATGTTCGGGGGTGAACCTCCAATGGACTGCAAGTTTCTTCCAGTCGTACTGCTTGAGCTGTTTTGTGGCAAGTTTCCACATCACTTCCTTCATCTGCGTGGCTGCGGGGTGTGCAAGACGACGGAGATACTGGTGCGGGTCCACGTAGCCGAGGTCCATGTCGTGGTAGTCCTGATACAGACAGAAAGGGTGTGTTTTACGCCGGGGACATTCAAGCTGAATCTCATCGACGTATAAATAATGCTATAAATGTGAATCAGAGGAGTCATGGGAATAATGCTATAAATGTGAATCAGAGGAGTCATGGGAATAATGCTGCTATAAATGTGAATCAGAGGAGCCATGGGAATAATGCTATAAATGTGAATCAGAGGAGTCATGGGAATAATGCTATAAATGATGTGAATGCTATAAATGTGAATCAGAGGAGTCATGGGAATAATGCTATAAATGTGAATCAGAGGAGCCATGGGAATAATGCTATAAATGTGAATCAGGTGTCATGGGAATAATGCTATAAATGTGAATCAGAGGAGTCATGGGAATAATGCTATAAATGTGAATCAGAGGAGCCATGGGAATAATGCTATAAATGTGAATCAGAGGAGCCATGGGAATAATGCTATAAATGTGAATCAGAGGAGTCATGTGAATAATGCTATAAATGTGAATCAGAGGTGTCATGGGAATAATGCTATAAATGTGAATCAGAGGAGTCATGGGAATAATGCTATAAATGTGAATCAGAGGAGTCATGTGAATAATGCTATAAATCTGAATCAGAGGAGTCATGGGAATAATGCTATAAATGTGAATCAGAGGAGTCATGGGAATAATGCTATAAATGTGAATCAGAGGAGTCATGGGAATAATGCTATAAATGTGTACGGTTGCGTATGAAATATGTTGTAATCATCCTTTTTCGTCATCGTCAGATATTTCTTCATAATGACGTGTCGTCTTCTTCTCCAGTACCGTTGACGCAATGGAACATCTATTGGACTATGTACTGGTGAGATCGAATAAACAAAGTTAAAATCTAAACCAAATCTAAACTGAATGTTAACCTAACCGCCGCCCCGCACGGTGAAGGTTTTCATCCATCTATCTTATCCTTTCTCATGCCTTATATGTTAACTGTTATTTCCGTTCCTACACAAGGCAGATAGGTGGGATGAAGCAACTCTTATAATACTCACCCTCGCTATGGCGTAGTACCTGTCTGCTTTGATGATCATGTCTACAATGGCGACAAAACTGCCCCTAGCGGCAAGTTGGAGAGCCGTCTTACCCGTCTGGAAATAAACCATATATTCCATCAGATCAGTCCTTGATCAACAGCCAGGGTCAAAGATACACAAATGGTTGACTTAAACTCCACATTTATGAAACACGTGGCTTCCATTGTCTGTTGATCTACTATGTGTTTGACCTCTGTTTGATCTTCACCTGTTGTGATTGTCCAATTTTGTGCGCAGAACTTCTGACCGACCGTTTTCACTGCACCTAAATCTTCAATGCTTCTAACTAATGTCTAGCCTTCCATATTGTGATTGTCTTCAGTCCCTCAGCTGTCCCTATGTGTTTGACTAGTGTTTCTAGTTGTTTCTTTGTTATTTCTAATCGTGCACCCTATGTTTAAGTTCAGTTTGACCGTCTATACAGTTCTTAAGGGTGTTTGACTTCTGTTTGACAGTCTCAATTAATTCGGAAGGTCATCGATGTGTTGAAGTTCTCCTGAAGTCTGAAACGTGTTCGACTTCTGCCAGACCCTCTCCACTTTGCCCGACCCCACCGACTGTGCCTGACACCCCACCCCCTACTGTGCCCGACCGTCCCCACTCTGCCCGACCACTATGTGACGCCCCAGGAACCCCACCTTCTCCCTGGCCTCGAGGCTGGCTCCCCCGGCCAGCAACACCTCCACAACGTCCAGGTAGCCGTTTTCCACCCCCACGTGTAGCGCCGTCTGGAGACGCTGGTAAACAAATACATACGGCCACATATAGTAAACACACAACCACATAGCACCACTGTTGTGATATCTAAACAGGATTCAGTGTTGTCATATCTAAACAGGATTCAGTGTTGTCATATCTGAACAGGATTCAGTGTTGTCATATCTGATCAGTTTCCACTGTTGTGATATCTAAACAGGATTCAGTGTTGTCATATCTGATCAGTTTCCACTGTTGTGATATCTAAACAGGATTCAATCAGTTTCCACTGTTGTGATATCTCACATGAATTAATAATCTAAACGTGACACACCGCCCAGCTTTCATTGCTCTTAAAATAAACTATCCATTTAAGTAATAACCTCAGCTTTTGTAAATGCATCACAGTTTTGTAGGGAGCATATTTTAATGAAGTTTGTCAGAGGAGCTCTTATATTCAGAAAAGTAACGCACTTAACTCTGTAAGTTATGTGTAACAGGTTAGAGTTAAAACACAAAAACATGTTTTACAGCTTTAAAAACTATAACGTACGTGATTAGGAAGATCAAGTTCGCAGTTATTCTCAACAAGCACCAGAGCTACTTCTTTGTGGTTGGCTAAAGCTGCCATGTGTAAGGCGGTATTCCCCTGCTGAAATGTGAAACAGCAAAGCATTCACATAGCACCTCCCGTGCAGCACCATATATTCAGGTATCCATAATATATCAGAGTGATAGTATCCGTGAACAGTGCATCGGTATGAATCCCGTGTCAAGGTCACGGTCAAGGTCATGCAGGACGTTGACATTTATCGCTTCTGCGAAACCCACGAGCACGAGTTGGGTGCTAATACACCAAAGATCATACGGATCATATGTTTCGTATCATAGGATTGTGGTACTTTCCGAAGTAAAAGTGCTCATATCTGATTATTTGAACTTTCCATTAGTCCTTAATCTCCAACATTAATGATGGGACTAAAGATGAATGTGAGACTAAATGCAGTCTAGATTTAAAGACGTTAAACATGGAAAACTTACAAAGTTTTGAGCATTAGCATTGCATCCGTATTTGAGGAGGCTCTGGCAGACATCCACGTGAGCATGCATTGCCGCCAGGTGGAGCGGAGTGACTTCACGCTGCAAACAAACATGGCGGCCGTTACATGTGCGTCGTAACTTTCAGCAGTGACATACTATACGTATTGAACACACACAATGATAGTATTGTATGAAAACTCAAAAGGCATTACATGAATGCACTAATGATTAATCAGTGTTGAAATGCTCTGTTCGTAGAATATATTAAGTCTGTTGAAATGCTCATAACACTTTATGCCCATTTCATTCTGTCTCAATGGTCTTTTGGTTTCAGGCTGAGATCACTAAACAAACACAGAACACATAAAACTTATCCCTTTATCTCGTGACCTAAGCATCTCACATACCCTACTCTAGATACATGAGATAGACATGTTATTTAACAAAACAAGTACATTCAAATGACAACCCAAGAGAATAATTATAGTCTATTAATTCTGAAGCCGAGTAGGAACACTCACGACGGTCTCGGCATTGGCACTGGCCGTGTAGTCCAGGAGGAGGTCAACGACCTCTCGATGGCCGTTGTCGGCGGCGGCATGCAGGGCGGTCATCCCCTCCTACAGCAGCGGAAACATCGTGATTTCAGTGCAAAAAATATACTATCCATGTATGTATTTTAAATCCTCTCCCAAACTGCTTCTTTGGCGAGTGAATGGTGTTCTACGACGCTATCACGGACTGTGTCTGGATAAAAAGGCCAAAGGGAATCGTTTCTGAGTTTGGCTCAAGTTTGGGGAAACGGAGCTGACATTTCTCAAATTAAAACTTTTATTTTATGCAGACGATTGGAAAAATCTAGGATTCAAACCAGCATTCAGCGGATCCTGTAGCGGTTACTGGATGTAACTCGTCACAAGTAAATGTTCCCTTGCCAGAAATGAATAACCTTTATGCTCTGTATCTAACAGAAGTGAGAAAATAGATGTTGTTGTCCTGAGACACTTCCTATGTGTCTGACACAGACTACAATATCAATCCGTGGACAATGACAGTTGTACAGATGGCAAAATGAGAAGGAGCTGAGACACGCAACAATATACCACCGATACGTTAATTAGGATCAGACCCAGTTTGTAAGCTGATCCAGTCTGATTAAAAATTGATAAAAGAACATGGTGCGCATGTGAGAACAAGCTGGTCATGACAATAGCGTTTAATGTATCAGCATCAATCAGACATGGGATTAAGGCAAGAGGTATTACTGGTTCAGACAAGACATTTACGTTCAACAAACATTATTACTATGTACTAAAATGTCGTTAATCTGGCGTCCTCCCCACCCCTTCCTCCAACACACACAAAACACATTTTCACTCAAACAGACTCCACCGTGCTGTCTGCTGCAAGGTTCAATGATGTGACCCTTAGTTGAGTACTACCATCTACACCCCCAGCCCGACCCCTGCTCCTTACCACGTCCCTGTCATCCACCTCCACGCCGCACAGCAGTAGACGTTTCAGCACCTCAGCGTGGCCGTTTTTAGCCGCAAGGTGGACAGCGGTCTCGCCATTCTGCATAGAAAGAGATCAATTACATCTTACAGGTTTCAAGGCAGCTGGAGAACCGCGGATCATGATGGAGGTGTATAACAAGGGGAAACAACTCTGACTTGTATGTGTGATTATATACGTTAGTATGAGTGAGTGAGTGAATGTAGTTTTACGCCGCTTTGATCAGCATGCTAGTATTAATTCACGTCGAGAGACACTAAATTCTTTGTGGCGAACAGCCGGAGCAAACAACGCCCCCTTTCTTGAGAAATTGAGTTTCATATTTTTGTCTTAAGAATGTGTTTAATCGTAAATACTTTTGAGTAATCAATCTCAATACCTTCAATCCCTTGTTTACTGGCTTAAACCAAGAACATATATTTATGACATCAAGACACGTAGTATGCAATCTGGCAATGGTAATTCACACACATTCAATCTATCCAAGTAACTGCCCTGTGACCTAGAGATGGACAGCTGGGCCCTTATTCTCGAAACGTTCGTAGCCCTAAGAATTCTTAACTTTGATCGTAGCCAATGTGTTAAGAATGGGCTTAAGAAGTTCGTAGGGCTACGAACGTTTCGAGAATAGCTAGCCAAGACTTCATTCGCTGACACCTGCATGGACGGAATCTGACACCTGCATGGAGTGGATCGGTCTTATGAACTTTACCTTATCTTTACGCTGGATCTCTGCTCTCATCTCCAGAAGTTTAAAAATGACGTCAAGGTTTCCATTTTCCGCCGCTAAGTGGAGCGCAGTTCTGTCATTCTGTAGACACATGAACAACTAATTTACCCGAAGAATGCCAACAAGCACTTGTTTATACATTGTTGAGCCTAAAAAAGAAACACCACATGTAACATAATTGTTAATTGATATGTTAAGAGTTAGGTAATAACATCATTAACATTACATTTCTCATGCTATCACAATTAAAATAGGGTGGGAGCCTTCGCTAATTAACACAATTAGTCGAGAAACGTGCTTCCTCCCTATCATGGGATTAGAGGTGGGAAATGCTTCATGAAATATAGGTTTTCGCAAATAAAATGTGCGATAAATTTCCTGAAATGTACGACTAGAAAACCATCTGGATTTCCTGAAGCATTGACGGAAAAATATTTTGTCTCTAAGAAGAATTAATAATAATAATGGACCGTCCATTAAACAGGAAATAATCAGAAAAAAGGGAGTTGCATTTGGAGTATAATAATTCTAAAAATGCTCCCTAAATATAAACAAACAAGATTTGCCGAGTTAAGTGAAGTCCTACATGGTTGTCGCTGGTCAACGCGGATAGACACACTGCATGTTGGGTGGTCACATTTAGTCACACTTACAACCTGTATAGAAGATGGAGCTTATACCAGCTTATCTGTAATATTCACCACGGTCTGTTGGGGAAACATGCCATGCAAGGTCACGTAACCGCACCATCTGTATATATTATGTCACAGACGGTCGATGTAGTATGATAGATAAAAGTGAAATTTGACGGAAAGTAAAGAATCAGAAAAGATATTTTATGAAAATGTATGATATAAAAGTCATAATAATATTTATGCTGAATACAGATGTGTTAAAATGATTAAGTATGGAGTAACCGATACCATAGTTCCTCACCTGTGAACATTTCAGGTGCTAGAAGACGTGAATAAAATTGATTCAAATTGATCAGGAAGAGAACTCACTCGATGATAAAACGACGTCTAACGTGTTCGTAGAAATATGATGCAGAGTAAAGAGAAATAGAGAAAAAAGAGCAAACTGTGACGCACTGGTGGGAGGTGGGGTCATAAACTGTGACGCACTGGTGGGAGAGGGGGTCATAAACTGTGACGCACTGGTGGGAGAGGGGGTCATATACTGTGACGCACTGGTGGGAGAGGGGGTCATATACAGGAAAGGGGGAGTACAAAGAAGCAGTTATACTATTACATTAGGGCCGATATGTAGTTTACAGATCTGGGGCTCCTTTCACCAAGCAATCTTTACTAAGGTTAACCTTAACTCCCATTCTTTAACATCGCACTAGGGTCACCTTAGTGACTTACGATCACCTTAGTGCTCTGTGAAAGGAGGTGTCGGACTGTAAATTTCAATGTTACGACGCACATTTGCTACATCCTACGCTCATGAGATATTTAAATCTTTCAAACACAAAGGTAACATGTTACCCCGTGAAGGCGACATTGTTGATTCAACTTATGTTTTAACTGCTCTCTTCCTCTTTGCCCGATTTTATTATGCTACATACGGTATACTTTCCAATGAGTAAGTGACAGAACTCATACGCCGGGTTTAGTAATATAGAAAAACATAACGGCGTAGGACACAGGAACGGATTCATTGTACCCGAGTTGGGACTTGAACTCTCAGGGTTGGCGTGACGAATTACGTTTACACCATTTAACTATTCCACCACCGTGCGTTGTAAATAGTAGAACGGTGTTGTCGGTGATTGCACTCCACTGACCTCTGTCCCTGATGACTTCTGTGTAATTTGGCACCAGGGAGTGGTTCCACTCAGTAAAACGGGCGTCTGCCTTCGCCAAACATTAACTACAGCATTGAGAGTAAAATACGAGATTCTAATTATCCCCAAGTGATACCGATTACAGTTCATTGCTTCTAGTACAAGGACTGACTACTGTTAAGCACATGTAAAATACTAATTGAACAGAGCAGCTAAGCAATCAGCTAATATCTCATAAGTTACGGGTAAGTCTTTTGGGGAAACTAAATAACGAACTTACATGTCTTTAACCTATAAGCTGCTAGAACAACTAGGCAATGGCGTGTCTAGAACCTACTGATATGCTACTAGAACTAGACTAGACAGAGGACACAGCGGAAACCTAAACCTGACCACGATTGCTTCTTACTACAAAACTGGACGACCAGACCCAAAAAGTCGAACAACTATAAGTTGAGTCAGGACTTTCTTACTGACTCTGTTTATATTGATCCAACGTGTCTTGCAGCGTTAGTTAATATACCACTCAACATATGAAAGGATCACACCTTTCACTGAAGATGAATATGATCATGATGGTCTTTAGCAATTGTTGAGTAGTATATTTTCACCGGATATAATATAACCGGAAGTACGTATCACTTCCTTTATCTGCTGGTGACTCTCGTTATTTGGAACTGGCATTTTGGGGGATCGGGAGGGGGTGGTCACGTGACGAGTTTCACATAAACGAGAGTCTCCAGTTAGTTCAAGACTTTTTGGATTGGTGTCTGGAATGAACCAGTGAAACCTGCACCAACTAAGCAGGGGGAACTCAGGTGCACAAACAGGGTAATCAACTTATCAGAGAAAAGTAAATGTTATTGTTATAAGGATGGTTACTTATCCCACCTTGATAGGTGTGTCCACAAACGGTATTTTTCGTCGCTTGAACGGAATGTGAGAAGAGTTAGTGAGACAAGAGGAATCTTAGCTTTACATGGATACATACTGCAACCTGCAAACTAAGTCTCTTAAGATACACAAGTGAAACACATTAACGTCACGTCTTTATGTAAATCACGTATACCAAAATTCAGCTGTATAGAACGTCGGTACATAACTTACGCATATCAAAGTTGAATCATAACGCCACGTTACTACATAACTCACGCATACGACAGTTCAGCATTTGAAACATAATCACGTTATTATATAACTCACGGATACCAAATCTGAGCATATGAAGCATAATGATATAAACTGATAAAACACGCATACAAAAGTTGATCCAAATGAAACATAACTTCACGCATATCAAAGTTGAACTATATGAAACGTAACCTCAGGGCATTATATAACTCACGCATGCCAAATTGTAACCATGAAAGCATGGTCAAAGTTGACGGAGTGCATTTAGCGGTAGGCGACACAGATACTATTGAGAATGTGAGGGTGTAATGGCGGGAGCATCAAACAGAATCTGTACTGCAGGAGGGGGTAGTTGGTAAAGATGGACACACTCTATGTCCTCATGCACAAGCAACGGGGCACATAACAAACCTCAACGAAATACAATCGGGGAAAGAAAAGACGTCTGACGATCTGCCTGTTGATTGTGGCTAGGCTGTACAGATAACGTTGAAGATGCTCATCGAATTTTACATCTAAACATCTAGCAGTAGGTAGCATCCAAGACACTCTGTATTTAACCTATAAACTTCTGTTACAGATTTGTAACGTTATAAATACCTTGCTACATTTTACAAAGGGTTACCGCTACCATAACTACCACATGTACCCACTCACAAGGATATCAGTTATACATGCAGTTTCGTTCTACCTTTTCTGTGATGTTGACGTTGGGGTTCTCCAAGGCTTCGAACAGGAAGTGCATCACTTCCACTTGGTTGTTCTCAGCAGCGCAGTGGATGAGGCCGAGACCTTGCTAGAATATCAACATATGTATATGTACACCTGGCTGGAATATCAACATATGGACGTGTACACCTGGCTAGAATATCAACATATGTATATGTACACCTGGCTGGAATATCAACATATGTATATGTACACCTGGCTGGAATATCAACATATGTATATGTACACCTGGCTGGAATATCAACATATGTATATGTACACCTGGCTGAAATATCAACATATGTATATGTACACCTTGCTGAAATATCAACATATGGACGTGTACACTTTGCTGGAATATCAACATATGTATATGTACACCTGGCTGGAATATCAACATATGGACGTGTACACCTGGCTAGAATATCAACATATGTATATGTACACCTGGCTGGAATATCAACATATGTATATGTACACCTGGCTGGAATATCAACATATGGACGTGTACACCTGGCTAGAATATCAACATATGTATATGTACACCTGGCTGGAATATCAACATATGTATATGTACACCTGGCTGGAATATCAACATATGTATATGTACACCTGGCTGGAATATCAACATATGGACGTGTACACCTTGCTGAAATATCAACATATGGACGTGTACACCTTGCTGAAATATCAACATATGGACGTGTAGACTTTGCTGGAATATTAACATATGTGAATATGTCAACACATGGTCATGTACATATCAACATATGGACGTGTACACCTGGCTGAAATATCAACATATGGACGTGTACACTTTGCTGAAATATCAACATATGGACGTGTAGACTTTGCTGGGATATTAACATATGTATATGTACACCTGGCTGGAATATCAACATATGGACGTGTACACCTGGCTGAAATATCAACATATGGACGTGTACACTTTGCTGGAATATCAACATATGTATATGTACACCTGGCTGGAATATCAACATATGGACTCGTACACCTGGCTAGAATATCAACATATGTATATGTACACCTGGCTGGAATATCAACATATGGACATGTACACCTTGCTTGAATATCAACATGTGGACGTGTACACCTGGTGGAATATCAACATATGGTCATATACACCTTGCACAAAAGCTGGCGTGAATATCAACATATGTATATCAACACCTGGTCATGGAATATCAACATATGCTGGACGTGTACACCTGGTTGGAATATCAACATATGGTCATATGTACACCTTGCTGAAATATCAACATATGTATATGTACACCTGGCTGAAATATCAACATGGTGTATATGTACACCTGGCTGAAATATCAACATATGTATACGTGAGGACCTGGTGAAATATCAACACATGGTCATGTACACCTGGCTTGAAATATCAACATATGTATACGTACACCTTGGCTGGAATATCAACATATGGTATATGTACACCTTGCTGAAATATAAACATATGGACGCTGAAATATCAACATGTGTATCTACACCTTGCTGGAATATCAACATATGGACGTGTGCACCTTGCTGATATCAACATATGGAAATATCAACACATGGACATGTACACCTTGCTGGAATATCAACATATGGACGTGTGCACCTTGCTGGGATATCAACATATGGACGTGTACACCTTGCTGGAATATCAACATATGGACGTGTGCACCTTGCTGGGATATCAACATATGGACGTGTACACCTTGCTGGAATATCAACATATGGACGTGTGCACCTTGCTGGGATATCAACATATGGTCATGTGCACCTTGCCTTGGTGGATATATGGTCAACCTTGCATCAAAAGCTGGACGTGAGGCACCTTGGTGGAATATCAACACATGGTCATGTACACCTTGCTTGATATCAAATATGGACGTCTACACCAATGGTGGAATAACAACACATGGTCATGTACACCTTGCTTGAATCAAAAGCTGGACGTGAGGACATTGGTGGAATATCAACACATGGTCATGTACACCTTGCTTGTATCAAAAGCTGGACGTGAGGACATTGGTGGAATATCAACACATGGTCATGTACACCTTGCTTGAATCAAAAGCTGGACGTGAGGACCCATTGGTGGAATATCAACACATGGTCATGTACACCTTGCTTGTATCAAAAGCTGGACGTGAGGACCTTGGTGGAATATCAACACATGGTCATGTACACCTTGCTTGAATCAAAAGCTGGACGTGAGGACAATGGTGGAATATCAACACATGGTCAATATCAACACATGGTCATGTACATCTTGCTTGAATCAAAAGCTGGACGTGAGGACCTTGGTGGAATATCAACACATGGTCATGTACATCTTGCTTGTATCAAAAGCTGGACGTGAGGACCTTGGTGGAATATCAACACATGGTCATGTACACCTTGCTTGTATCGTGAAAAGCTGGACGACCTTGGTGGGAATATCACATGGTCATGGACATCTTGGTGGGATATCAACACATGGTCATGTACATCTTGCTTGTATCAAAAGCTGGACGTGAGGACCTTGGTCGAATATCAACACATGGTCATGTACACCTTGCCTGTATCAAAAGCTGGACGTGAGGACCTTGGTGGGATACCTACACATGAACACATACTACTAACATCGGCCTGAATATTATTACACGAACATATCGACACGAATACCCTGTTGATATATCAACACATAGACACAATGGCCTGTTAAATATATAAACACATGAACACATAGATCCTGTTTGAACATTAAAAAATGACATGTAAACTTTGTTGGAGGAATGAAAATTCATCTTGTTGACATGACACGTTAAATAGCGTCAACAACACAACAGGCAGACAGCTTGTGCAAATGTGCTCTTCTTGGAGACCATCTTGATGACAGTTTCGATTCATAATGGGCGTCAGCGGGCCTACAACACGTGGTACAAAGTAATGGGATACAAATTACATATTTCTAACTTCTTTCATCCAAAGCAGTCAATATGCACATTGGCATGTGTGTTAAGTCATTACTACAATATTTGACATGAACAAAACGGTTTCTGCGTACACAGCAGAGGATATAATATTAGTAATGAAACGTTTTCTGATTTCAGTGTATTGCGGATATATCTGTACGAAATTACTTCCAATGTAGCAGATTGTAGTTGTCATGTCTGGAATACCATTAGATCTACTAGAGGTAACCATTCACCAGAAAGATCATGCATGCTCCTCTCACCTTGTTCTGACAGTGAGGGGTAGCACCAGCGTTGAGAAGGCATTTTAATACTGGCAGGTGTCCGAACCAAGCCGCCCACAGCACCGCTCTCATCCCGTACTGAAGCAGACAAATCATAATATATCATACCTGCAACCATCACATTTTGTAAATAGGGGCCTGCATAATATACGATGGCCTCATTATGGGCAACCAACAGCCAGCATTATCTTGACAAGCCTTGTTTAGACCTTTTGACATCGTTCTGAAGAATGAAGACCATACCTTGTCTTCAACTAAACACGGACACCATGACTTGGATTTACTAAACAATGACACCATGTCTGCTCTCTACTTAACACTGAGATAATACCATGTCTATGCTAAACACTGAGACCATGTCTTCTCTTTACTGATTATATTACCCATACCTCGAAGTTACTAAATATAGGTACCACACCTTGTCTTTACTCTCCAGGTCGGCCCCGCCCTCTATGATTGCTTCAGCAGATTCAACATTACCGTTGGCAGCGGCCCAGTGGAGAGGAGTCCGGTCCAACTGAAATGTGGCATAATTCTGAATCATGATACAAGGTCAGATTCAGTTATGTATAAGGCACTGTATAGTCGTTAATGATGAATGCAAATATTCCAAGACAGTTCCTACGCCACACAATATTGTATAGATCGGACTGCATTATGCGGAACCCGTTGTTCATTGTATAAACGTATGCTCTAAGCTCGTATCTTCCCAATCACTGAGCATAAAGGGAAACGGTGAAAATTGTGAAAATTATATGAGTGAGTGAGTGAGTTTTACGCCGCTTTTAGCAATATTCCAGCATTATCACGGCGGGAGACACCAGAAATGGGCTTCACACATCGTACCCATGTGGGGAATCGAACCCGGGCCTTCGGCGTGACGAGCGAACGCTTTAACCACTGGGCTACCCCACCGCCCCAATTATATGAATTAAACATTTGAAGTTATTGATGATGACACGTGTTCGCGAAATGTCATTCTGTCTGAAGGAGTGACTCTTTAACAGTGGTTTAGTGTGGTTTTACAAATCATTATTAACTCTCTAAGGGCATCAAGATTTGGCCTCTGACAGTCGAACCAAATGTTCCAACTGTCCGCCCCAAGACGTAGTTTCTACTCCATCTTGTATCCCTATCACCTTGACAACCAGACACAAAGACGTCGATGTAGTTAACAGACATACGTTGTTCCTGCAGTTCAGGTCCACCCTTTCCTTGGTGAGCTTCCGGATGATCTCGACCTCGTTGTCCCTTGCCGCCTGATGCAGTCGGTGCTCCCGCTTCGACACTGCAACACGACGTGGTCGACGACGATTACATCACCAGCCCTACACAATGCAATACATTTTGCCCCAAACAGACAAACTATTGGTGAGAAGAGACCTCGCATACACGTGCATATAACAACAACTGCTGCTGTGAAACATGTTATCACAGCATTATCACAGCCTTACCAGCTGACGGGACGAGTCAATGTAAGCAAAGATTCATGTCTAACGGGACGAGTCAATGTAAGCAAAGATTCATGTCTTCGGGTTACGAAGTTAGTTTCGATTTTTACCCATTTGACCAGTATTACATTTATCAGCTTGATGTGGAAGAAACACCAGAAGGGGCGAGTTCCTCTGCAGTAGCTCCCTGGAAGCGGCCAATTGGTTACTGGATATGCTCATTGCAAAAGCAATGGGGACCAATGGCCCAGGCCTTCGGGTCACTGCAGGCTTGACCACATTCCTGTGGCTATTCATTACCAGGCTCCATTGTGGCCACTGACAACCGCGTTGTCTCATAGTACGAGTACTCGTTACTAGTCTTGAAACGTTCTACACCTTACCGTCAGCACCCTACTAGTCGTACTTGAAGTCTACGTTTAAACATAACAAGTTTGTATTTGTAAAGCACAACAAAACAATATTCCTAGTCCAAAAAATCTAAATGGAAAACACCACAAAATATTGTTAATAATAAAACATCAGCAAATTCCAAAATACATGGACCATTAAAAACACATTACATTCAATAACGTATACTAACAGAGACCTATGTTCTCTGTTTATATAACAGGGAAAGGAAAACATAAAAATTATCATTCTAATTAGATTTTAAATACGGAAAGTTAAACATAAAGTTTTCACACTTGAAAATTCCAAATGACACACATAATTATCTTAAAACAGACATAACACTGTGCAAATTGTGCATTAAATCTAGATCTTTTAGAAGCACGTATGTCGACGTGGACATTAGAGAGAAAATACGTAGGCAAACATCACACATGAATCCGATCTTCTCGGAATAAATGTTCACAAATAAAAACAAACAAGCTAAAAATTCATTAAGATATATAAGAATATATAACACTACATTCAAGAACATTATGAAGATTAAAACGGAGATACGTAGGAAATATACACCTTCATGGAGAGAATAGTGGTGCTCTGATGGGGAATCCCCGCATTATGGGCCCTTCAGAGCACCATATATTAGAAAGTTGTGCTATACTCAACATTACAGTTAAAAGCTGAAACTGACACTGTGTACAAAGGAGAGATTTGAGAGAGAAACCGTCAAAATGCAGTCACTCCATGCGTTATGCTTACTGATATCAAAATCGCCGCTCCGCACTGAAACACAAGCGAAATTATGCTTGACAGATGAAAGAGGCTCCTTGCCCGTAGAGTGGGCTATGGCTCAGTAGAGAGTAGGTTACAGTCAATAACAGACTTTCAGGCGGTACATTCTTGCACGGTTCACTGTTACGATATCTACAACATTCAGGATAGATTCTGAACCACGGATGCATATTGGTAACAGGCAAAAGCTTTCAGAGTTCTGCCGATAGAAACCACCACATGCAGTACAAAAGGTAGCCATCGATATATTCATGTATGAGTGATATGTTGGAAGTGGCCAGTTTAACACGACCACAGTTTGTTTGAGGTATATTGTCATGAGAATAACATATGCAGACACGGTCAATGCCAGGGAATACCCGGTGTTGATTAGCTGACCGTGTATTGTTATAAACAAATTGAATTGTGCGTAAAAGGCAATGACTGCTGACTTTTATATGAATAGATCACTGAAGTGAAGCCATCTGATGTTCGCGAAGAGGGTAAACATGTTCTGCCCTACCGGTATCATCCGTCACTCTCACAATTTGACCAAAACGTGTATCTTGCATGACGCCTCACTAAGTAATACTCATGACACACTTCTAAACAATCGATTCTTGACTACACAAGCTAGAGCCTGGACCAGACAACCCAGTGACTACAAGCGTTTACTGATCTTGTGGAAACTCATGAGCCAAGCCCGGCACAAACTTCTGATCATATTCCGCTAATGTGCCATTATTGTACGCTAACTTGCTTTCAATGCAATACACACATCTGCTCATATACCTCCAGCCCTATTTCAGGAAAATACCGCCCTCTACTACTCACATCCGGTGTGTTCCACTAACTTTCGGTCATATACCATTTACATCCGGTTCTATGGGCTGTCAGATCATTACGAGATGAAATGGCCCAGTCCACATGGCTTGTACAGCACATAGTATATGTACCACTCACATGGACACAATGAAGAGTCTATTCAACATTAATAATTGTCAGAGCGTTAAGTTTCCTTACAATGAAACCAGTTAGGCACAATGAGACTCTTAAATATTTGATGTTGGTATTCTGAGATTTACCTCCTAATTGGACACGCATAATATCCTATGAAATATAACACCACCCAACATTAAGATTTGATTGTGATAGACTTCTAAGATGACATGAGAGCTACTCAGTGTCTATATTCTCATTTCACGTTTTGATTTATGCTTTTATATATTATTATTCTATTAAGCTGTTAATATCTATATTGAATAGTTTTATTGCACTTTACCTTTCAGTACGATATATAACAGCACAACTGATATCATATAATATATAAGACTGATATCATACATGTTAGTGTTTTATCAAATCGGTTTATGTTCCAAAGGTACTTTTAAGCTGGGATCTGATCATTCTTATCAGTGGCTTGAAGGTACCAGTTGCGAGGCATATTGTTAAAAACTAATAACTCATTCATACATGTTAGAAATAGTATCATAACTTCACAACAACTAGTTGCTGATGCCGAACACGGCATACTGGTGTCGTTCATGACGTCCTTGTAACGAAGAGGAGGATTTGTTCTGATGCTTAGGACATTGTCGACTGTTAAGCGTCAGATTGAATATGGTGACATTCTAACGCCGGCAAGTGTGCTAGTAGGACTAGGTAATCTACACATTACGAAACGCTAACACCGAGATCGTGCTTCCATGAATATAGATTAACAGTGAATAGGAACGAGTCGTGGTATAACCCAAGGTTCCATCAAACAATGAACGGTTTGGGGACTCGGTTTGAGAGAGTCCTGACCTTCGAGTTATTCCAAGAAATGGACAACTGAACGGTTAAAAACTCTATTAGTAGGACACAGGCAAATCAGCTATTGTTTCGTGGAGATGAATGTGTTCGTTTCTGTAGCATATCCTGGAGTCCAAACCCAGCGTGAGTTAAACATACTTAATCAATACGACCTACTAACACAACTTGACCTAGATACCAAACTAGACCTACTAACCCAATTAGATCTACTTACCTAGAACTCGGCCTTCTTACCCAACTTCGCCCTCTTACCCAACCTGGCCTACTTCACAAACTTGGCCTATTTACCCAACATGCTTACTTACTAACTTACTTTCCAAACGTGTCCCTCTTGCCCAAAGTAGACTTCTTACCCAACATGGCCTACTTACCAAACATGGCCTATTTACCCACCATGCCTACTTACCAACTTGACCTACTTTCCAAACGTGGCCCTCTTTCCCAAATTGAACTTCTTACCCAACCTGGTCTACTTTCCAAACTCGACCTACTCATCAAACATGGCCTTGTTAACAAACCTGCTCTCCCTATTCAACTGAGCCTTCTTATCCAACTTGGCCTTCTTACCAAACTTGGCCTCCTTATCCAACATATATGCACCTGCCTGCTATGTTGTAGTGTTCCAGTTGTACTATCTGACATCCACTGGTTGCTAACATATATATTTACACCTTAGTAACACTGCAACTCCAGACTTCGGTACCTGAACCGACGTGGCCTTGTCGGGATCACCACAGATATCATCATATTATTGGATATTTATATAGCGCACATATCAACGCAACTTATCAATACTATGGGGATCATGGTGCTACAGCCACTAGGCCCACATTATAATCTCAGACCCCTAACTGCCACGTGATCCCTCAAACCCAAAGCCAACACCCTCAAACCCACCCTAGAAACATATCTGAGCGAATCACACATTGAAAACTGCAGTTATTGGTGAGGTTACTATCGTGAGAAGAATATTGTTAATTTCCCATGAGATGCCCGTTTTCTAAATAATGACAGTCACGGTGTCAACCTGCCAGGTGTTATGTACATCTGCACGTACCTGACACAACACAACACTTGCAGCAGTGGCCTCGCACCTGACACAACACAACACTTGCAGGAATGACCTCGCACCTGTTCTTCTGATGTAACATAAGCGACGTTCGTCTCTGGGTGAAGGTGGCAAACATGACCTCCAGGGAAAACAACTATGAAGTGTGATTATGAACCATATGCGAAACAGCAAAACGCCGATCTTCATTTTCATTAAGTTACAATAAATGGATTATAGTGTGGTAGATATTTCGTCCCGACAATAGATACCTGAGTACCTGAGCAATACTAAGAATATGGTGAAGAGGTGAGTTGATAGAGTGATTTCACCGATTTCAACATATTGTAAGTTATATATAATTTCTCTATAATTCTCCAGAATGACCCCTAGTTGCGTCAGTATTACATGGCAAGAATGACTGGCCACTGTAGTGGCCAGAGAATTACTGGTTCAGAATCATCTGATACAACAATAACTAGGGGTGGGTATTGCAGAGAATTTTCATATTGCGATATATTGCGATGCGAAAGCATGTATTGCGATATGTATTGCAATATATTGCATGGAGTATTTCTAAACATAAACTACTTATAATCGAGTTAATGCTTGATTTATAGAGCAAAACACAACAAAATAACTATACTTGATTAAGCTTTAATAACAACATTTAATCATGATAAAAAAAAAATGTGAACAATATTTGGCACAAACGAAACAAGGAAATATCCGAAGATTTCCGAGTGTTACGAAGTTTTCCGAATGCAAGTCAAAATACCGGTTTTCGATCAGCGTATGGCAATACGTATCGTTTTCACGTCTGAACCGGTAAATACCGGTAAACCGGTTATATTGCGCAGCCCTAACAATAACATCACTAAGTCTTCATAATGATGGCTTAAAATTTGAAATTATGGATCTAAACTTTATCTGAAAATCTTTCTGCCAGAAGCGTCGAATAATATAAGCTAATATCACAAGTATATCTAAAAAGCCACCTATGGTCTGTGGCCAGGCCTTCGTGAACATGAATCCACGTTTCTCTTAATATTGAAATAAATACTCATCTCAAATAAACGTTTTGCTATCTGAGTGGTTGAGTAGCCTTGTGTTTCACCCTGTGGTAGATTCGGATCCTATGCGCCTCATGGGTTTGCAGCTATTCTGGGATACTCTAGAATATTGCTACAATAAAACTAAACCGGCCTCTGGATTTTATCACCGAAGTATCACATGACTGCTTGTGTAACGCCGGTCAAACTAGGCGTACGTGCCCACTCCGCGTCCTGCGTCGTTGTCGTATACACATAGCACCACTGCACCACATCACCAGAGTTACTCAACAAAACAACCGTCCCCAGAGACCGCGAGGTGACCTCAAGGTCGGGTTGTGGATGAATGGCGGGAGTCGTCCCGTGGAGGCTCGGCGCGTTATATCTGTATAATAAGGACGTTCATGCAACGTAATAGTGAGATACACAATACCATCGAGGTACATAATCCATACATATAGGAACGTTGTAGTTAAATGTCTGAACCTATAGTATCTGTGAAAGGGCATCATTAGTTATGGTTTCGCCTTGTATATCATCAACAAATGGTTTTAACATTTACATGGCTAGTCACCCAGATTCAGCATCAAACATGTTTAAAGTTGTAATAAAATTACAATTAGTTTTTGGACAATTAACCCGAAGGCACCACTTCAAAGACAGTTGTTGCCCATCTTCATAGACTTTGAAGCTATGATTAATACAAAGCGCATGAAAGTATCAATAATTCTATATGTTCTACTTCGGTGCTCTGAATCTTATAATATTGAATAAGTCTTCATTATATTAATGTTAGTAGGGACATTTGATTAATATTGTTCATATGTGGACACCTAAGACGAGTTGTTCTGAAGCAAATACAATTTGGACTGATCACTGATTTGTGACTGTCGCAAGACGTAAGGAAAGTTTAACAGAAAGCATGCCTTCGTAACTACTCGTGTCATTCCGGCAAGCCGGATGGTCACGGGAAAAGGCGAGTAGTTACGAATGAGAAAAAATGCTGTGCTGTTCTGAGAAAACTAGGTTTCCACGTTAATATCAGATAATCACACCTTAAAACGAACAACTACCATCTAAGATCGCAGGGGCGGTTACACGTTTTTGAGAAGGGGGGGCAAACTATTGAGAAAAGGAGGTGTGCACACTTCATTTTCACCCGAGTTTCAATGGTCATTTAATAAACTTTCAGGACAAAGGGGGTTGGGGTGGGGGTGCGCACCTTTTCACGACAAGACAGTTATGTATATACACACATGGCTTATGTCTCAGGGGCGGTGGGGTAGTCTAGTGGTTAAAGCGTTCGCTCGTCACGCCGATTACCCGAGTTCGATTCCCCACATGGGTACAATGTGTGAAGCCCTTTTCTGGTGTCCCCCGCCGTGATATTTCTGAAATATTGCTAAAAGCGGCGTAAAACTAAATGCAACGCTTATGACTCATACGTAACCTGGTGTGTATATCATAGTTCAAGGTTATATCTTATGCAACCTGGTGTTAAACACAATTAAACCGTCTTGTATCTAATACACGACAGGCGTATATATACATATGAAAAAGGTATCGCAACACCGCGTATTTTTCATAGCATCAACAGCAACGGGGTGGGGGTGTGTGTGTGTGTGTGTGTGTGTGTGTGTGTGTTTGCACTGGGGGATCTCTGGAATACTCTGCTGCCCATAATGTAACAAACATGCTCTAAGGGATTGAGATCTGGACACTTTGAGGCTCAATGTAGAAATGACGTTACCCCTTCACGTACGAAATCACCAACGTCACGTGCACGATGTAGGCCTGCATTGCAAGGGGCCTCGTGTCCATATCTACATTGTCTAGAATGTCAGTGATGTACCGTTGTCCATTCGGATTTCGTCTGATCGAGAGAGTAATGTGAGAGGCACCTCACATCATCAATGAGCCTCGCCAAACAGTACCTGCTCCAAGACATTCCGTTGTTTATGAGGCACCAAACACGAGCTGGGCCATGTCCTTTCCCGTGACCTCAAATTCAGTGACGTCGACCTTGACACCAAGCTAGTCGTGCTGCTTTGTGCTTTGTGCATAACAGAGGACGTCTGTCATTTTAGGCTATTTCGCTGTTTTCAACACGGCACTTGACAAGAACGGATGCAGTCTTGTGATTATACTGTATCGTCACTATAAGTTGTCACTCATGGTCTACCCGAACGTCCGTAACGTCATTAGTTTGCTGGGGTTTTTTCTGGCCAATCGGCTGGTAGTCGATGGATGATAACCAACATCTCATACCATTGCCCTCAATGACATGCCAATGTCTTTGAGCAGTTGTCAGTTGAGAAGGCCCACCTTATTTGCTTATCAACAATTGATTTTCCAAGTTATCGAGCTGTAAGAACAGTTTAACGAAACTTGATACTCGCTTAATGGGTACACGTATTGCCCGCCTTAGGTCGAAGCATTGATATATCTAAAATCAACCTATGATGCGCACAGCGGGTTAAATAGCCATACAAGCAGTCATGATTATGATAGTAATATAATGGATATAAATGGGTTGAAAATCATAGGTGTTTCGATACATTTCTCCATTTATTTGTGCATATTTTAATTCACAGCATGTGTCTCTTACAAAACATGTGTTTACATCTGAGTTCATAACTTATGACCTTATAACCATGTGGTTATTTCTTAGTTTATGATCATGACTTACACATAACCTGAAAATTCGAGCTTAGCTCATAGCTTATGTCCTTGAAAAAAACGGGTGATTGTATCTTAGTTCTTACCTCATATAACCGGGTGTTTATATCTTAGTTCTTATCTTACATTTCATACATAACCGGGTGTTTATATCTTAGTTCTTATCTTACATTTCATACATAACCGGGTGTTTATATCTTAGTTCTTATCTTACATTTCATACATAACCGGGTGTTTATATCTTAGTTCTTATCTTACATTTCATACATAACCGGGTGTTTATATCTTAGTTCTTATCTCATATAACCGGGTGTTTTTATCTTAGTTCTTATCTTACATTTCATACATAACCGGGTGTTTATATCTTAGTTCTTATCTGACATTTCATACATAACCGGGTGTTTATATCTTAGTTCTTATCTCATATAACCGGGTGTTTATATCTTAGTTCTTATCTTACATTTCATACATAACCGGGTGTTTATATCTTAGTTCTTATCTTACATTTCATACATAACCGGGTGTTTATATCTTAGTTCTTATCTGACATTTCATACATAACCGGGTGTTTATATCTTACATTTCATACATAACCGGGTGTTTATATCTTACATTACATACATAACCGGGTGTTTATATCTTACATTACATACATAACCGGGTGTTTATATCTTAGTTCTTATCTGATATTTAATACATAACCGGGTGTTTATATCTGACATTTCATACATAACCGGGTGTTCATATCCTACATTTCATACATAGCCGGGTGTTTATATCTTACATTTATTATATAACCGGATGTTTATATCTTACATTTCATACATAACCGGGTGTTTATATCATACATTTCATACATAACCGGGTGTTTATACCAGAACTGGTAGCGCGCAGCTTGTTTATTACATTTCAGTTTAGAGGTTTTGATTGGTTAACAGGCCTAGTGCAGATCACTATGTATCAGAGTGCCTGTGTAATACTTGATACAACCATACAATCCTTGATACAACCATACAATTCTTGATACAAGCATACAATTCTTGATACAACCATACTACCCTTTATACAACCATACAATTCTTGATACAACCATACAATTTTTGATACAACCATACAATCCTTGATACAACCACACAATCCTTGATACAACCATACAATCCTTGATACAACCATACAATCCTTGATACAACCATACAATCACTATTTCAGGCTTCATATGGCCTCACGCCTTGCCTTAACGATTCACGAGTGTAGATGAGATATATCAACCTTATATCTGACTAGATAACTGCTGTACTACATGTAGACATGACGTTTAGACCGCATGTGGGATGTATTTGGTGTTCATAACCGCTTTCTCGGGCTTACGTAAGCAATTCTAGACATGTCCAAAGTGGGATTCCTGATGGTGCGGTATAGGATTGTTTGAGTTTGATGTGTAAGGCGCCATCAGCTCAGACACGCAACTGGGGTTTACCCTTCCAGTGACTGCCCTGTTCAACTACCCCACACAGGGCAGACCGACCCGTGACTATGTTGGATACCCTGGTGATAGTGTCTCTTGATAATCATCTCACGTTACACATAGTAGAGACATACTGAATGTCACGGCGATCCGTGGTATTGTTTTAGAGTAACCCCACATGCAAACACGGGGAAGAGGAATGAATCGATAACTGGAGCAGAGGATGATCACTGACCCATCCTGTCTGTTATCATACACAGTTGTGGAAGGCAACATGCACTGCACCAACGACCTCGCCGTCAGCACCACGAGGTCACACCCAAGCATGCGGGTGGATTATATGCCTGGACAGACGGACGATTGGTCAAATGCCAGGGCGGGCGGACTGGACAAAAGCGTGACCTGTATAGGAAGGATGTTAATACGTACTGTCGGTCGGCTGTAGGATGGTTGTGATCTCACAGGTAAACTCATTCTCTTTCTTCTTCATGTCGTCCGCCGTCTGTAAAAGATACACACAGTTGTTAGCATTGGGGTACGGTGGCTGTGGTTCCCGCGCTTCAAGTAGAGCAGATGGCAGCGACTGGTTGCGACTTGGATCGATACACGCGCCACCATCGCCTCATGATATTACATTCAACTGTGTGGACGATTCACAGGGTCAGGGGCAGTAGGAGAATTAGACTGTACCGCAGTCTCGTCCTTGACATGTCACGGTTCATGTTACGAGGTATGCGACTGGGGGAAATGCTACCCGGTGGCTGTTGATACTTCCCCGGGAGAAGGATGAAGTCAGCCATGGTGAATAATGAATGACTTCTGACAACCCCGAGCACGTACTCTTAACAGTTGGCCCTGGAATGCATCTCAGGGCTCAGGGCATCTCAATGGTCTGTGTACAACATGCAGGTCAGCGTGTATCAATCATAATGTAGACGTTTAGGTGTCAATGAGAACCTTTCTTGTCACCCGGGTGTCTACCATTCCTATCCCTTACATAACCTTCCTATCGTTAACTGTTCATCCCCAGAGAGAGTGCCGGTTGACCTTCTTAATAAACCAGTTATAATTAACTTAAAACGGTTAAGAGTAGATGAATAACAGCTGTCTGCTAGTATAACAGTATACCCAAAAATACGTTGGTGTATTTTAGTATATTGCCAACGTGACCAATAGCAGGGAAACAAATACCATATATTTACCTTAATCCAATCATGAGGAACCACCAGAAAGAACGAGCCAAAGACAGAAAGCATACAAGTTATGTAACCGACAGTGGACATAGAGTACTGTATATAGTAGAGGATGTGTCAACGACAGTGGACATACAGTACTGTATATAGTAGAGGTTGTGTCACCGACAGTGGACATACAGTACTGTATATAGTAGAGTGTGTGTCAACGACAATGGACATACAGTACTGTATATAGTAGAGGGTGTGTCACCGACAACTGACATACAGTACTGTATATAGTAGAGGTTGTGTCAACGACAGTGGACATACAGTACTGTATATAGTAGAGGTTGTGTCACCGACAGTGGACATACAGTACTGTATATAGTAGAGGTTGTGTCACCGACAGTGGACATACAGTACTGTATATAGTTGAGGGGTGTCACCGACAGTAGACATACAGTACTGTATATAGTAGAGGGGGTGTCACCGACAGTGGACATACAGTACTGTATATAGTAGAGGTTGTGTCACCGACAGTGGACATACAGTACTGTTTATAGTAGAGGGGGTGTCACCGACAGTAGACATACAGTACTGTATATAGTAGAGGGTGTGTCACCGACAGTGGACATACAGTACTGTATATAGTAGAGGGGGTGTCACCGACAGTAGACATACAGTACTGTATATAGTAGAGGGGGTGTCACCGACAGTGGACATACAGTACTGTATATAGTAGAGGGGGTGTCACCGACAGTAGACATACAGTACTGTATATAGTAGAGGGGGTGTCACCGACAGTGGACATACAGTACTGTAAATAGTAGAGGGGGTGTCACCGACAGTGGAGATACAGTACTGTATATAGCAGGAGGAGGGTCAACGACAGTGGCCAAACAGTACTGTATATAGTTGAGGGTGTGTTATCGACAGCGCTCAGTGTGGTCGGGTTGGACTGAAATGGTATTGACGAGCGATGCCGATGAGGGTGTGTGTTACAACGCGTGTTTTCAGGAACAGTAGTGCACTGCTCCTGTATTGCGTGGCTATCCCTTAGAATAATTTTTCGGTTTACATTTGGTTCTTCTGAAATTTGAAAATGCAATAACATGCAGAAAAGCCCACGCTGATATTTACGCAACTTTGCGAGTTGGTCACGTGGGAGCTGCGTTCCTGTACAGGGATTTCATCGTTAGGGTCAGTTGAGAGAGAAGTTCAAGGTATATACTTCACGTGCATCACTTCGTGTGTTAGTACAGTTTCAGAGCCCTTGAAATCCTCCCAAAAAGGCAGTTATGTAAATGTATTTAAGGTTTCTTTTAATGGACATTACTCAACATTATATTTGTTAAACCACTGACACTGGACAAAGTTACCATTAAAACAACTATGACCTTGATCCCCGTATACTGGCGGGAACTGCTCTTATTCAGATTAAAGTGATGAGTACGCTAGCGTCAAGCAGAGATTTTATGCACGACTCCAACAATTCCCCAGCCACACTGCTATCTATTCTCAGAGACCATCTATTATATGGTCTCTGCTATTCTACAGTAGTCAACCAACTGATGTAGATGTGTAAGGGTCACATGGAGATTAAGGTATTGTCGGTGATGAATTCCAACAGGTAATTTTCACGTAGATATGTCCCTCGGGTATTGTTTTATGGCCGGGGTACGCCGCCGAGACTGTGGTACGCCGCATGAGACGGCAGTTTTAAGTCTCGTCGTTCAGATTGATTGAACCCTTTCTTTCTGAACGTTATGCTTTCACAAATCCAGCTATAATGAATGAGGGTTTGACAGAATGGCTTACAGATTGGTGATAGATTGTGAGGAACATTTTTTCCATCAAAGTATTCATATGAACAACAATATCTATGTTTCTGGGCTAGTTTTTGCCGCTTCTTCGGGTGGATGTCTATGTTTATAACGTGGAACAAATACCCTGTATATGTCAGGTAGATGCGGTAGCCTGACTTTGTGCATTAATACTGTAACGTGCAGCTTAGTGGACCATAGTTTTACGTGTAGTTGACGAAAGTCTCAGACAGTGTTACACAGGTTCAGGCATTATGGATGACTAGACAGTACTCCCTTTGTGCAGGTTTTGCTTTATTCGGGAAATTAGGTATGCATATATTTAACATCATAATTTCTCTAAATGCTAGTGGGATGTAAAACGTTATTACAACTTTTTCAAAACAAATCATGTATTAATCCTTTAAAATAATTAGTACAATTACGAAGGTTGTTTTGTCTGTTAAGGTGTTCTGCACACACTTAAAAGCTGGAAAGCTGAAGATATGAGGAAATGAAAGATTCTGTCAGTTTTGGAAATTAGAAATCGTATCTGTTGAAGATTAACATCATTTAGTATAGATGTGACTAAAGTTTAAGAGCTTTCGGGGTTAATTCATTTCAAATATCTATATAATACATCCGCGTGCCATTCCTTTATTAACCTCAATTTCGAACATATACTTTTCTAGATATCATTTGTTTTATTGCGTTGTGGGAAGGGAATGTATTAGTTAAAAATATATGCATGTCTTCATAAATAGTGTATTCGTGTAATCTGCATTGTTATGTTCATTCTCATCCAGTTTGATATCTGGAGTGAAGCAATTTACGTTGTGCTTTATAGCCGTGTTCTGTGAAGCCGGAACCTTATTTGCATGACACTCAGTTTCTCGATGTCTCTCACCAGCTACACGTTGTGGGACAAGTCGGATGTTGGTGTGCCAGTTCTCTGCAGCGTGGATACCCGTGAAGATACGGGTTAGAATTAGTTTCCATCAACCCATGCTTGTCGTAGGAGGCGACCAACGGGAGGTCAGGCTCGATGACTTGGTTGACATTAGTCATCGTATCCCAATTGCGTAGATCGATGTTCATGCTGCTGATCACTGGATTGTCTGGTCAAACTCCATTATTTACAGACCGCCTCCATATAGCTGGAATATTGCTGAGTGCGGCGTTAAACAACAAACAAACAATAACAAACTGGAGCGTGGGTACTGTGCTGGCCCTCCATGTAAGGATTCTGTTTGGGTTCTTTTGTTTTGTTTAAATCCGCACTCAGTATATATGCTATGTGACGGCGGTCTGTAAATAATCGAATATGGACCAGACAATACGGTGACTGACAGCATGAGCATCGATCTACGCAATTGGGATACAATGGCATGTTAATCACCTTCTGGCGATAATCATAGGTTTCTGAAGACGATCTTCTGAAGACGGGTTCTATGTAATGAAGTTGCGATATGTGTATGATACACATGACTTCAAGACACAACAATATTATAGACAAAATTTTCTTTCCATATCTAAATGGATTAAGAGTAAAGGACAAGGCCCACTTGAATATACGTCCATGTACTACTGTTAGTGGTTATTTACGGACACGCTCAAGGTTAATGTCAATGCTAAGTGCGCTCAGTCTGAATATCAGAGCCATCAAGTTGTCATTACAACTGTGCCTATCACAGTCTTCGGATAAACACAGCAACGATTGGTTTGGGAGCCATCGTATTGTCATTACGACTGAGTAAATCATTAATTCTGAGCCTTCCACGTGCTGCGAATATCTAACAGTGGCACAGGAAGGCCATGTCGGGCGTTCCGTGAACACATACAGCTGCCCTGAATTCCCTCACCTCAAACACCCCTGCGGAAAAGTCTGAGATACGCGTTTCAAGTTCCATGCCTAGCCACACCACATGCCTTGGGCTCCTGAGGGAGAATCTGTGGTGCTCCACATCATATGTCTAGACTCTGTAATTACTGCCTTGTGCGTATGAATGGCATTATCTGTATGTAATTAGGGCACTCTTGGATAATGAAAAATGAGCTCTTTTAACCAACTTGATAAGTCTGTCAGTTGTCCTCAGAACAATAAGGGGCCGTTCATAATATATGGCTGGTGTGTGTGAGAGAGAGAGAGAGAGAGAGAGAGAGAGAGAGAGAGAGAGAGAGAGAGAGAGAGAGAGAGAGAGAGAGAGAGAGAGAGAGAGAGAGAGAGAGAGAGAGAGAGAGAGAGAGAGAGAGAGAGAGAGAGAGAGAGAGAGAGAGATGATTTTATGGAGTCGCATGTACAATGTGAAGGACCCTTCCCCACCACCCCCTTAAAATTAAAGCACAAATGAAGTGATCCCCGGCTTATCATGTACAAAAGCAATGACACCCCCACCCCCACCCCTTCTTTACCATAAATCATGGACGGTCCTTAAACAATTGTGGCTGATTTGGGCCATCGCTTTCTCGCCTTAAAATTTGGAGGCGAGAAAGCGATATCATGAGACGAGAAAGCGATATTACGA